TTTATTTACAGACCTTCGCTTACATTAGTACATATGTATATGCGACTCAATCGAATTCAATTCAATTCATATTTTGTAACACACGCTCTCTCGCTCTTCACCTCGCACCCTCTCGCTCTCCCACACACTGAATCGCTGATTAGAATTTTGTATTCTATTTAACATATTAGTTAATGCCCCCCCTCCACCGTTTCCTCATCCCATTATCATTTTGGCTTTATGGTCCAGCAAGTTTGGCGATATGTTTTCATTATCGGTATATGCTAATGGCGAAATTTGAAAAACAAGTTCCAAACTTAAGTTGTTTTTGACTTTTTTCGGCAACAAACAGTGCGATTGTATTGAGATTAGTGGCCGAAATACATACCGATCGAAGGAACTTTAAAGTTTAATTTATGAACACTTCTTGGCGATTTCTTTAAATTGAGCACACAAAAAAAAGTAACACTAACCGACGAATATCGGTAGAAACTAGCTGACAAGCTCTACGAAAAACACGAAAAACTTAAATTGGTCTTCACACTGGAAACGCCAAATTGAAAATGGTCTTGGAGAACGACTTCCAATTCAACGTTGGCTCGGTTCTGCGTTGCAGCCTACGTCGACGTCGCTGTCGGCGTCGTCTTTCCATTATCTCCAGCTGTTTTATATATAGTAAACAGGGGCGCGGCAAAGGGGGCGTGTGTCCTAACAAAAAACGGTACAAGGATGAACTTCTTTGAAAAAAAACTTAATTAGTTTTTCAAGATTTAGCTTCAAACTTTTTTAAAGTTATTTTATAGTTTAGGATCAATTTTACCATTTATTCTTTCCATTCTTACATAAAATATTTTTCTTTGAAAGTAACTTATAGTAGTAAAATACAAAAAGAAACCATAATTTTTACAACAAAATAATTATACAATTAATAGTTAAGCCTTACGCTTGGAAAATTTACTTATTTTTAAAGTATTGGGGTAGGACAATTCAGATAATATCAAAGTTTATTAAAAATAAATTTAAAAAGCTGAATATTGCTTTTTTTTGCATATTGCATGAAACGCATATGCAAAAACAAGAAAACAAGTATGAAATACATATTGAAATTAAGAAAATTTTAATTTGATTGAAAACCAATTTCCAATACCTACTCACTTTTGTGGGATTTATTTCTACGTCCATGTAAGCACACCAACGTCAATGCTGATTTTGCGAAACATTCGTACTAGTTGTTTACATTGGTGATCATTCGATGAAACGATTAAAAAGTGATTGATATTTTAATTTATTTAGGTTTGTCTGCTGCAAAGCAATACCGAATTAATTTTACTATCTAATAATTAAGGTAATAAAGAATATCTTTAAGATACACTTTGATCTCATTTTTTCTGTGTAGACAGTTATTTTTAAGGCGTGCCATGCGATCGCCGCTCTTTTCGTGTTTACCTATTCTCTTTTCTCAGTTTACATAGTTGTACAGTACAACTTCTAAAGATTGAGCACTTTTTATGCAAGCTTTTTAAATGAAAAAAAATATTATGAATAAATTGTATATACATGAGGACTGTACGAATCATGACTTTGATTTCAGAAACAAATCTCATATTGTCCACATTAATTAAAATTATTGAAATGATTGTCCACATTAATTAAAATTATTGAAATGACTAGTAAAATTTGTTAATAAGTAAAAATAAATTTACATTTAACTACATTTAGTTTATTTGTTTAGGGTGTTTACTGTAGCAAGTTTTCCTTAACAGAGCTGATTTATTTGACAGCCGAAAAGAATGCTATAATAATATGTTAATATTAGCTAACAAGTGCTTAAAATATTTCTCAATGTAACGCCTATGACCAATTTAAAAACCAGAAGAAAAGTTGCGTATTAAATAAATCTAAAATTTATATTTCACATATATAAATCTATAGATACACGGAATTTGCTTACACCAAGCCAAAAAGTATGCTTAAAGCTGCACAATTTATCACACAAAGATAAACTTGGACAAAGGCGAATATAAAACCATGTGAAGGGGCCGCATTATCATTCGCTTGAGTTCATTTAATATTGCTTATAAATTTCTATTCGGAAAAGTTGCAGTTATTAATGCTTGGAACTCAACAACAAATAAAAACAAGGAGACTATTTACTAGTCTTATCAAATAATAAATAGCTACTAGGATGGATAGTAAGTAAACCAAACTAGAAATTGGCTAGCTTAGTGTTCTTGGCAAAACATTTTACAATATATTATGCATATTCCAAAAATGTTTACGAAACCATATTTCACATTACTACCATATATTTCTTGGTATGCCATCACTGTCGGATCATCGGGCCATTAGCTGGCGGACATTGTGGGTGCCAAGTGCCATTGGCAGTGGCACATGACATTGGCCATAAACTTAAGTTAATCTGGACGAGCGGCAGTTGCATTTGCATTTTCTTTTTCACAATTCGCCCCGGAAAGGGGGATACTAACGACTGCCAGCACCCCCAACTGGGCGCCCATTAAAAAGGCATAAATTATAGGCAGCTGGGGGGGCCCCAACCACCCTCCCCCCACCACCCATGCTCACGTAGTAAATCAGAGCGTTTAATTAATACACAATGCAGGCGGATCGGATAATAAATTACATTCGAAATGCATGCCAAAACTGAAATTTGTTTCGTCTCGACGGAACGTGTTGACTGGCCGGATTCCACTATTCGCATTTCATTTCCCGACAGCGGATTAGGATTTAGCCGGACAGTTTTGTCAGATCCATTGTCACATCGCTCACTCACCTCGTGCCATTGGGTGGGATCGAGATCCCAGACCAGACACTTGTACTTTGACGGAGGACCGAGGAAATCGAGAGTGACGGCGCCATCCCAATTTGGGTTGGATCATTTGGAAAATGGGTGGAGCAAGGGTCGATCTGCTGATACCCAGGGGATCGTAGGTCCCTAATAGCTCAATAGCTTTAGATTTTTAATCTAATAGAATCGGTTTTCAATGACTAAAAACTACTTGGGACCGGGAAAAAAGTTTGCTTTAAAATTACATAAGAACTTTAAAGTGATTAAAAAATAATGCAGTCAGATTAAAAAATGTACACAATTGTTTTGTTAGTGAACTTTTTTAAACTAGTGTCAAAAAACCTCCAATACAATACTTTTTCTTTTAAATAGTATCATTTGTGTTCGTGTTAAGGTCTATTTATAAATAAATGTTGCTTTAAAAAAATGTTAACAAAAAACTTATATTATTAAATGTTGTAAATTAACTTAAGGCATTCAAAAGTTTAAATTGTCAACAGTTTTAAAAACAATCTGCATTAAAAATGTCGAATATCTATTAAAACAATTGCGAAATTTTACTATTTCTAAGATAAGTTTGTAAAATGTTGTTGTCACATTTTCCCAATATAATTACCAGCTAAGACAAACTAGACCACAATTCCAGCATGCTGCTGTGTATGTAACTCCGAGCATAGGGTATCGGCAAACAAATGTAGCCCATGCAAATGGAAAACGCGTGCAATTAATCAAAGTGGAACCGAGTGCCCCAACGGATCTTAGAAAATGGCATGGGCTAAAAGCAATTTGTGATTAGAACAGCCACATGCGACAAGCTCCTCGAGTTCTTGGGCCTTTCATCTGGCGACAAGTCGGGGCAGATATGTATATAGTATGTATGGTCGGGGATATAGCGAACATATCTTTATAGCGACATATAGATGCCAGATAGATGAGATGCCAGAGATAGAGACCTGGATCGACGGATAGATACACGTCGCTGGGTCATTATATTCGGCTATATGCAGCATAATTTATTGGCATTTTTATTATTATTTTATTTATGATTTCTGAGTTTTCAAATTTGTTTGGATCTGCTCCGCTTTCGCCGAGCCTTTATTGTTATTGTCATTATGCAGATACAGATACAGATACAGATTCAGATAGGGATACACATATTTGCCCGATTACTATATATATCGGCTTACTATATCTTTTCGCACAGCCATCTATTAAGATCACACGATGACATCGACGAGGGCTCTCGAACAAATTGATGAGACAGGTGGAGCCGAACTGAACAAGAATCTATATCCATATTTCCATTTCGACTGCTGCATATGTTTTTGATAATTCCGCAGCGGCAGTGAAAGATTTATTTAATTATTTTCATGTACACGATTTTCGATTTAATGAGCAGTTTACTGGGGTAACACTGAATCGAATCGAATATTGAATGGGGCAAATGGCCAATTCCCATTAGACAACTAGCCGCGTATATGCGAGTATAAACTTATGATTATGAATATGTATAAATATATGTATATACATATATATATTCGATCGTAAAGCGGCGGGAGGCGGTTGTGAAGGCGTCGTCAAAAATAGATATGGCCGCCAACTTTAACGGTCGCCGAAAGTCGACTGCAACTTTTAATGGCAAATAAAACAAATGCCAGGCAAGCAAATCGAATTAAATGGCAAGAAATTTATGAATAAAGCACACAATGTTGGTGGATCTTTTCCTGTGCTCGCCGACAAAACTGCCTACTTCCTGCAATTCCACTACATTGTTATTCCACAATGTTTTGTTTTATAGGCCCCATTTAAGGATACTTTAAATTAAGAGTTGTTAATATTTCAGTCTTAAGTGAAGACTTCCCAAGCCATTATGTTCTTTAAACACTTGTGATTTATAAATATACTAAAATTGCAGATCACTTCAAATTAAAAAGGATGAAAATTAAATCGATTTGGTGAATGAGGATCACTAATATTGAACCTTGAATAGAAACACCTGTATTTTTTAACACAACAAACTAATGAATACATTTTTTGTAAACTAAATTTCATCCACAATATCATTCCCCCTCCAAAACTTAGGGTATTTTCGGCATGATTTCAGAAATATTTCTAGCTAGGTGGATTAAAAAACGTTTTGACAAAACGATTTCAAAGCCCCCGTCCAAACGAGCAGACATATCTTTGGCAGGCTTTTCCAAGAATTTAGCACTCGTCGAGTATAATTTTTAATTTATTATAAATAAATAAATACAAATACAGATACAATTATTTAGTTTAGTACACACAACACAGAACTGGGAGAGGTGACCAGAGGACTGTTGGGGGACTACACGTATTTAGCCACATTTTTGGGACGCGAGCTCTCGGTAAATTATATATTTTATATATCACTGCAATCATTACCAAATGTAAAATGAGGACCTTTAATTTCCCATTAGCATCGGACTTACAGCTGTGTTCGAAATAACTTTATTTACTAATATTTAATGTTAAGGCAAAAAGTTGTAAATATAAAAAGCATAGTTAAATTTTTAATTTCATTCCAAATTCCACATGTCAACGAATTTATTGTGTTTTGATTGCATTTTTGTGAAATAATTTCTGTTTTGATTGCATTTTTATGAAATAATTTCTGTTTTGTCATTAGTTTTTGTGGAAACTTTTATTAGCTTTTTTTAGTATTGGAAAACTGAAACTGAAATTGATTTCGAATGGAAATAAGAAAATCGAACAGTTGATATTCAACTGATTTAAAAGTATGCCTTTTAGGCATATTATTTTTTTGAGCCTTATTTTGAGCACAGCTGTATTTTAAATATTTAAAGGGAAATGAAAGAAATGAAGAAACCACTCGAGTCCCGGAAAATGGGGCTTGATACAGCGCATATCTAAGCCAGCTCGGCGGCAGCTGGCGGAGGAGCAGGAGCCGTGCCAGGATCGGCTGTGCCCGCCGATGCGGCTGCCTGATCCGCCTGCTCCTTCTCCAGGACCGCCAGCAGCTGGTCCGCCTCGGCGGCCTTGGCCTGGAGCTCGGCCAGCTTGCGCTGCTTCTCGGCCTCATCCGCCAGCCGCTTGGCCCGGCGCTCCTCCTCGCGCCGCAGCTGCTCCTCCAGGTGGGTGCGGAGCAGGCTGTCGCCCAGGCCCAGCTTGTCCATCACCTGGGTGATGTCCCGGCTGTAGCGCAGGCGGGTATTGTTCGCCAGCTCCTCGGAGCAGTCCTCGCGTCCCTGCTGCAGACGCTGCAGCACGGACATCTTGGCGTCCACCACCACGTAGTTGGAGTTCGGGATGAAGCTGTCGCTCTTCTCGTTCAGGTACTGCACCAGAGTCCTCAGCGAATTCGAATTGGCCTTGGCGTTGATGGCCCCGCTGGCGAAGTCCTGCGACTTCATCATCTGTAATCGCAAATTAGATTTGATTAGGAGTCTAACGAAAATAGATTGACATTTGTTTTTAAACATAATTTTTAAAGCTTATTTTCATTTAAATATTAAATTATGGTAACTTATTTTTAATTAAAAAATAAAGAAAAAAAATTAAGTAATTTGAATTTGGCATTATTGTTAAACACAGCTTTAAATAACAAATCAATCAGAAAATACATTTGTAATTAGATTGTTAACTCGCAAATCTATGGTAACCTAAAGCACGAAAACGATACACTATTGGGGTCTTAAAAAGTTTATCATTGCTGTAGTTCTGATAAAATATAAAAAAATAAAATATAATTTGTATTAACAATTGCATTTACCTGCGCATGCGTGGACTTCTGCTTGCACTCCAGGCAGTTCCAATTGGGATGCGGCAGTCCGGAGATCTCCGGCACCACCAGACCCGTGCAGTTCGTGTCCCGGCAATACAATCCCGAGATGAAGGCACCCTTCTCCTGCAAATGGTCAAGATTTATATTAATACAATATATTCAATTGTTAGAACTTAATATATATATTCATTGTAAACTCCATTAAATATATAATTTAATTAACTTGGTTTTAAGGTAATTCAGTCAGATAGGGAATGTTCCGCAGAAACCTTAAGCTTTCGACCATACATTAACTATTTATTACCCTATGGAAACATATTTATTGTAGTGGCTACACAAAAATGTTAGATATTCCAACAGACTTTGCATTATCTTATGACATATTGGAGAATACAATTAATGCGAATTGATCGCCGTATTATCGTGGTTATCGACACATAATTATCATTCCTATCGGTAATTGGTAATCGGCACACTTGCCGGCCCATCGATCACTTGGGAATTAGCACAGCACTTGGGATGTTTGGCGCGTGAATCATTGGGGCCAAATGTCTCGGCTAATGAAAAGCGCTTTCGCATTTCTGGGATTCCGATTCCAGCTAAAAATAATCCGAAAACGGATTGAACGAGCTCCAACAAGTGATCGCCGTGTATCTGCGATATGAATACGCCCGGCTATATATCCACCGCCGATCCGCGAGATTGACACATAAATTAAAGCAAGAAAAAGAGATGTCGCTCCGTGTGCGTTTTAATATTCGCTCGTGCGATCGATAAATATCCACACACAGGTTGTTAAGGATGTCGGTCGTCCGCGGCCACGTCATCTCCATAAAATTCCCAATCCGAATCGTTCGCCCAATTTGCTTGCTCGTAAATTAACTCAGATAATTAATGGTTCCGATCCGCAGACTGCACTATAGACAAAACAAAAAATCCACTCTTTTGATATATAATAAAAAAACGTTTGTTTAACTTTTCCCAAATAGTGTTGATTTTGGCAATTTGATATATAACATTATTTCACTTTTACGATCAAATCGGTATGTTTGCATTGTTTTTGTAATTAGTAAAGTCTAAGTTTGTTTTTTTTTTAAATGAAGCCTGTATTTTAATATTAATTTCGAAGCGGATGGAGGATGATAAACACTCGGAACAGCGGAAACCTATAAGATATGAAAACAAAATACCTTTGCGGGAGTTCGCTGAACTATAGTTTAAATCATATTTCCAATTAATTACACCAACACGTGCCACAGTCAAGGGCAGGAAATTAGAAACAGTCGGTGCTATTTTTGACATTTAACAAATGGGCAATTCAGCGGACTCGTTAAATGGAAAAACTTTGTTAGCTATGAAAATATTTTTGGTACCATAAAAAAAACAAAGAAACATATTCTTTTTATGACGTTTTTCATCAAAATAAGTTTTTTTGACCAAATAAAAATATTAAATTGATTTCCTAAGGGACAAAAAACGTTATATTTCTTTTCAAAACTATATCAAAAAGGTTAAGAAAGCAGTCTTAATATCAGTACTGCAATTTATTTAACCAAGTTCCAACAAACAAATCTTCTTGTTTTACAAAATTTTGATATGATAAATATTTTAACCCTTCAATAGATAGTTTATGTTGGCACGATTTGGCCGTTTTGGGGGATTTTTATTAGCATTTTTATTGCTCTCAGCCAATATTTACAACAGAAAGACTTCCTCCATAGTCTCTTTATGGTTAAATTAAGATGATTCCGAGGGTTTTTGTATAGGCATAATACTCGTAGTTTTCATTATTTGGCCTCTGTGTTGTGCCTCGCATTCTCGGCGAATGTCAAACGGGAAATTACGATCCGAGGCGCTATATGTGGCCATGGCCAAGAAAATCTGTTTCTATATGCATATAAAAACAAAAAGAACAACAACCGATGCGAGGCGAATAAAAAATATCCGTCGGTTAACATGAGAAAAATGTGACAAAAATGAAAATGGACTGTGAAAACGATGGGTGGGGGGATCGGATGAAATCAAAATCAAATCAATATGAGATGAAAATTCAGTCAAACCAAATGCCACAAGATATATGAAAACATATATGAAAACCGAGAGTATTATTCTGATTTCTTTTTTTTTATTCCAACTTTTGCAGGAATTTCTAAACGACTGCCAAGCGAATTAAAAAGCTTTTTGGAATCCATCTATTTATTTGTGATTTAATTGAATTGTTTTCGGCTCGTTAAAAATAAACAAAGTTGTTTATGGCCATGTTTTTTTTGTTGTGGCTTGCCACTTGTTGCGCCTGGAAAATGTGGGAAAATCAAGGGGGGTGGGGGAGGGGGTTAGCTAATCGAAACATCGGAGAGGAAATCAATCGATGGCCAAGAACAACAAAATCCAAAAACTTGTAATAATAATGGGAAAAATCGATCTGGCCGCGAGTCTTTAATTGTTTTCGGATGAATTTTGATGGGCACAGGAAATCCTTAATGAAAATGTTCGCACCCAAAACAATTGCGGCAAAAATCAAAAAGGCTGTATGGTTCGAATATTGTCTTCTTTGATCGATCATGGTCCAAAAATGGGCGAAAATCTATTCAAAGCACGTACTTCAATCCGCAAAGACAATGCCTTCAGCGAAACTATAAAGATGTTTGATTATTTCTTTGCTTAATTGGTAAAATAGTTTATTCAGCTGGCCCATCGATCATCGCTTGGATTTTTGGGAAGGGGCTGGTCTTTGAGTCGGTGGCCAAGTGGTTTTTGGCCAGGAAGATGAGCAAAATAAGTGAGCTTTTGGGCAATCACCATTAACATGGAAATCTTTGATTCCCAATGGGGAATTGAAGTAGGTATTGGGAAAAATCTATATCACTTACTTACTTAATCTAAATAAGTCTATGCCCAATGTTAAAATGTAATTAAACAATAAGTGTTTTCAAAAAAATTAATATAGATTTTATGGAATGGGTATGACCAAATTTATGACCAAATTAAACGGAACGTAAATATTGTTTATCTCTACTAAAATCTCCCTGAAGTACTAGTATTGTAATTAAGTTTTGCTCTAAAAATGTTTTTTTAAACCGTTTATTATTTTCTATTATCAAATGTTTTTCACAAGTGATAAGAAATCCTTTGCACAAAGTTTGAATTGCTTGAAAGGGATAGCGATTAATTTTTCTCATTGTCAGAAACTCTTCTAATAGCTGTACATAAAAATAATAATTTAAAACTATTATTAACAACGTTTTTACTATCTTTGCTAACTACCCTGTTGTATTTGATTTAAGTAATAAATAAGTTCGACAAACTATTTCTCTTGATATTTACAATACAAAAGGCAGGTTCGATTTTAGACTGATTTTTCAAGTTTTATAATCCAAAATGTCGATTCTTCTCTGCTAAGTTTTCACCGAAATCACAAGAAATGTTTTATTTTAAAAAGATTTCATCAACGGATTCCGGCAGTTGTTAAAAAGAGACTTTCTTTCTTGGAACTACCCAATTCCAATCCAAATTTATATTCTTTTTCCAATTTCAATCCCAATTCCAATCTCAATTACATTCCCAATCCCAATTCCAATGAAAATTATAAATTCAATTCCAATCCCAATTCTAATTAAAAGTATAAATCCAATTCCAATCCCAATTCCAATGAAAATTATAAATCCAGTCCCAATTTCAATTCCAATTCCGATCCCAATTCCATTCCCAATTCCAATCCCAATTCCAATCCCAATTCCAATCCCAATTCCGATCCCAATTACAATTGCAATCCCAATTAGTAGCCCAGTCCCCATTACTCACCGTCGGATCGGAGCAGCGCGGGCACTTGCAGGTGAAGCCCTTCTTCATCTTGAGGAAGAGGTGGCGGGCGATGTTGCCGGTGAAGAGCTTGGTGTAGGTGGTGGTGACCTCGAATCCCTCGGGGATGTCGACTGCCGCGCGGACGATCATGTTGTTGGTCTTCTCCTCGAAGGTGTAGTAGGCGTTGGGAATGCAGTCGTGGTTGACGACGCCGAACAGGGGATAGAGGGCCCGGTAGTTGAACTCCTGGTTGTCGTTCGTCCTGTCCGTGGTCTTGTCGAATCCGTTCGTCCTTAAAACGGCCACGGTGCGGTTCATGATCTCGATGAGCTTCTTGTCGGTGGGGAAGTTCTTGAAGCACTTGGCCGCATTACGCACCTCGGTGCGATGGTTATTGTCGAGATTGGCCTGCAGGCAGTAGATCAGGTCCCGCTGCTCCTTGCTCAGATTGATGGCCCTGGCCACGCACAGCAGCCGGATGATCACCGAGTTGGCCACGTCCGGCTCGTTGGGTCCCCACGACTTGAACAGATCGCAGTCGCCCTTATGCTGTTTCTTCTTCGCACACAGGCTGCACACGGGCAATCCGCATCCCTGGCGGCACATGAACCTCGTGTCTGGGAGCATCTTCAGGCACACACTGCACGCATTCAGGGCGTCCTCCTCGTGGGCGGCCAGTCCGATCAGGAGCGGGCTGTCCCGGAAGATGATCTCGCCCCGCTTCAAGCTCCGCGTGGCCACCACTCCCCGTCCGGCGATCCTCGACACCCCGATCTCCCATGCCGGATCCTTGTCCTTAAATGGGGCCAGGTGGAGGTCCAGCAGCTCCGAGGTGCGTTTCGGGCAGATCATCTTGACCAGGGACTGACTGGGCGCGGGCACACAACAAAAAAGCAACCGACGGCAGGCACTCAAACAAAAAGTTAATCACCAAGGGTATCAGAGATCGCAACGATATCTTAAGTACTCTAATATAGTCTGGATCCTCTTTGATTTATAAAAAAAAACAATCAGTATTTTTCACGATCTCTGTCAGTTCTTTAGGAAATTCCCTTAAAGATCTCAAGTCTTTGAACGCCAACTCGAGGATCTCTCAACCGATCTCAACCGATCTCTGGCTATATCTGATCTATTTTATCTGTCTGGGGAGCGGATTGGTTCGCCTGCAGCGTTTATTTCGCGACTGCCGTGAGTAAACTGTCGCCGTTTTCCAGCCTTACATGATTTTTATGTGAAATGTTGGCGAAAAGCTGAAAATTCGAAAAGCTGTCGACGATCGCCAGAACCGAGCGCAACACGAAGATCCCCGATGATCTGGCTGCTCAGCATTGAACGAACCCCGATCTCTGGGTGATTTCTGTTGGATCAACGAGGGAAGGTGGGGAGGGGGGTTGTGGGGAGGGGAGGGACAGCCTGGGTGCAGGAGCCCAGACAATCCCAATAGAAATCCTGGTGTCCACTTGGATGGATTGATGAACAGCGCATTGTTGAATGTCTCTTTTGACAAGAGCACTCAGAAAAATCATGGTTTCAAAGGCCTTTTTCTTATTCACAATTCATAAAAATAAGATTAAATTTTGTTCTAAAAAATTATTTAAAAACAATTATATTAAAAATTAACAAAAGTAATCGAAATCTTTGACTAAAGAAAACCAATTTAATATGGTTTTGATTACGCGTAAAACTTACACTGGTATTTCTTTATGACTTTGTTCTAATCAATTTAATAATTCTTTATTTGTTTTTAATATTTTTGTTAGAATAACGTTTTAACTACGTTTTACAATTAGGACACAGTTTGAAATATATTTTGTTGTAATTTCTAAATTCAATTGCGAAAACTCTTGAATTAATTATTTATAATTATCGTGTGAGTAGTAAACTTTATCACTAATTGCCATGTGCCTTTGAGACATGAAATATGTGGACACTTGGTGACTTGATTTTCTCGCAGTGCAGTTGAACGGACGGACGGATGGATACGGATGGATGCCTTGTCGGGTGGCGGATGTACAGATATCCGTACATTCGAAACGAGTGTTCGGGAATGTCGGCACATGGATTTGTGCACTTCTGACAGCGCTCTGGAGTTGCGCCAAGAAATGCCGCCCATCAGCGGATGATGGACGATCTCCGGCGGGGGTTTCTGGGCGAGATCAGGGCGATCGGGGAGGTCAGCCCCCGGGTGAGTGTCTGGGGTGGCTTAAATCACTCGCCTTTCCCGCGTTCCGCATCTGATTAAGAAACGACCCCCAGTTTCAAGTACCAATGGCCTCCACAACAAATATCGGGCAGGTACAGTGCGTATTGCTGGCGCGAACTAGCCCTGAAATATGGGACAACGTGTTCATTATTTAAAGTATTTAGAGGTATTTTTAAATAGCTTACAGAGTTCAAAAACCAAGTCCCATACACAGCGAGATTTGTGTCTTTAAAGCAAACATTTTTATACCCTTGCAGAGGGTATTATAATTTTGGTCAAAAGTGTGCAACGCAGTGAAGGAGACGTCTCCGACCCTATAAAGTATATATATTCTTGATCAGGATCACCTCCTGAGTTGATATAGCCATGTCCGTCTGTCCGTCTGTCCGTCTGTCCGTCTGTCCGTCTGTCCGTCTGTCCGTCTGTCTGTCCGTCTGTCCGTCTGTCTGTTTCTACGCAAACTAGTCTCTCAGTTTTAAAGCTATCGAATTGAAACTTTGCACACACCCTTCTTTCCTTTGCACGCAGTATATAAGTCGGAACGGCCGGGATCGGCCGACTATATCCTATAGCTGCCATATAACTGATTGATCGGAAATGCCATAACTTTCGTGTTTGTAAAGTTAGGAAGTTGAGATTTTCTATGGGTTTTATATTTGGCCAATCAATCCGACTCACCAAATTTCATAAGGATCGGCTGACTATATCCTATAGCTGCCATATAACTGATTGATCGGAAATGCCATAACTTTCGTGTTTGTAAAGTTAGGAAGTTGAGATTTTCTATGGGTTTTATATTTGGCCAATCAATCCGACCTACCAAATTTCATAAGGATCGGCCGACTATATCCTATAGCTGCCATATAACTGATTGATCGGAAATGCCATAACTTTCGTGTTTGTAAAGTTAGGAAGTTGGGATTTTCTATGGATTTTATATTTGGCCAATCAGTCCGACCTACCAAATTTCAAAAGGATCGGCCGACTATATCCTATAGCTGCCATATAACTGATTGATCGGAAATGCCATAACTTTCGTGTTTGTAAAGTTAGGAAGTTGGGATTTTTTATGAGTATTAAGAATGCATTATATGAATAATTTTGGAGAATATAATTTACAGAGTATTCTGCAAGGGTATATCAACTTCGGCTCCGCCCGAAGTTAGCTTTCCTTTCTTGTTTTTTTGTGATTTGGTAATATTTAAATATTACTTCTTTCTTGTTTTTTTTTGATTATATCATATTTTAATAGTATGCTTTTCGAATTGAAATTCAGAAGCTAGAGTTTCATATGGCCTTGATATTGTTATTATGCGATCACTGAATCCAAATGCCTTATCAATCCGAAAATAGCAGAGATAACAGAGACTCTCCTCGAAAATCTATTCGCTAAGATAGCGGCTAATCCGGGTGGGCTTTTTCTATAAAAATTCGAGGATGGTGCAATAGATCTATCAGTTTGTTTTCTCACCGCAATCGAAATGTTCGTCGCCAAGATTCTGCTTCTCTGCACTGCCTGTGTCCTGGTCAGTGCCACGCCCCTAGGATTTGGAGCTCCCCGTATCGGAGGTCCCAGGACGCTTGAGGGTGAGGATCTGGTCAAGGCCCAGGAAGTCCTGCAGGCATCCCTGACGAAACTGGACGATGGCGAAGGACCCCACTATCGGTGAGTGAGAAAACCTACAGTTTTAGAAGCCCGTAGTTCAAGATCTTTATGGCTATACATCCATTTATTTTGTATATTTCAGCATCTCCAAGATCCGGTCGGCAAGTACTCAAGTAGTTTCCGGGTTCCTAAACACTTACTCCGTGGAACTGACTGACAACTTTGGAGCTACTAAAGTGTGCGATGTGGAAATTTGGTCCCAATCCTGGCTGCCCAACGGTATCCAGGTGACATTCGATTGCCCCAATGAACCAAAACTGGTTAAGAAACACAGTGCATAAGCAAATGCTTTTATATTTCGTTTAAAAATCATTTGTACTTCGATTGCTTGTGTGCTTTGTATAATTTTTAATAAAACCAGAACATCCGATATACACCATTATTTGAATAATGAATAATGTTGCCGATATCTTAAATAATTGGACCATACATATTTTTTAGATATATAGTACAAGATTTTATTGATTTGCAGTGATATTTATAATATTGAAATACTTTGTGTTATAGGGCGAATAGTGAATCCAAAAGTCTTATCAAAGGAAAAAGTTGGCAGCACGACCACAGCTGACTAGAGATTCCACTGCAAAAAAATCTTCTAAGACTCAGTAGCTAATCTGGGTTTTATAATACAAATCGGGGATCGTTTGACCTTCCAGTGACCCACAAATCAGCAGTGTTTAAGAAGATCTTTGTACTAATTAATGTTAAGTTTGCTTTTTGATTACCGAGTTGAATAAGAGAAAATAGCTCACAGAATTTTTGGAAGCTGATTTAATCGAAACAATTAGGGGTTCTGTTGAAAGCTAATTTCAAGTAAGTCTTATCAACAAGTTGAAAGGTCATGATCCATGGGTTTGCCTCTATAAATTAAGACTGGATCCTTGTACTATTTGTGTTTCTCATCTAACTAAATGGTTTTTAAATCCAAATGCTTTACTATTCTGAAAATGGCAGAGATAACAGAGGCTCTTCTCGGAAATATATTCGCTAAGATAGCGGCTGGGTTGGGTGGGTTTTTTCTATAAAAATTCGAGGATGGTGCAATAGATCTATCAGTTTGTTTTCTCACCACAATCGAAATGTTCGTCGCCAAGATTCTGCTCCTCTGCACTGCCTGTGTCCTGGTCAGTGCCGCGCCCCAAAGATTTCGAGATTTTGGACCTTTTGGAGCTCCCAGGGCGTTTGAGGAGGATGATCTGGCCAAGGCCCAGGAAGTCCTGCAGGCATCCCTGACGAAACTGGATGCTGGCGAAGGACCCCACTATCGGTGAGTGAGAGCACCTACAGTTTTAGAAGCCTATAGTTTATGGCAATACTTTCTTTTATCTTGTGTATTTCAGCATCTCCCAGATCCTGTCGGCAAGGGCTCCATTGGCTTCCGGGACCCTAAACACTTACTCCGTGGAACTGATTGACAGCTTTGGAGCTACTAAGGTGTGCGATGTGCTCATTTGGTCCCGACCCTGGATGCCCAACGGTATCCGGGTGACATTCGAATGCCCCAATGAACCAAAAGTGGTTAGGAATCACAGTGCATAAACAAATATTTTTGTATTTCGTTTAAAAATCATTTGCACCTCGATTGCTTGTGTGCTTTGTATAATTTTTAATAAAACCAGAACATATACACTATTATTTGTAATGAATTATGTTGCCGATACCTTAAATAATTGGACAATATATATTTTTTAAATAGTGATATTTATATTATTGAAATACTTTGTGTTATAGGGCGAACAGTGAATTTAATAATTCTTATCAACCGGAAAAAGTTGGCACCACGACCTCAGCAGACTAGAGATTCCACTGCAAAAAAAACTTCTATGAATCACAGAATTTTTGGAGGCTGATTTAATCGGAACAATTAGGGGTTCTGTTGAAAGCTAAATTCAAGTAAGTCTTATCAACAAGATGAGAGGGCGTGATCCATGGGTTTGCCTCTATAAATTAAGACTGGATCATTGTACTATTTGTGTGTCTCGTCTAACACGTAAACAAAGAAAACGGTTTTCAAATTCATTAGAAACAATTACAGACAACTCAAGAACGTTAAATAAATTATATTAACTATCAACAATAAGAAATATAAAATAATAACAAATTCTTTTATAATCCTGTTCCTTTACATACTTTCTTAAGAACCAACTATCCATCTTCTCCGATCTTTATTTTAGATTTCTAAAATAATTATGTTTTAACCTATGCTGAATTCATATTAATTGAAAATATCTAAATATATCGCTCAGACAATGCCGAACAGTTGTTTATAAGTTCCTGATTTAATTGAAATAATTAATGTTGCCTTTCTGAGCGGTGAAAAGGGCACTTGTTATTCCCTTGCTGAATACTTGTATGTGAGTTTCTGTTTCGGTTTTTGTTTTGGGATGTTGATCATGAGTCGAGCAAGTGCCAGAAAAGCAACTTAATGAATTCGACAAATTGCAAATTGGCCACTGCCTTTGGCGCCCCTTTCGTCACCTATTTTGACACACCCCTTTCGTCACCAATTTCGACACCCCTTTCGACACCTATTTCGTCACCCCTCTCGCCACCCATTTCGCTGCCCCTGTGTGGCAGCGGTGACGAAGAACACTCACGTGCATCGAATGCATCGGATGCATCGCAAAATTGGCCAACGCCAACCATTCCGCATTCGCCTTCCGACAGCAGCAACTTTAATTTAATGAAATGCAAAATAATGCCAAGCAAATCAAGCGTCGCAAAAAAACCAACTAAAATATTATAATAAAATTCGATGTATGCAAATGGCTTGCAAAATATGCATAAGCTAAAAACCAAAAAAAAAAAAAATGCCGCCGGCAACAACAATTTATTGGCGCTTTGACGCGTTTTTGCTGTGCTCCGCTGGCAATGAGGAATTTGGCGCCACCATTGGCCATGTCGTCGTCCGTATCACAAAGTTGCCACCGCGGAATATCCCATCCGTTCTGATCCGATCCCATCCAAAAAAAAAAAAACCAAAATAAATAAATAAAAAACACCCACTCGCCAAACAAAAAAAAAAACGTCGCCAAGAAATGCATAATTATTTTGTTGCCAGGTCAATCGACTTTTCACCTGCACTTCCGCTGCCAGAAAAAGTGGGCCTGGAAATGCATATGAAAATGAACATGGAAATGGAAATGCGGTGGAAAGCGGCCAAGTGATGAGCCAAGTGGCAACTAATTACAAGTTAATCGAGATGAAAACACATTGGTGTCGCAGCAAAATTGCTGCAAATGCTGCATTTGCAACCACAAAAAAAAAATAGAAAAAGAGGAGGGCGGCAGCCGCTATACTAAAATAATATTTTTGCAATTTATTGCAAAATAGAAAAACAAATGAAAGCCTAGAAGTAGAAGTCTACTTAATAATACCCTGCAATAGCTTTTTTTTTTTTGAGACGATGTATTTTTTTTTACTGAGAATTCCCTAGCTAATTCCATAACTAACTAAGCCTATATTATGTATCAAAGACTGGAATCCTTAAAAAAAAAAATACAAAAGTGGACTTGTCATACTTAAAATATGTTACTCATACGTATAAATATCACTCATACGTACAAATATCACTCATACGTACAAATTTCACTCATACGTACAAATATCACTCATACGTAGCGATGAATTTATTAACACTCATGATTTAAAAACTGTTAAGATATACAAAAATCATGATAAGTTTCAAAAATATAAAGGTTGTTACTTAAAACATGTTACTCATACGTATAAATATCACTCATACGTACAAAAATCACTCATACGTAATGATGACTTTATTAAAACTCAAGATTTAAAAACTGTTAAAACTTTACAAAAATCATGATAATTTAAAAAAATTTAGAAAGGTTGTCTTGCAATTCTTAAAACATATTACTTTTACGTATAGATATCACTCATACGTACAAATATCACTCATACGTACAGATATCACTCATACGTTAAAATGAAATGAAATATGAAATATTTCTAATTTAAAATATATTTTAGTTAAGGAATATATCAACTTTGAACTTACAAATACCTGACGGTCCATCATACCCCTAAAAATATCCTCGGCCGCACGAAAATAATCTATGAAAATTAGCTGAAAACCGAATGTATGCCATTTTCCCCGCTTTTCTTGTTGTTGCGTCTCTGGTGCTTTTTCCTCCTCTTTAATTTTCAGAGTCAATTAAAAATTGTTAATTTTACTTATAATTTTAAGGTAGGCAAAATGCAATGCGACGACGAAGACTGGCGAAAAAAAGTAGCAATTAAAATTTTTGCGCGACTTTGTCACATCGGTGAACAACAGGCTGAGGGGGAGGGGGAGGGGTGGCCTGTGGGGGCGTGTGAGAGGGGGGGCATGGCGGAAAATTTGCCGTTGAATGAACCGCTATTGCCGTACTGCTCTCTCATGGAGCAGCGTACTACGAGTACCAGAGATCGGAGAACTATATTGACCGCTCCACTGCAAGCGGAAAGATCTCGCCATGGAAGAGTAATGCCGCTGATTGGAGATATATACGATATATATATGCATATATATATATATAGTGTTTCAATTATATTTGCATATCAAGAGCCATGAATGGAAATGGTTTGTTTACCTCATAACGCACTCGATTTCAGTTGAATTGCTTTCTAAGAACCCAGACACGAGGCAAAGCAAAATGAGGTGTAGCCAAATTATATGTTTTGTTAATTATTATTTTACCCTTGGGTGGAAAACGATTTCGTTCTGAAATCACATAAAAATAGTCCCTTAAAGACAAAAGAGCATCATAGAAACATCTAGAGATTTGAAAAACATTGCTTCCGAATTTGTAAGATTTTCGAAAGTTTATAAATGCACTTTTTGATCCGTTTAAGACTTACAGTACCCTGAATTTAAATCAGGTCTTGAAAATCTATCTAATACAATAAATAGCAAAAAAATACAATGAATAAAACAATTTATTGAGATAATTAATTGCATTATTACTTACGTGTAACTATGGTCCAAAATATTACTTTTTCTTGCAATCGGATTTAGATTATAAGCTGATTTGAAAAATAATGATTCAATTATCTCAACAGAATAAGTATGTTAAGCCGCACAGAACAGCCTTTTTTGGTATTTAAATCATCGTAATGGGTAAATTCAAATGGAATTCCGTCCGAATAAAATCGAAACTGGCCCGAATATATTTCAATTTTTCCCGATAAGCTGATCCGAACCGATGAGTCTATATTTCAGGCGATGTATTCCAATTCCCATCGTTTTCCCGGGCAGATGGCGGTCATCGGGGGCATGCCAAACTTCATTCACCTCAATGCCAATTACACGGCATGGACATTTTCAAAGCCCCAGTCCACCCACCGACCGCAATTCTTTTTGGGCGAATTTCGCATTTGATTTTAATACACTTAAACGCAATCAATTTTATTGCTCTCGTTGCGGTTGCCTGTCGAATCGAATTCGATTTGATTTGCTTTTGAACGCGCCATGTTTTCAGGGGTCTGCGGATGCGGATTTGGATTTGGATTTGGATTGGGATTCGGTCTGGTCATGGATAGCGATTCCCAGTCCACACCTGAAGAATCCGATCGAGACGAGACGAGATGTGGCAGGGAAAAACTTGTTTACAAGCTAAATGCGGGCGTGGAATGTTACGAAAATGTTGCTGCGTTCCATATGCACATGATCTGCGGATGATCATGATCCATATATATATATATATATATATACATATATATATCGGCGACTTATGTGCTAACATAAAACAGATGACGAACGGCAGCTGTGACTGCCAATTTCGCCTCAAAAACTAAACAGATATCGATTTACCAAGTGCTCTTTATAAATTCGAATTTTTCAAAACAGATGCTATCGTCATAAAGCAAGTAAGTGTCTGGAAATTCTCTAAAATGTTGCAAATAATAAATACATCACATTCTAAGTAAGCTAGCTAAAAACTTAAGAACCTTAAATACATGTTGTTAAAAACACAAGTCTATTAAAATAATACCTATAACTGTTGTTATTTTCGTGATACTTTTAATAACTGATATTTAAATAACATAATATAAATACTAAAAATAACATTTTAATAAAATGTCATTGTGTAATATTTTCTATTGCCTATTTATAAAAGCCAAACAAATATACACATACCTGTACTGAGATGAGTTTTAATAAGCAACCATTAAATACTTTTTGTATTCCTGAATTATTGTTTCTGGTTTTCGTACGAACATAGTCAAAGTTATTGTAGGTCAAGTCATAACCATGCGGATGGGGTTGATGGGGGCCCACCGATTTCTGGAGAACTTAGTCCAGCTTGGCGACTGCAACGGAGGTGATCTCCATCAGAATGGCACGGCGATCGCAGATCTGGTTGCTCAGGGTGAGTAAATGAGTAAATTTATGGCCCATTTACAAGTGTCTCTATTGGCAAACAAACCGGTTGCAAACGGAGACCCGGGGAAATATTCAAATGGGTCATGCATCTGCGCTTATTCTGGTTTGTTCAGATCAAACCGAACGAAAGAATATTCACTGCTTGTCAGTTTATTTTTAGAAAATACCCTTGGTGTAATCACATATACCCTATCAATTGTTCTCAACTTTCGTGACCCTATTGTTTTTCTTTAAATGAAAAATTTCCGATTTACAACAAAGTGTAATTGAAATGCGCGCAAACGATTCGGTCCCAATATAAAATCTATAATTTGAAAACTATTTATTTTTACAAAAAAGTACATACGTATATTGCAACATTCTCAATTTTCAAAAGCAAAGTTTTTTTTATAGTGTGAGGCAATAAATGATTGGATTGATCATGAAACACTCATCTTGCTGATAAGACTTATGTTCTTTTATTGTACTCAATGGTTTTTTGCGGAGCTTAAACACAAACTTTATTAGGGGGCTGTTAATCTTTCTCTTTTATCAGAGATGATTATGCACTGTGAAATTTAACCAGTTTAGGTTCATTGGGGCAATCGAATGTCACCTGGATACCGTTGGGCAGCCAAGATCGGGACCAAATGTCCACATTGCACACTTTAGTAGCTCCAAAGTTGTCAATCAGTTCCACGGAGTATACGTCCTTATTCCCGGCAACTACTTGAGTCGATGCCGACAGGATTCTGGAGATGCTAAAATACACAAAATAAAAGAAAATATAGGCTTCGAAGAAGTGAAAATGAAATGGGCTTCTCACTCACCGATAGTGGGGTCCTTCGCCATCGTCCAGTTTCGTCAGGGATGCCTGCAGGACTTCCTGGGCCTTGACCAGATCCTCACCCTCAACCGTCTGGGGAGCTCCAAAACCTCCAAATCCTTGGGGCGTGGCACCGACCAGGACACAGGCAGTGGAGAGGAGCAGAATCTTGGTGACGAACATTTCGGATGGTTTTGGTTTTGCTGGCGTTTCGATTGCGGAACGAAAACAAACTGATGGATCGATCGCACCGTACTCGAATTTTTATAGGAGAACCTAGACTAGTCGCCATCCCATCAAGCCTAATTAGTGTACAAGTTTTTCAAGGGATTATCGCATCTGTAAGGTTCTTGATTGCCTTCGTTTCAAGCGATAAGGCTTTCGGTTTCACTTGCCGATTAAAAAAAACCAAAACAAAAATGCTTTTCACTTTGATTTAAGATGGAGGTTTTTTGGTCTGACTTATGATTATGATTATTCAATGACGCAAATTGGTTTGTAATTATATAATATTAAAAAAGAAACCTCTCCTGCTTTTATTTGCAGTGGTCTTTTCCGCTGCTGCTGCTGGTGGCAGTGGCACCGCCGGCGGTCCCCGCCATCCGCTCCTCGCAGTCGCTGGCCCTCCTCCGGGCACGGGATCAGTGCAGCCGGGGACTGACTCCCGCCCAGCGGCTCCACCTGGACGGGATGCAGTTCGAGGACGCTCCGCATGTGCGCCACTACATCCATTGCTTCTGGACGCGCCTGCAGCTGTGGCAGGACGCCTCCGGCTTCCAGGCCCAGAGGATCGTCCAGAGTTTCGGAGGCGAGAGACGCCTCAATGTGGAGCAGGCGCTGCCCGCCATCAACGGCTGCAATGCGAAGACGAGGGTCAGAGCTTCCGGATCGGGATCGGGATTGGGGTCGGGATCCCAGGCAGTGGTCGACTGGTGTTTCCGGGCATTTGCCTGTGTGCTGGCCACACCAGTGGGCGAGTGGTACAAGCGCCACATGTCCGACGTCATCAATGGAAATGCCTAAAAGTAACCAAAACCAGTCCCACTATAAACAATATAAAATTAAGTGTAAGCAGTGGGGCTTGGAATAATTCCGAACTAACTAAATGGTATGACCCCTACTTAAAGTACAATCAGAAAGAGTAGTGCATGTTAGGATTTATAAATATTAACCAAAATTTGTAGCTCACAAATTATAGGATTGAACTTTAAAGCCAAGAAATATTTAAAGAAGCAAACAAATTTTATTGTATTAAGTGATCAATGAAATAATTTAGATGTAAGATTTTTAAATTTTGAGATATCAAATAATAAATAATGCAAAACGTAATAATTGAAGCAAGACTTTGCTAAAACATGTTTACGATAAATAATCTGTAATCCTAATTCTTAAAAATAAATAAATACATGATATATATATTACTATACATATATATATTAGATTCCATAACTTTACCAACTATAATCCGATTTCAAAGTGGCATACCTCTAAAGACTTGTGGAATGATTCTCTAAAAATCTGCATTCAAAATTTTCATTTTAACGTTGATCGAATTTTGGACCCATTTTCATGTTGATTATTTCTAAGTTTCCGATGAGGTGACCTACAATTGGACTTATAGATTCCATAACTTTACCAAATATAATCCGATTTCAAAGTGGCATACCTCTAAAGACTTGTGGAATGATTCTCTAAAAATCTGCATTCAAAATTTTCATTTTAACGTTGATCGAATTTTGGACCCATTTTCATGTTGATTATTTCTAAGTTTCCGATGAGTGGCCCAAAGGTGACCCACACTTGGACTTCCACAGTCCATAACTTTTTCAAATTTAGTCCGATTTCAAAGTGGCATACCTCTAAAGACTTGTGGAATGATTCTCTAAAAATCTGCATTCAAAATTTTCATTTTAACGTTGATCGAATTTTGGACCCATTTTCATGTTGATTATTTCTAAGTTTCCGATGAGTTGCCCAAAGGTGGCCCACAATTGGACTTCCACAGTCCATAACTTTTTCAAATTTAGTCCGATTTCAAAGTGGCATACCTCTAAAGACTTGTGGAATGATTCTCTAAAAATCTGCATTCAAAATTTTCATTTTAACGTTAATCGAATTTTGGACCCATTTTCACGTTGATCATTTCTAAGTTTCCGATGAGTTGCCCAAAGGTGACCCACAATTGGACTTCCAGAGTCCATAACTTTTTCAAATATAATCCGATTTCAAAGTGGCATACCTCTAAAGACTTGTGGAATGATTCTCTAAAAATCTGCATTCAAAATTTTCATTTTAACGTTGATCGAATTTTGGGCCCATTTTCATGTTGATTATTTCTAAGTTTCCGATGAGTGGCCCAAAGGTGACCCACACTTGGACTTCCACAGTCCATAACTTTTTCAAATTTAGTCCGATTTCAAAGTGGCATACCTCTAAAGACTTGTGGAATGATTCTCTAAAAATCTGCATTCAAAATTTTCATTTTAACGTTGATCGAATTTTGGACCCATTTTCATGTTGATTATTTCTAAGTTTCCGATGAGTTGCCCAAAGGTGGCCCACAATTGGACTTCCACAGTCCATAACTTTTTCAAATTTAGTCCGATTTCAAAGTGACATACCTCTAAAGACTTGTGGAATGATTCTCTAAAAATCTGCATTCAAAATTTTCATTTTAACGTTGATCGAATTTTGGACCCATTTTCATGTTGATTATTTCTAAGTTTCCGATGAGTGGCCCAAAGGTGACCCACACTTGGACTTCCACAGTCCATAACCTTTTCAAATTTAGTCCGATTTCAAAGTGACATACCTCTAAAGACTTGTGGAATGATTCTCTAAAAATCTGCATTCAAAATTTTCATTTTAACGTCAATCGAATTTTGGACCCATTTTCACGTTGATCATTTCTAAGTTTCCGATGAGTTGCCCAAAGGTGACCCACAATTGGACTTCCACAGTCCATAACTTTTTCAAATATAATCCGATTTCAAAGTGGCATACCTCTAAAGACTTGTGGAATGATTCTCTAAAAATCTGCATTCAAAATTTTCATTTTAGCGTTGACCGACTTTTTGACCCATTTATATGTTGGTTATTTCTAAGTTTCTGATGAGTTGTAAAAAGGTTACCCACACTTGGACTTCCACAACTTGCAAAAAGGTCACAATTGGTTTGTTTGTTTCCCTTCAACGTCTGTTTGTTTTGATTTTATTTTATTAAATTAATTTTGTTTTAAAAATGTTTAGTAAAAAACTTTACTTGGCCCAAGAATATTTAATAAGGTTATCTTGCAGGAGAAAACTATATTTTTAAGGATAGCAAAAACGATGGTTTCTTAGCCTGAACTTTTCCTATTACTTTTTTCTTTCCTTACAATAATATTTGTATGAGGTTTTGAATCGTAAGCATGAAAAGTAAATTATGCCAAAATCAAGCTTAGTTTTCATAAAAACGCCTACTAGTTAAGATCAGTGTGGTCGAAGAAATAAGCCTGGACCCAAAATTGAAAGCTAGTAGGTCTTAGCTGCTAAATTCGAAAATATGTTACAATAGACCCTATGAAACGTAGAGCTTTGATGAGAGATTCGGGGAACCAGAAAGAATGAAAAGCCGAGAAACTCGCGACTTTGGTCAACCGGAAGAATCCATCATAGGCAGCAGCGATGTCGCACTCCGCTGCAGTATCCTGGGCCAGCCATTAGCCTCTGTCCTGTTGGAGGAGGAGCAGCAGTATCAGGATGATCGGCAGCAACAGGATCATCAGGATCATCCGGAGCAGCAGCAGCACCAGCAGTCGCAGCAGGATCAGGCGCAGGAGGAGGAGGAGGGGGGCAACTCCGCGGCAACCGGCAACGAAGCGGCCCAGAGTCAGGACTCGGGTGCGGTGCAGGGCCAGGATCAGGATCAGGATGCGCCGAAGAAGCGCTGCGACAAGTGCGGCAAGAAGCTCGGCCTCACCGGGGGATTCCCCTGCCGCTGCGGCGGCACCTACTGCGCCGTCCACCGGTACAGTGATCGCCACGAGTGCAACTTCGACTACCGCGAAATGGGCGCCAACGAGATACGGCGCGACAATCCCGTGGTCGTGGCCAGCAAGTTGCGAAAGCTCTGAGTTTATTTTTTCTGACCACCCATGGCTAAGACCAACCAGCTAAATCGAAAACAAAATCAAAAAAAAATTAATAATAAAAGCTACAGCCTGTTCTTTCGTTAAAGTTAAATTTAAATTTATATTTGAATTTCGATAGACTGTGTGTGCTTGTTGCAGCCCTGGTAGCAGGGTTGTCGTTCTCCCAAGATTTATTAGCCACCAATTTGAACGTAGCTTGAGACGCCTTACAAATGTAAGCTTTGATTGGCCGACTCATATTTCCTGATCATGAGTTGCATTTATAGTACAATTGGAACTTCCCTAAATTTTTTTTATTATATTCTTAACCATAATTTCCAAGCTAAGCTTACTTTTTCACACTATAAGTTTTTAGCCAGATAATTATAAATCTTATTTTATCAACATAATTGTTATATAATTCTTAGATTTGATTCATTTGTTTGGAGTACTACTTAAAAGAAACTAAAATTTGTTAGAAAACTTAAAAAACGTTTTTCCCCATAATAATCAAGCAAATATAAGGACGCCAAAAATGAGTCTTCCAATATTTTTTATAGAAAGTTTTTATTAAAATAATGTACAATATATCAGATTGAAATTTGTATAAATAAACGCAATTCTTTGATGATAACAAGTGAAAAAGTGAATTAAATTTACTCTTGTCGGCTGCAAATTTTAATTCTGAGTAAAATAAAAATGAGATGACAACAAAATTGTTTAAACTAAATTTAGTGGAAATGAAAATCAGTTATTAAGTGTATATACTGATAAGACCATACATAATTTTTTAAATGGTCATTTGAGTATTTAATACAAAAAGCTGTGGCCAATAACACGATAATATGGTGGAAAAAAAAAAATAGTGCATACAAAAATGTTAAAAAATAATACAATTAAATTTTCTTAAGGCATTTTTAATTTAAGCTAATTTTTGATATAAACTAAAATATTTATTTCATTCAAATATTTAATGTCACAATACTGTGTGAAAAAGAGTCCTAGATGAGTGGTGTCCACTTTTGCTTTTTATTTATTTTGTGAATGCTTTTTTATCTATAATGTAAATAATGGTTAATATTTTAGTCATTTAAGAGTGTTTTCCAAAAGAAATCAAAATCCAAAATGCTTGGAATCCACTTAAGAAGGAGCGATACATTTATCTAGAAATTATTTCAGATATCATAATATCTACTAAGAGAACAGAGTTCAAAAACGATTTGGAAAGTGTTCTAATTAAGTGGAAATGCCTGTAACCAATAATTGGTTTTACTTGAGAATAAGATATTATGGTTTTATATTATTTGTTCATTTGAGAAGGAGACTGGGGATCTACTTGAAGAGGAGCGGCAGTCGGCAGTGGGGCTCCGTCTCGCTGGGATTGTCCGAGTACAAGGACACCGTCCGGCCACTCAGATCGAAGATGCCCACGGCAATGGTCTTGACCACCTCGTCGCATCTCTTGTTTTCCCGCCACACGCAGTAATCTCCGCCAGAAACGTCGCCCAGCATGTGCCGCACATCCAGTTCGCTCATCGGCGGCTTATAACATCCGAAGGTCTGCATCCGCGAGATACTCGACTCGATCATCAGGTCGTTGGCCTGGTCCTGCCGGATGCGATCGAATCTGCAAGGGGTACATTATATTATATATTTTATATTTTCTGTATATTCCCCAATCTACTCACTGATTGACATGGTAATTATGCTCGCCCAGTGGAATCTCCTTGATGTTCAAATGTGACTCATTCTTTCGTTCCGGCGATGGAGCCATCTCCACATTGTAGCACATCTGTCGGGGATCACTGTTGGATAACAAATACCTATTACTAGTACTTCCATTCCCATTAAGTACATATACCACACTCACGCCAGGAAGGTGAAGTTGATGGAACAGGCATCCGCCGCTCCCACTCCCGCATCCCTGAGCACCCTGAAGGCATCGTCCACGTTGCTGGTGGCCAACAGGGCTCTGGTGATGAAGTGACGAGCTGGGGAGTAGATAAACGTAAGATGTTTCAATATAATAAGGTAGTAATTCCTTTTAAAATTAGCAATCAAGTGGCATTCAAAGCTAAAAACCTTTTTTTCGAATAAAATCAAAAACCCTTAAGACATATACATATATAGTCCAAAATTCGGAAAAAATCTCCTCGATTTTTCGATTTTTTAATCAAATCCCTGGGAAATAGTGGTCGCATGTTGGAATGTTATACCTCGTTAAATTCGTTACAAAATTTCCAATCAAGTGGCATTTATAGCTAACAAATTGTATTCAAACAAAATCATGAAAAACAATTTGGCCAAAATCATGAAAAAATCATCAATTTTAGTTATTTGATAAAACCCTGGGAAATAATGGTCACTTACACTCAGAGAACACGTCAAAGAGAAAATAATTTAAGAGCGATAAAATGGCCCAATTAAATATTTCTTTAGAAAAATTATAAAACAAAAAAGGCTAAGTACATGAATTTATATTTAAAACAACAACAAAATGTTATCAATTTTAATGGCCACAAAAAAAAAATGAATTTTAGTATTTTGATTTAAAACCGCAAAATAAATGTTATCATGAACTTTAGTAATTTAATTTATATTTTAATATTCAGTAGCAAAAATTTCTTTTTTAACATTAGTTTTGGGTAGCAACAAGAAAAATTACTTTTTTGTAGGTTTCTAACTCATAAACTGCTTGTAAAGCTAAGATCACTCAATTTACTATGATTTATAGGATTTATATATATGAGTATTTAAGTCATAAACTTTTAAAGGCATAAGTAACTTAGTTTTGGTTTCATTTTCACCGATTTTTCGGGGCACTTACGGGTCTTGCCGCTGCGTAAAAGTTCCGCACTGATCGTGTTGATGCTGAACACCAGTCCGTGGTGGTTCTGGCTCATGGTGTATCCTGGCAGGTGTCCTGCGTAGCACAAGGACATGAAGTGCTCCTCCTTCACGTTGTACTTGCCCTGCGGCTTGTCGCTGATGATGTGGGCCACCACGAAGTAGTAATGGTTGAGGGTCTCCGTCAGGGCATCCTCCGTGTGGCCCAACAGGCGCTATCGCCGCAAGTCCACAAATAATTGAATATTAAAATTAATTTATAAATATCCCAAGCCAAGGGTTTTACTCACGCAATTCTTCTGGTTGACGACAATCGTGGAGCATCCAGTGGGTTGGTTCTTGCTACGTGGCTGGTGCTTCAATGCCTGCGGCAGAATCTCATCCAGGTGCAGTAAAAATAGCTGTTGTAAGACACAAAAAGTATAATTTATATTTAATCGTAAACAATAGAGCAAGGTGCATTTTTGCTGTCTTTTTTATAACCAGTACAACGCTTCTTATTTTAATATTAATGAAACACTGGCACAAATTGGCTTTTGTTCATTTAATCTGCAGTTCGATTCCATATATAAAGTATTCCTTTAATATGTGTCCAAAGGTTCCAAGCTTTCCGTACAGAGATTATTGTAGTTCGAAGACAATTACGGTTAAGTTATAACAAAACAAGGTAATATAATGGCTCATTAGTTATTTTAGAACATTTACAATACTTATCTAAGATGTATCTGTGCAATTATACATACATTTTAGCCCCCTGCCAGTCATGGCTCATAAAATCATCAACTTAAATGCACTCTTAAGTCGACTAATTTGAATTATGAAATGCCACCACCTGGGCGCCACACTGATCAATCCCACCAAGACGAAGGCGACGCACCGTGACCATAGACCATAGCCAGATTCTCAGTTGACTTGGCCAAGGTCGGTGCGATTTTTGCGTGCAATTAATTGGCATCGCCATCGAGTGCAGAAATTATAGCACATTAACGAGGCGATTATACCTTCAATGCGATCCAATCCGATCCGATCCGATACGATCCGATCTTTGTCTGCCCACGGCGGAGATACTTAGTCATGCTAATAAGCCCGTTTAATCGATGGCTTTCACTCCCCCCATCGCAGTCCCATTCCCATTTCTCATCTCCATCCCACATACAATTTAAATTCGAAGAAGAATCGAATCCCAATTCAAAGAAGCCAACCAAGGGTTCGTCACCGCCTTTCGCCGGCTTCTCTTGACGGCTTTTTACGTATATGTATGTATGTGCGCCTTGGCCAATGACAAATTGGCTTACAAAATCAGAAAATAAGCAATGATGCTTTTAAATACCCTAACCGAGTGTGATCATGTTCAGATTATTATTAACTATTGAAAAGTAAGCCAAGCCCCTGAAACCAATCTTCATATATTATTTTGCATTAAATGTAATAAAATGAATTCGAATTCGTTGGTAGTTCTTAGGTTATGCCCAGTAAATTAATAATAAATGTATTTCCTGGGCTTTCATTTTTATCATAAACAAAAGCAATGAAAAAAAATTATCTTCTGATAACCAAGTTTAATAAGAGTAAGCCTCAAAAAACAAAAAAAAAAAGAAAAAGAAAAAGCCCTTGATATGAATTAAGATATAAATCATAAGCCTATAGAATTAAAGAAAATGGAAAATAGTAAATTACTTTCACTTTACAATTAAACAGGTTTTAAGAGAAAAGAATATACATTCTAATAGATTTTTTTTTTCAAAACGAAAGATTTTAGATTCTAATCAGCAAAACTAATTTGGATTTATTAATGAGACTTCTTCCGATGCAAACTATGAATGTTTAAAAGGAAAATAGGAAACTTATGGGTCTTGTTGAAAAATAAACTTCATTGGCATAGTGTTTTGATCCGCCGTAAAAGGGTATGCATTTGGAAAGACAGTCACTTGGCAAAAAAGACCGGCTGTCTATCATATTATTGTCGAGACCCCGAAACGGAACTAGTTCAATGTTTGCGCTCTGCACGGTCACCATTTCGAGTTCTGTTTGCGCACAGTGAGCACCGGCTAGGCGCAACGACCACTAGCTAATTACCGCTGTCTATCTTAACCCCCCCCCACCCCCACTCAACAGTCGATTGTGTAATCGAAAAAATTAAAACGGAATTAAAGTTGAACATCTAATTGCACGACCATGCGATTAGATAACACCCGATCGAACCCATAAATATGGAATAGTCTAAAACAGCAGGCACGGTAGGCAATTAGCACTGTACGTGGGGCAGTGCACTCGCAAATTGCATTTAATGTTGTCATTGGGGTTACAACTTGCCAACTGCAACAGCAACAGCAACACAAAACACGCAACACGCAACACGAGGCTCGTGGTTTTTATTTGGGTTCGGATTTGGATAAAGGGGCACTACTAATGGGCCTATAGATAGAACCCATAGACCGTTAGAACCCACTCCCACGACAGGCCTTGCCGTGCGATTATTATTGTTCAATTGCAATTACAATATTTAAGCCAGAGCCGGCCAATTATGTGTATTCGTTTTAATGGCCATTTAATTGTGTATTATATTATTAGCTAAATAGCTAATAAGCCGTTTACAGTTGGGCGCCAATTAGTTGACTTGACTCACCTTATGAAATTCCACCTCCGCACCATCGGCCACGCCCTCCAGTTCGCGAATATACTGCGGGAAGCTGTCCTTGACCGATCCCAGGGTCTCATTATATATTTGCCCTGCAAATCGAAATCGAAATGGAAATGGAAATCGAAAAATATAGATCAGATCACCGTGAATCACTTGGCACTTATCCATCATACACTCAAGTTTTGGTACTCACTGCCTTTTGGGGACTGGTAGAGCGGCAAGTAGGTCTCGTTGAGGGGCTTCGACAAGATCAGAAAGTTCTTGATCATCGAACCGAATGTGCGGCCCTGCAATTATAATTTATTTATTTATTATATTACTCGAAACGATTAAATGCTTTCCCATTTGGACACGATCTCTGATCGATTCGCCAAAACGCTCGGGGTGTTTGTTTAATGGAAGACAACAACGAATTTGAAAACGGACACAGAACAGAAACATAATCGATCACGACCGATCGCAGTGTAAACAAAGCCACCAACTAAGACACAAAAAATATGAATAATTATACAATATATTGAGAACATTGCCCGTTGCCAAGTGTATGGAGATTGACTTGAGGTAACCTTTTGGGTGGGTCCCGAACAAGGCGACAAAAATGGACACGGATGCGGACGCACGTCCATCAAATAATTGTAAAATTTCCATTATCGACAACCAACAAAATCCCTATTGAAGAGAAAGTTTTTTGAACTGCATGATGTATTTCTTGAAAGGTAGTTAGACTCCGATTGAATATATTATTATATTTCTTTGGAAATTAGGAAAAAAATGTTTTGCTTAAAAAAACTTTTACCACTCCTTTTTTATAAACATTTTAAATACAATAATATATTGTAACATCTTCAATCTATTTGTTATTTAAATTTTAAGAAAATTGTTTAAGTAGCTTTAGAAATGTAAGCCGGTTTTCCTTTTTTTTCATATACTGTAAGGTTTTTTATAACAATAATAAGGTATTATAATTTATTTTATGACAAGTGTCACCAGGCTTCAATGTTTTTATTGTTGTCTAAGTGTAGCAATTATTCTTGGCCCGATTGAAAGGAAAAAAAAAAGACAGTTAGACAAAAGCCACGAGTATCACGAATCTGCATTAGTAAACAGCGTCTGTGTCGGGGATTTGTCAAACGAATCGAGGTCTTTTGGGGGGCTAGCCATTAAGATAAAGCCCAACTGGCTTCAGTTTATAACGACCGCAGTCCAGATAAAGCAGGGGGTTATCAGGTAAAGTCGATATATGTATGACCCACTGGAAGTACAATAGGTGCAGCATTTCTGTTCTACCAGTAACCGACTTTTAAATCACTTGAAATGCTCAATTCCTAAAAGGATCCTTTGCAGACTTTTTCTTCTTAATTTAAATCTTCTCTTTCGTTGAAATACAGTCCTACTTCAGTCTTTGTAAATTAATTTTGGTCAATTTTGTTGCTTCACTACAGTGCTACTTAGAATGCAGTTGTATTTAGCATGCGATTGTGCTTTTAAATAAACTTTGTTGAATTTTAAAAGTAAGATTTTATAACACGTTGATTGACAAATTGTAGTTCTTATTTTTCATATGGCTTTAAATAATACTGCTTAGAAAGTAAAGTTGAAATACATGAATTCATAATAATTAAGGACTTTAATATTGTGTACTAAATTTTTGTACGGCCTTTCAGATTTTGTTTGGAACTTAATATGTCAAACAGCCTAGTTTTTTAAAGAAAAAAATTAAAACCATACGAAAAGTTCCTTTTTAACATAAAATACATTCTTGAGATTAATGTTGAAATTTGGAAAATGGTTTTGTTAATTAATTAATTAGCAAAACTGGAATAAAAATTAATTGTATAACTTTAAAACTAAAAAAAACATTTTTAAGTGTGACTTGGAATTCGGGAAGGCCTTAAGTACCAATAAAAATATTTTTATTTTATGTAATATATAAACTATTAACAATTTTACTTGGTATCCCAAAAACATTATTGGTAAGGGTATATTTTAAAACTTAAAGTCCGAAATTTATGGCCCGTTCTTCCCCAAATAAACTTCTAATAATAGCTGGCAAACCATTAAAAATGTAGCTGTCGTGACCCACTCACAAGGTGAATGAGTGTTCTTAAAGGTCGAGAAAGTTTTGGGGGAGTGGGTGTGGGAGTACTTACCATATCGAACCCGACCTCATAGTGGGTGCCCCGTGTGTAGAGGATTGGCACCGCCTGGCGACGTGGCAGGATCTTTCCGGAGGACATAGTTGCAATGAGATCTGAAAGGGGTTGGAAATTGGGAGTCCGAAATTGGGTGTTCTGAGTTCTGAGATCTGAAAGAAGTACACTGCTAATTTCTTATCAGGCGGGGAGAGCAGCGAAAAGCTCTTTTGTACTTGGCAGAAAAAAAAAGAAAGAGTCGCGTTCGTTGATATGATAACAAAACGTTAGTTGTAAACAAAAATAAGGCTTGTTTTTTAGTACGCCAACAGATTTGTTCTAAAGCGCTTGAAGGCAGAATTCAAACTGATTTGTTTTGTTTTGGCGCTTCGGCAGGCAAACGTCGCAGTCGCCGCCGCTTACTCAGTCGCTGCCTCAGTCGCTGCCTCGGCCGCTGCCTTAGTCGCTGCTTCAGTTCCGACCGCAACTGCGGCGTTATCGATTACGGCCGTTAGTTAACCCATTACCGACCACGAATTCCTCGGACTCGAACTCGGGTCCAACACTGCAACATATCTAATTAATTAAGTAATTGATCAACTTTCATTCATCAAATTTGTATAGAATTAATATTAACAATATAATATAATATGATATAACATTTTTAAAAAAATTGCTTTCCCCATTTATTAACAATGTTATTATTATTTTGTATTATCATAGCTTTTAAATATTAAAAATATTAATAAGCCCTTTTAGAATATAAATTCCGTACTAATGCTGTTTGAATAAATTATACAAAATCAAAGTTACTAATACACATGTCCAAATAATTATGAATTATTACACTATAAAATTTAAAATCATAAGAAAAAAATTAAAAATCATCACAAACTTTTTCCTTAAAATGAGATAGATCTCTACAGTGATTTTTGTTAAACTATTTTTTAGGGTATTTTCTAGTAGATTATGCAGCATCTAAAAGTCAGGGGCTAAAAGGGATCTCGGCACTTTCAGATTCCATTAACCACAAATTCCACGATTATAAACTTCATTCTATATATTCTATTCGCAAAAATGTAGATATTCGAATTCTTTTGGCTGGTAAGTCAATTAGTCGTCGTCTAATAGGCTTTACGGCTTAATGAAACGCTTTTGTTTTATTTCATTACCCTCTTCTTTTGCGTATACGTAATATGAGTGCTAGAAATACCCCTATATACCCCGTTACTCCCCCTCTACCCAACAATTGACCATGAATATTTTCGCTTTTGTTTGCCATTCATATAAACACGTTTTCGATTGTTTCGCCGTTTTCTTTTCTTTCCATTTATTGCTTTTAACTGGGTTGATTTTTGCATTCCCCATTTTCTGGTTAATTTCCACGCTAACTGAAAAGCGTGAGAATCGATAATTAATATTTATGAGCAAATTATAGATTGTTTTTGGGGATTAGAATTTCCAGACAACCAAATTAAACAAATGAAATGCGAATAAATTACAATTTTAGCCCAAGCCTCTCAAAATATATTCAATCCATATGCCACTTGCATTTCAATTATTTTTTTTATTTTCGTTATATGAGAGAGCGTTCAATGTGGCCTATAATCGCGATGATAATGATGCTCATGATAATGATGATGCGCCGCAACTTTCTCAGTATCTTTTTGCCCATTAGCATCACAATTAAATGTTTACTAATTTCGTGGCGAAAAAAAAAACACAGAGCGGCGCGAAACTAAAATAATATTAGCGATATGCCAATATTATATAAGTGAGAATATCCATTATGAATGAACGCATATATCTATGTATCCACAGACGCTATTATTTCCCTGATGGCTTCAAAAGTTCGAACAGATCAGGTCGCTTTCATTATTCAATTTGTATTAACTTTCCTTCGTTGTTGTTGCCGCTGTTTGGCTGTCGGCTAGAAAAAGTATACATATGCGTCGCATTTCAATAATAATGAAAACAAAAGTTAAAACAAATAAAACCCACAAAACAACCGCTAGGTTTAGGGTGAAAGAGAGGGAGAGAGTGAGATGCCATCGAACGGTGATTGCAAGAAAATGACATTTTACAGTTCCCCATTTACACTCACCTGTTTCTGGGGACCGGGGACTATCTAGTCTAGTTGGTAACGCTCTTTGAGAAACCCGAAGAACACATCGGCAACCAAAGGTTAGTCAACAATACATACATATATTGGTTTCCAAGATCACGTCATTCATTATACCGACTTCTGGTAATTCAATAAATAAATATCAAAACATAATACTCTAAGAAAAATTAATAATTAATGCTTCAACAGATCCATAGTTTAAAGTTGATAAAAAAAATATCATATTTTATGTATTTGCCTGCTATACATTTAAATTGAATTATTATATCATTACTATTATTTCGAGAATTTGTTTATTACACCTCGAATTGGTAATAGAGATCATAATAAAAAACCAATGAGTTAAGGCTAACAAATAAATCAAGAACTATGATAATGAAATAAGGAAACAGATAAGGAGCATAAGATATACAAATTTTGGAAAGAGTTTTAAATTATTCCTTATGTCTTAATATGTTTTAATCGTTTTAAAGATTGTAGAATACATTAGACATTCCTAGAAAAAAGGTTTTTTTAATATCTTAAATCTTAACAATACAATTAATATATTCAGGTTATACTCTTTTTTTCTATATTATTAAGGTACGTAATATAGAAAAAGAGCATTTCAGGGTCGACCCGTTCCAAAGTGTTACCCATTTCACCCGGGGGCTCGTAGGTCAAGATGCTTGTCGTCGCCAGCATTGGCTCTTGTATATAAATTTTGACAAAAGAAAGACTTCGGTTTAAACCAATTTTGGCAAGGCGGCGGCCATAAGGTGATCACCACTCGACGCGAAGACATGGCTTGGATTGACTTCCACACGCAGGTGCAACATCTGCTCCGACTGGCGGTGCTGCTGATCTGTGTGATCCCCCTCCCATTGGCGACGGGATTCGGCAACGAGTACGTCCACATCAAGGTGCATGTGCCCAAGGAGGAGTCGGCGGCGGAGGAGTCGCCGCACAAGGTGATCCACCACTATCACCACCATCCGCATCCGCACCAGCTGCTGCGGAATCACGGACGAGCCCGTCCCAAGCCGAGTCCTTTGCTGGAGAGCGTAATCCTCTCGGATCTGGACAAGCCGCTGCACATGAGCGAGCACGCGGACTACCTGAATCATGCCAAGGAGCTGGCCGACCATCTCACGGAGACCTACGCCAAGAAGTCACCTCCGCCGCCCAAGAAGAAGGTCAACACATATACCATCATCGAGGAGCAGCACAGGCCACATGGCTACGACTACGAGGATCGTCCGGAGCACAATGTGGAGACGTACCGTGTAATTGAGTCGCGACCCAAGCAGCACCACCACCACAGCCACCACCATCCGTCGGAGGAGGAGGACGAGGATGTGGGGTATCACTATCAGGCTGCGGAGAACCACCATCATCACTCGCTGGGCATCGGTGCCTACGCGGAGCCCGCTCCCGTGGAGGAGCACTTGGAGCAGGAGCCGGACTTGGGCTACATCTACTCACCGCCACCCAGCCACGCCTACATCCCGCCCAGCCACAGCAAGGTGCACCGCAACTCCAAGGCAAACAGGGCACCAGCGTACACCCTCGAGGCGCCGCAGGAATCCTCCTACGGATACGATTACTCAAGGCCATCGGCCGGAGGCAGCAGCAGCGACTTCAGGCCATCCGTTCAGGTGCCGGCCAGCGACCCTTACGGCGAGGAGGAGCCGTTGGACACCTATGGACCACCACCACCACCACAGCCATCGGCAACCAGGCGTCGCCGGCCATCCGCATCCCTCGTGGATTGGCCAGAGACCAAGGGATTTAACAGTGCCGCCGCGGAGACATACAGCGGCGTCGATAGCTACAACGTGGGTCATGTCCAGGGCTATGGTTCCAGTGGCTACCAGTACAGTGGGCCCTATCTGTAGGTGGACCGACGCCTCGCCTAATCTAAGATCTATTTATTGCATTTTTTTTTTCGTAGTTTCGTAAGTTAATAAAGTCAGTTGTAAGACCAGAAATTGATAATTATATAAATGTGCATAAACAACTAGAGAAATGGGTTTTAATCTGGTGGGTAATATACCCAGGTAATTACTTATTTGAAAACATTACAATCGAAAACAATTATGATTTGAATACTAAATTGATATTATAGATAATGTCATACATTATATTAATTAAGATCAGAAATGATAAATATGTAAATGAGTCTAAAAACACCTAGATAATATGTTTTTAATCTTTGAGGATAGGTATTTACAAATATATTTCAGACACAAATATGTTTCAATGCTGTAATCCGGTTTTTTTGAATCCCAATAACTTTCATATTTTTCCGCTGTTGGAATAATAAAGAACAATTATTTGAAAACTAAAATAATGGACTAGTAATTAGCTTTAATTCATCAAACCAAGTAATCAAGTAATCAAAAGTTGAATGATAAAAAAAGAGACGGCCCGTTTGGTATGCAAAATTTGATCATGAAATCCATTCCAATCTTAATTAAACATATGTATACAAATCTAAATTGTTATTTTACAAATTCGATCTTGAAATTCAGTATAATTTAATTCAAATTTAGATACTAATGCTTGCTTATTCAAACTTTAATTACCGGTTCACTAAGCAATAGGTACTTATTGCAATTCCAAGCTAAAATTTAGCAATGAAAGTTACTAATGCAGTTCAGACATGCAAATCAGACATAAATGCAATAAACTAGATATGACATTTTTGATAGAAGGGTATTCGATTAATAAAATTTAATAAATATAATATATAATTGAAAGTGCATAACTATTCTCCATTATTTTTCTCACTGCGTTAAAGCCAGTTTTCGAACCACTTAGACTAATGGAACTTTGTGGGCCGTTTAATGGGAGATTAGACCCATGGATAAGACCGATTCGACCGGAAGGACGTATCCTCGAGCAGTCCACGATGAGCGGCCGTTTGTGTCGGGTCCTGCAGTTTCACCTGCGGCTCTACCAGTGGCTCGGCTTCCACGGACTTCCCCTGCCGGGTGATGGGAATCCGTGCGGGATGAGGAAGCGGCTGATGGCCTGGAGCCTGCTCCTGCTCATCTCGCTGAGTGCCCTGATAGCGGCGTGCCTGACCAGCGGCGAGGAGTTCCTCTTTCTGGACGACATGTTCGGTCGCGTCAATGATGCCCTAAAATACGTATTCGCTGAGTTGGCAATATTGGCCATTTATCTGGAAACCCTGAGCAGTCAGCGTCACTTGGCCAACTTCTGGTGGCTCCATTCCAAGCTGAGCCGAAAAGTGGGTGTGGTCAGTCTAAGGAGTGAGGTCCAGCAGTTCCGTCGCTATCTGCTCACCCTGTACGGGATGATGCTGAGTGAACTGGTGATCTACTTGGGATTGTGGCAGGTGCAACCACTGAGTCACCATATGCTCTTGTTTTGGAGCACCTACGAGCCGCTCGTTTGGCTCACTTACATGCGAAATGTGCAATTTGTACTGCACTTGGAGCTGCTGCGACAACAACTGGCCAACCTGGAGCGGGAGTTGGGTCTCCTGGCGGAGTATTCGCGATTCGCCAGCGAAACGGGAAGGAGTTTTCCCAACTTCGAGGTTTTTCTGCGCCGCAGACTGCTGCAGAAACAGCGATTGTATTGCGACATATACGACATGTTCAAATGTTTCCAGAGCGCCTTCAAGTTCTCCATCCTCGCCGTCCTGCTCACCATCAACATCCGCATCGCCGTGGACTGCTACTTCATGTACTACAGCATCTACAAAAATGTTCCCAATCTCAGTGAGTTCCTGATATAGAATATATAATAATTATTGCAATGTACTAACATATATGTACGCCCTCTGGGTTTTCCCACACAGATTCATATTTAATCGTGCCCGCCTTGCTGGAGATTCCCGCCTTTATCTACGCCTCGCAGAGCTGCATGGTGATTTTACCCAGGATCGCCCACCAGCTGCATAATATAGTCACTGATTCCGCCTGCTGCAGCTGTCCCGATCTCTCCCTGCAGGTGGGCTTCCGTTGGATCCCATTTGTACACTTGATATCAATCTTTTTCCCCACACAGATACAAAACTTTTCGCTGCAACTTCTTCACCAGCCGGTGCGTATTGATTGCCTGGGCTTAACCACCTTGGATTGCGGTCTGCTTACGCGGGTGGGTGCATGTTCTCATCATCGAAGAACTCATTGCTCACAAGCTCATTCTATTCTCCTTGCAGATTGCCTGTTCGGTGGGCACCTACATGATCTACACCATCCAATTCATGCCGAAATTCAGCCCTCAATATATTTAGGCATCCTGAAATGTACGGGAGAAACTGTCAATAAATACTAATAATAAAGTCAAATAAATTGTGCTAGGCACTTTATCAAAAAAGATCCCATTAAATGTGTTCCCGAAATCTCTTGAGATAAAGGTTGTATATCGCTTTTAATCTGGGAAAGTTTTGACCACAACCCAAAGCAGAATATGTCTTGGGTTTACTTATTAAAGCTTTGTTATATTCATAAAATTATACGTAATTACATAAGTGTATTTATTATAAGTATATCTTAAACAAAGGAAAGGGCATGGGTGTCACAAGCGTTCAGTATTCCGTTAAGCGGGGTCATAATTTAATTATTTACAAGGGTTCCTTGGCTGCCGGCTGGACGGGCGCTGGAGGAGGAGGTGGAGGAGCGGTTGGTGCCCACCAAACGTTGTGCCGACGTTGCCCTATACAAGTTCACATACTGAGATTATCCCCTCCATTGCCATCGCATTTGCTTTGTTTTGAGTTTTTGTAAGATACTCTCTGAACATAAAACATATATATATTAATGTATAGGTAAAGTACTAGCTTCCGGCTCAGTAAATGAGTCACACATATGTATAAGACCCCGGGGACTACAGACTATGGACTAATGCAGGGAATACAGGTGATGCAGATCGGTTGACTTCCGCTTGCTGGGCTTAATCGTACTCATGGCTTGATTCCCGTTTCGCAATCAGATTCTCGCGCTCATCGTCGTTGCCCTCAATGATAGTGATTCCGCCCGAGCCGTTGCCGTGGTTCCTATTCAGCGACTTCACGCGGTGCACCGTCTCCGTCAGGCCGGACTCGGTGAGCACCTCCACTTCGTCGTCGTCCTCGTCTTCGTCCGGCACGGTAAAGTATGGATGGGAGGACACCGGCCGGAATTTGTAGCCCGTCAACACGAAGAACACGTAAGTGGCCATCTCGCGGAACATCTCGTCCAGCCAAGCATACTGGAACACCACTGTCATCTGCAGTAGGTCGACGATGATCCGCGTGAAGTAGATGTAGCACACGATCATGATGTAGAACTGACGGAAGAGCTTCAGCTTGCGGAGATTAATCGCCGCCTTGCCATCGGTCGCAGAAGCCTCATGCAGATGTCGGATGGACCACACGATAGGGAACAGAATGGCGCCACAGCACAGCAGATCCACGAAGAAGAAGATGTTGTGCCAGGTGCGGAACTCGGCGTCGCTCTGGTCCGACTCGTCCGTGATAATCTGAGCCACGTTGGCCAGAACCTGAAGGGCAAAAAGAATAATAATTATACATTACGCATTTGCATTGCGCATATTCTTAATATATTTCTCCCTTTCTTTGGTGTTTACAATAAACTTAAAAGACTCAAAGATTGATGTTCGTAATGAACGTAAACTAGCACTTTTTTTTATTAATGCGAGGCTTTGCTTATCTGTCTACTGTGGTCAACACTTCTTCACTCACCGTGACCATTGCAAAATCAATCATGTGCGCCTTTATAATAATAATATTGACTAGTTCGCTTTTCATAAGAATGATTTAGCTGGTAACAAATTGAAAATGTTTCAACGAACGTAAGTTTTCAGATTCATTTTAAACAGGAGAAGTTATTGCATCGATTTATCAAAAGTCTTCAAGTATTACTTCCGGTTAAGGACAATAGTGTTTAACCCATGATGAACAACACTCACCTGCAGAGGGATAACAATCATGAAAATCTTCTTGTCCTTGTCAGAGAGAATGTGCTTAATGAAAGTCCAGCCAGTGCCAATCAGCACGATGGTGATGAAGAGCACGGCGCCCTTGAGCAGGTGGGCAATGTAGTAGAGGATGGCCCAGGTCTCTACGTGCTCGCCCCGTTTCTCAATGAAGTGATAGTTGATCGAGTGGAACATCAGCGACAGCGACTTCAGGAACACCAGCACGGCCATCAAATAGTGGATTTTGTACACAGTGTGCCTGGCACAAAGAAAACACGATTGTTAGCTATATAAACATTCGAGTAGCCAATCCGAACTCACTTGCTCTTTCTTAAAATAAACACCCAGAAGAGACCGGAGAGGAAGAAGAGCAGGCTCATCATGAAGTACAAGGCGGGCAAGGGCATCTCTCCAGCCGACAAATAGTTGCCATTGTTGTTCTCCTCAATGTCCACCTGAAACCAGATTAGTTATTAGCTGGTTATGATACAGCTCCGCTGCAACTCACATTGAAGGACATAATCTTGGAGCTGTGGTAGTTGGGACAGGCGTGGAAATAAAGGTTGTACAGGCCCTCGTCGTCGGGCGTAGCCACCAGCATGGAAAAGTTGAAGCTGTAGTAGTTGACATTGTTGATGGTCTCCTTAACCAGCACCATTGTGGAGTCCTTGCACAGACCCTCCTGCGATTGTTTGAACATGGTGGGTCCATATGAATCTTCCGATGAATCGTCATCGTGGGGAAAGGGATTCGCGGGAGCTGCATCCAAATCCGAGTCTTCGTTTTTCTTGCCGACTTGGGTCTCATCTTGAGCCGGAGCTGCTGGTGGGGCATTCACTGCCGATTGTGGGGCTACCACTTCTTGGGGCGCTTCAACGGCTACTTGTTTCGGTAGATCCTCCTGCTTCGGTTCGTTCTTAGCCTTGAAGATCCCTTCCTCCGCATTGGGGGGCGCATCTTTGGGAACCGTATCAGATTTAGGAGCCGCTTCCTGCTTGATAGAAGTATTCAGATTGGCCGCCACTTCTGGCTTGGGGGCAGCCTCATCTTTGGGAGCCTCTACTTTTGGGGCGGGGGCGGCATCCACCTTGGGAGCCACCTCATCTTTTGGTGGTTCAATTTTTCCCGCCACCGCAGCAGGCGAGGATGACTTTAAATCAGCCGGTTCCTGCTCCAGTGGATCCTCCATGGAATCATTTGGGCCTTCGGCAGAGTAGGCTGGGGCCTCGCGAGTCTGGCGGAACAAGACCGAATCGCTGATCTTGGCCATGCGCGAGTTCCGCTTGGTCCTCGATGGAATTTGGTTATAGACGTGCATGTTTGCCCACTCTGGGGAGCATTTTACACGGACCCTGCAGTAGAAAAAGTACAAAATGAGCTGGAGTCTGGTACAGATAGAGGAGCTACCCACTTGAGCTCCTTGAGGTCCAGGACGAAGAAGAGAATGGGTCCGCTGGTCTGCTTTTGGGACGGTTCCTCCAGTATACATTTGTTTTGATGCGAGTCCAAGTAGGGATTAAGCTGGTCAATGGTGGTCTTGTCCAGCGACAGGCCGAGCTGTAAGGGAGAAGGGAAATCAGATCGGGAACCGTTGGGTTGGCGGATCAGTGTGATAACCCACCAAGTCTGTGGGCTGTTCCAGGTCAATCGTCAGCTTGCTGAGCTGCACGTCCAGATGTCCGTTGGTGTAGAATCCAAAGGTGCTGAGTGCAATGTACTGGCGCCTGTCATTCTGCGGATATCGAGGGAGTAGTTAGTCATGAGTCAGTTGCTCCAGGAGGTGCTAGTGATGTGATCCTCCAAGCCCAACTTACGCGAACTTCCAGGTGATGTTTCCGGGCAAGGACCTGCATGGGGGCCAAAAGCAGCGCCGCCAGTGCCGCCAGCACCACTATTGATTTAACATACCCTCCGGGAGCACTCATTGTCGGAATTTTGCAAGTTCGCAAGTCTCGTGGCACTTTTGCCCCACAATTCCGGCGGAATTCTCGGTCACCGATTTCCGCGATAGCTGCGCTCCAAAATGCGGCAATCGATTAGCCGCGTCCGCCGTCACAGTTGCTATTATTCACACCTCACCTTGATAAAAACACCCAAAGACTTTTCCTTTTTCCCCTGGAAAAAAAGGTTGAGAACAAATTGGCCGTGCCAGTGTGACCGTAGTTATGCCATACGTAAATACCACCCGGCTTGCTCAGGTGTTTTTTAAAAACACCGGAAATATACTGAAAAAGGGAGCTAACAACACTAGGCATCAAAAAACGAGTTGCTTTTTTGAAAATCCTTAAAAAAATGTAAAACATTAAAACAGTCAAACTGCCAATGATGAGTAGATATTTTTCTATTTATTTGTATAATGACATTGGTCTCTATTAATTTATCCCTAGGCTGGCCTTCCTATATTTTCCACCATTGTTGTCGCCCGCCATTTTATAAGTAACGCTTTTTCAAATCTAAAAATCGAAAAACATATCCACTTTGAAATTGAATTTTATGGTGCAGTCCCCAACGAACCTTTTTCTTTTCCTTAGCTTAAATGCATTGTAAACGGTTATATTTAAGGTGTTTAATTGAAAACATCGCTACTAAAAAAAGGATTAAGCCGTTACATTTTTCTTAAGCTTCAGATGAAACATTCTGGTTTCGAATGCTTAATTTTTGAGAATTTAAATGTCTACAGACTAGGTGCAAGAGCAAAAGAAGGTTAATACAGGGGCAAGGGTCGCCCTACTCCATGTAGCCACCATAGGAGTCGGAGGCGCCGAGGTTCTTTCGGGAGTAGAGTCCTTGGCGCGGCTTGAACTTGCCATCGCCCAGGGTGATCCTGGCGGGCAGTTTCTTGCCCCGAAAGGTGGCCGCCTCGAAAGAGGGCGGCGGCGATACCTTCTCCTGCTTTCCCTCCTCCTCCGGCACTGGGATGTGCCAGGCCTGCTTCGTGGTGCTGGTGGCGGTGGGCGGCGCTGTCGAGGATTCCCCCGACGACTCATCCAGTGGGCGAACCTGGGTGATTTCCAATGTGTTCTGCTTCTTCTTGTAGTACATCACCTCCATGCCGAGGGTCATCATGGCCAGGACGAGGCCGAAAAGAGTGGCTATGAACACCCCGCCCAGACTTTCCAGGGTGATGCCCTCCTGGTCCTCCGAGAGCGGGCAGTTGCGCAGATTCGATTGGTTCCAGTACTTACCCTTCAGCTCCTCGAAGAACCGATCCTTCTGCAGCTCCAAAATGGCATAGCTCAGCTCGTCGCCCAGGTGACTGCCCTGCTGGACGGCCACGGCATACGGCTGCTCCGCAAATACCTCGCCCACCTCCGTCAGGTTGCAGTTCCTCGTGATCTCGTACCTGATCTCCGCCGAGTCGTGGATGAAGGCGTAGTCGGCGTTCTCGTGGGCATCCACATTGGCGAACCCCTCCCGCGCATCCGCCACCGGCAGGGAGCTGTTGATGGCCAGCAGGATGTGGCCGTACTGCTCCTTGATCGGATAGTCCCAGATGCGGAACTTCTTGAAGTCCTTGCTGGCATTCAGGGCCAGCTCCTTCCACATCTGGTACAGTGTGTCCTCGGCGAATTTCATGTTCATAAAGTACTGGTGCGTGTCGGAGTTCTTCACCACGGTGTAGTTGATCCTGGACTGGCGAGCCAGTTGCTCCAGTGACTGGACCGGCGTCTGCATGCGTTCCACGGTGAGGAAGGCGGCCAAATTGGCCGTGAAGGTGGCCAGCATGAGGACCACGAACAGCCAGTAGGCGGCCACCAGCATCCGTCCGGAAATGGCCTTCGGTGCCTCGCCGCCGCCCTGCGGAGTGAACGAGGTGAGGGCGAACCAGAAGCTCTCCCGCAGAGTGAACTCCCGGCAGGCGTACGGATAGGCCTGTCGATTGTTGCGGGAACTGTACGGCGAGTACTTGTCCATGAACCAGATCATGATGGCCGTGCCCACCAGGGCGGCCACGATGCTCAGCCAGACCTCCAGACGGAGCACCGTCATGAACTTGAACAACGAGGTCTTGCGCACCGGCTTCCGGATCGCAATCGATATGCCCGTCTGCTCGTAGTACGGTGGCAGGAAGTCGATCACCTCCTCCCGCTCCGAGTACATCTTGAGGGCGGCAATGGCGAAGTCCGTCTCGCCCCGGACCAGATCCCCCACCACGCCATCCCACTCGCCCCGCTCGTTCACCTCGCCCATGTGACCCACCTCCGGGGCCACGATCTCGAACTCGAAGTTCAGCTTCTGCGACAGCCGGATGATGAAGTCGACGCAGTAGCCCTCCCAAATGGGCGCACCACTGCGGTCCCGTATCAGTTCGCCGGTGTGCTCGTTCCGGCGCAGATAGCTCCAGGGGACGCTCTCGGCGGTGCCGATCCGGAAGAACCGGCGGGCCGGACTGATGGTCTCGTTGAGCAGCCGCATCTCACCCATCACCGACGACCAGGCGGCCAGATCCGTTTTGGCCTCGTGTTCGGAGCTGTAGTATCCGACGGATATGTTCACAGCGAAACTCAGACCCGGCACAGGACTCTGGGATGAGTCCTGGAAGCGCAGCATCGGCGAGGCATACGTGAGAAAGTTGCTCCAGTGCACCATGTCCAGCCAGTTGTGGTCCTCTTCCATCTGCTCCCCCACCTCCGAGGAGGAGGACAGGGCAGTGGCGTTGCAGTCCTGGTAGATGGGACTCGGATACACAGGACTCACCTGCGCAGCGTTTATCAGGCTGCGCAGCACATTCAGCAGCATGGCGCGCTGCATCTGGAGGGGATTGGAGGAAGGTGGAAGGATTAGCCAGCAAGTGAATTTACATTTATTTATTTTTAAATTCAGCTAATCTCCTAAATTATAATCCCTAAGAACTAGATATTTTCAATACAGTATAGTAAAAGCCTGGGTTAAATTCCAACCACTACAAAATGAAATCGTAGTGAATAATAATTTCATCTTAATAAATATAATTTTTAAATTTGTATAAAAAAAATAGACCATTCCCTATTTTATTATATACAATTATAAGAAAATATAAAATGGTTAAATAAATGTATTGGGAATATGGGGTATTGCAACTTACCGTGAATCCACTTCCGCAATAAAGATCCGGCATGGGCATTGATCGGCAAATCGCACGAGGGCTCAATGTGAACCGGGTGCACAGCTCCGCTTGGCGCCTGTACTTGAATACCCGATCCCGAGTGTCCAGGAACACGAAGTGCCACTCCAAGGGACGCTGGAACAGTCCAGCCTTTTGCACCTGTTGATGTGGGAGGATAATGATTATATAATAAATAATATCGATAGGGAAACTATAATGATCCAAACTATTATGTGAGTCACTATTAAAAAGAGTTAACTGGGTTTTCTGCAAACGAAATAGGAGATCGGTTTTTAAACACCTTTATAAAGCATTATAAGTCCTATTGAAACCCTTTTTTTGTCCTTGGATAATTCTAATGTTATTATTACCCATTGCCACTTACTTACCTTGTCAAAAATTCCGTTCATGGCGGCTGCTCGCGCAAACAAAGCCACATAAGTGGGCGCCGGGCGCAGGGCGCGGATGCGCTCCAGGAAATTCTGACCAGGATCGGTCTGGCTGGCGTCCAGGATGAGCGTGCGGAAGGGATAGCCAATCAGCATCTGCTGCATCGCCTCGCCGGCGTCGCGGGCATTCATGAAAACCATGGCCACGTTGTTGGCCCTCTTCTGGCGCATGAAATCCCCGAACATGTCCAAAAATGGGCGCATGATCCGCTCCAGACGCACATAGCCTATCCCCAGGGACCGGACCAGGTTATATCCTTCCTCCCAGTGGCGGTATGTGAGATCGATGACGGCACTAGTGCCGACAGTAGACAGGATTTCGCAGACTACCAAAGAAAAATGGAACTAAATAGGAGAAATTTCTAACATCCTATATATATATATGTATATATCGATATATAGAAAAAAATGTGGTTCCACTAATATATTGTAGGAATTTTGAAATTTATGTGTGCTATATAATTTATATAATTTCGATTAAAAAACCATATTTAAGACAAAATAATTATTGTATTGTTAAAATGTCCATCCATGTTCCATAGCCGAACATTTTAAATTCTTTACATTTTTATTCCATCCACATTACTCACATCGCTCCATGTCCAAGCCATCTTCCGAACGCGTCAGGGTCAAGGATGTATCGGCCACTTTAACGTCCAGACGCAGTGCATCGAGTTCCTTGAGAACCACCACCATATCCGCATCGAACTCAGTCCGCTGGACAGGCTCAATCCAGAAGACTGTTAGGAGTAATCAGAAATTAAGCTGCCGATTGAGGCGAATTTCCAAGAACACCCACTTATCTTGAGGGTTTCCGAGTTGGCCAGGCCAACTGTGAGGAGAAGTACCAGTAGCAGCTCCATGGCCAACCGATTGCTCCGACTTCTCGCCGGGACTTAAGTCCTGACTATGTTGGACATCGGACAAGTGCCTCAATTGCTGTCCAATTATGCCAATTATTATTCGCGTGTGGTGCCCATCAATGGGCAATATGCATATTTCAGCAGCTGAAAATGACAGGTAGACACATCCAGAGTTCCATTCCCACAGAAAGACAAATTGACGGATTGGCTTGGTTATTTCCTTATATTCACGTTTTCCGATATAGTACAAAAAAATCAAATCATAAATTTTTGTTCGGGCTGGGTCTTACTAATACAAAAAAACGGATCTTAACTATTAAATCAACTTTCTATCAATATACAGCGCTATATATTTCTATATATTTATATATACGAATGTGGATAATTAAACATAAATTAGCGATTCTTCTGGGATATTCTTTTGAATGTTGTGTGAGCAGGTTGTGCTGCTCCGTCTCAACTTACGGCGAAAATAAATATTTGAATGATAACGATCCTTGGGGCACAAGATTACAGGTTGCTTGAGTAACGTACTGTGATTAAATTAATGATAAAAATTCTCTTTTTTCCTTTTCTACGCTTAACTAGATGCGCTTAAAAAGCTGAGAGAAGTACTCCCATGATTGCCAACGAGCGGTTTTAGGTGTACATGTTAATATTAAAATGGAGCTAAAATCAGGTGCCATGCAGGTGCGATAGTATCGACTCGATGTCCTCGATCTCCACGCTGTGGTTCTGGTTCTGTGAATCCTTCTGCTGTGCAGGATTCTCGGGGGTTTCCTCGTCTCCACCTCCACTGCTACTGGTCGCTGCTTTCGGAGTTGAATTTCTGTATCGATGGAAGAATGGTATTACTAAATTAAAAACTGGCTATAATATATATCTTATACAATAGAATGCATTAAATTTTAAATAGTTTCAATGGCGTTGTCCTAATGGTTTAATGGTTCATTAGGTTCAATATATATATATAAGAGCAATAAGAATACATTGACCAATTAAATTAAGTTAAGAACCATCAATATTACTAATTGTTGAGGAGCTTTGTATAATCTCTCTTCGTACTGCACTTTAAATATTGTTACCACTTACATGGCAGCCACCTCCAGATCGTCCTCATCTTGCGGATCGCTTTTGGACGGAGGCTTCTCCACCAGCGGCGTGGACGTGGCCGAGGGCTGATCTCCAGCAGCAGCGACTTCCGTTCCAGTTCCACTTGCACTTCCTCCCATTGCAATTGCTCCACTATTGCTGGTCAGGCGGCGTATCCGCTTCTTGGGTATATTGCGAATGACGCTAGCCAATTGTTGGTTGAGATTGAGCATCTGGAAATTGGTGGTGCGCATTGTGCGCACCTGGTCGTCCTCGGTCATCAGTTGCATCTGATAGCTCTTGAAATAGCTCGCCGGCTGGCGCATCATCGGATTGCTGGACTTGGGTCCGTTGTCCTCATAGGAGTGCGTTAAGGTGCAACGCTCTTGGCTGCTACTCAGGCAGATGTCCAGCTCGAAGTCGCTACTGGGCTCGGATCGAGGCCGTGGGATAGTCTTGGTCTTCCCCTTTTGTTGCTCTGGAGATCCCTGTGTGGATTCCGCTTCCGCCACCATTGGCAGTGCTGAAGCGCTGGTCGTGGAGGAGGGCACCCTGGCTTCGACGCGTTTCTTGACCGGCTTTTTGGTGCTCGCCTTATCGTTGGCCTTTGTTTGATCGTCGCCAATGGCTTTGAAGGGCTCCTCGGGAGCTGGCGCTAATTGATAAAGATAAATGGAAGTTTAAGCATTGGGTTATAAAATAATTTATGTCATCCTAGACGAGCGGAAGGCAATAGTTGCTAATGCTCTTATTTACTAGTTAGTTTCTAGTTTAGTTTCTAGCTAGCTTTATATAATTAAATAATAAATAAAATAAATTATCTGAGATAAGAGTAATTACTTTTATTGTCGATTAGCCTCGAGGATCGACGCATGCAGATCTTGGTCGTTTCTCCGGTCAGTGCCTTCTTGGGACGTCCTCGTTTCCCCGGTGCAGGCTGTGCCGCAATCTCCACCGCTGCACGGGTTACCTTGGGCTTGTCCGTGGTCGTTAAGGGCTCCTGCTTTTTGGCCGAAAGATTGAGGGCGATGAGCAGGGCGGGATCCAGTTTGCTGGGTGGTGGATCTATCGGCACATCTTTGGGTGCAGCGCCTGAAAGATCGGAACTCTTTGTGGCCTCCACTTTCACAGTTGGTTCGATTTCCTTTCTAGCCCCCTTGGTTTTGAGTGGTTCGACGTGCTCCCGCTTTTTCGGTGACTTCTGGATGCTGGGATTGGCCAGCTTGGCAGTTTCGCGCATGGCAGTAAATTTCTTGGTGGCAGTCTTTTTGCTTTGGATCTTGGCTGGCTGGGATTGCTCCTTGAACTTGGCCATCACACGTTGGCGCTTCTCGTCTAGCTTCTTGCGTTGGTTCTCCTGTTGGAGGATTACGGTGGGCGCCGGTGCAATTTGCGGCGAAGGAGGAGGAGGTGGTGGTGGTGGTGGCTGAGGATCAGCTGGCGGAAGTGGAGGCAGCGGAGGGGCAACACCGATTCGAGCGCCCATTGGAGCAGGGAGTGGTGGAAGGGTTCGCGATTCTCCACTAGTATTAGCCTCCTGGGCTTGCTCCTTGCTTGGTGTGAGCCAATTCCGTATAGGATAGCGCACCTCGCCATCCTGGCTAACCAATTGACCAGGCAGACTGTCAATGGCCAGCATGGGGTGCGCCGCATTATCCAGCAAGCCGGTGGCTGCCTTTAGCCACTCCTCGTCCTCCGTGCTGCTTATATTCGAAAGGTTGTCTATGTTGAGCAGCACTTGGTCTTCCTTGGGGCACTCCAATTCGACATTTTCGTCCTTTGCATCGCCCTGATTGCTCCTTTCGCTGTGTGAACTTTGCGAGGATGAGGAGCTCGATGACGTGGAATTGGAGGAACTTGAGCTCGAGCTGGATGAACTCGAAGTGCTGGTTGCCGAGGAGCTGGAACTGCTGGATCCTTCAATAATGGCCTCTGGCAAGCCAGGCAGCAGTTTATAGTGCGGAAGCTGCTGATGATCCGAGGGGAAAGAGCCAGCTGCAGCGGATTCAGCACTGTCCACCGCCTCGCTACCAAAGGATCGCACACGTCGGAGGACGGTGGGCTCCAAGGACAGGACAACGGGTTGCTTCACAACGGCTGGTGTTTTCTCCAAAAGCTTTTCTTTTTCATCCACATCGATCTCTTCTTTCTGCGCATGCTCTTCGCTCTGCTTATCCGGTCGCTTAGGTGTCTTCTTGTTGTCCTCAGGATGCTCCTCCTCCCGATAAAGACTTTGCTTTCTTTGTCTTGGCTGCCTCTTCTCTTTCGGAGACTCGTCTCCCTTTTGAGGAAGCTCTTTCTCCGTTATTATCTTCTTTCCCTTGTCCTTAAACCGCTCTTTTGGCTGTGTCTTCTCATGGATATCCTCCCACTGCTGTATTGCGCACTGCGCATTCGCATCCGTGTGCTCCGCTTCATCCGGACGATAATAGGAGCTGCCCGAAGAGTATTCAGTCTTGGCGGCGCTGCCCACGGGAGTACCAGGAATCTGGCCAAAGGGTGTCAAGCGGAATCCAGGGGTAATGGCGCTCAGCTGTGGCGTGTCCATAATACTTTTGGTATCCGAGCCGAAAAGAAAGCTGCTGCTGGGCAGCTTACCATAAGGCGTGTCCAGCGGCGGAATGGCCATCCCTGGAGTGGGTGGGATGGCAGCGACTCCAGCGCCACTGGCTTGCTTTGATGTAGTGGCCCCTCCTGCTGCATCACCGGCTCCTGCCCCAATGGGAGACGCCTTAAAGGGCGTGTCCAGAAGCATGGCCATGTTGGGGGGCGCCTGCTCTGCCACAAGTGCCTTCATCTGATCCTGATCTTTTGCCTTAGCCTTCTCCGGATCATTTACCTTTTGCTGGTCCGTTTCATTGACCTCTACTATAGTTTCCTCTACGATTTCCTCCACCAGAGTTTCCTCTATAATTTCCTCTTTAACTTCCAACACCTTCTTCTTTCTGAGAGCCTTAGGTTTCTGAGGCGTGATTATCTTGATGTTGATCTTCTCAGTGGAATCACCGACACTGCGCAGCGCCTTTTTGATCTGATTTTTTGACTCCACTTTCGCCTTAACCACCGGAGTTTTTCGAACTCTGGTGGCAATTGAAGTGGGCGTTGCCTTCTTCTTCAGACGCCTCGAACGACCAGTGAGCTTCACCTCCTCGCGCTTGGAGTTGATCTCACGCAGTCGACTCTCTAGGTCCGAGTTAGAGCCATGTAACTGGCGCTGCCAGGCGGCCATATCGTTCTCAGTAACCGGTTCCCTGGCGGAAGAGCATCCTCCGTCCGTCTTCCTTTCGATTTTCTGCTCTTCCTGGAGATTCTCCTTACTGGCCTCAGCGCTGTCATCGTGCGCGGAGGGGGAGGTGCTGCTGGCGGAGGTGTTCCCGGGCACATTTTTATCTTGATCCTGGTCCGTCTTGGATTCCGATTCCGCTTGGGAGATGATCCGCTTGCAGGCCTTGACTGCCGCTTGACGTTTCTGTTTTCTTTTTGGCGTGGCTACCAACGAAGCAGCCGGAGCTGCAGCTGGGGGATGGGCCTTGATCACTGTCTGGTTGCTGCACTCCTCCATGGCGAAAAGAGGTGGCACACCTCCAAGTCCCTCGGTTGAGCTCAGATCGCATGCTGGCTGGATGATCTCCACATGGTTGATAATCGGCTTCTCTTTAGCTTTGGCCAGCAAACCAGGTCGCCTAGTGGAGAGCGGCGTATTGGGATGCAGGACGCCACCAGCATGAACCTTAGGGGAGAAAGTTAAAGTTCGTACATGCGAGGTTCTCTTTCGGGGAGTGGATAAACTACGGAAGGCCTTTACATTGATTATTCCCGCCGCGGAGGGCGTGACTCTCTCCATAACTTGTCGGGAAGAATCCAGGGAGGCGGGTGGCACCTTCCGCTGCTCCTCCTCCAGTTGCTCCTCAAGTTTCTCCTTTGGCGCCGACACCTTGACCGCCTTCTCACCTTTTACGTTCTCTTTTATCAACTGAACAGGAGGCTCCGTGCTTGGAGCAGGTGGTTGTTTCTGGGCGCTGTTAATGATTATGGAATTGGGAGGCAGCTGATTGGCAGACAGAGTAATAGGCTCCGGCAGGCAGATCTCTATGTGCGAGTCATCCACGTTGGCGAAGGCATCCGGCCCGAGTTGCTGGGCCACCCACTCGTTGTTCACCAGGAATGGAAAGTGCGACAGCAGACCGCCGTTGGAAAGGTACATGGGAAACGTCAGCTGTCCGGTGGTGGCGTCCACACACACCTGTCCACCAGCCGCCGCCTCCGCCTCGGTGAGCATTGAGGACGGATCGGCAAAATTCAGATTCAAGCCGTCGCTGGTGAAGCTTACATTAGACGTGTCAATGCCGGCCACCATTTTTTGGACACTCTCGTTGGAGTTCAGTACTATCAGCTTTGATATGGAGAAGTTGGGATCCGCATTGGTTCCAGTGGTTGCTGCAACGGCGGTGCGAATAATGAGTGGCGTTTGCGGCGGCACGGGATCCACGGGTAGTTCCGCCGGGGGCACTTGACCAGCGACTGCCGGAATGACAGCGACAGTAGGTGCAGCCATAGCGTTAGACACCCCAGGAACTTCCTCATCTGGTGGAGGATCCCCAATCACCACCTCCTGGATGATGCGATCGAACGAGGGATCCTTCTCAGTGGCCTCCAGAATGTTCTTCACCAGGCCATCTAGCATGGCGTCACAGCTTACCGCCGGATTATTCACAGTCACCGTCTGCAACGCTACGTTGATGTTCTTTACTAGTGTCGCCTGGAAGTCTTGGTTCTTGATTATCGCACTAGCCAATTCCTGGAAAATACAAATTTGAAGTTAAATATATTGTATCTTCGTTTAAAAAATCTTGAAATTCTGTTTCTAAATCACTTAGTCAATCGTTACATCACAAGTTGATCAATTGATTTAACGGTAAGAATTAACAAGTAAACAGATAAGTATTTTCCTCGTTTCCACACTTACAGGCATACTTTGCGGCGTGAGTACGAGAGGATTTAGCTCATCATGACCCTGGCGCGGCGTGGAATTGTTGCGCGGCCCAGGGCCATTCACCGGCGTAAGCTCCTCCTCTTCTAAATCATCGGTGGCCGTGGTGCTCCCCTCGTCCTCCTCCTCAAGGTCGTCAGCCTGATCCTCCTGGCAGGCCCCAAAGCTGAGCTTGAGCTTCTCTCGGTTAATGCTGCAGTAAAGGTGCGGTGGCAGCAGACGCGGCCGCTTGCTGAACGAAGGCGTCAGGCTGTTTACGGGGGAATGAGTGCGTCTAGAAAGGGGGGTGAACAGTGAGTTTTGAGGAGTTTCCGAATGATAACAATGCATAATTACAAGCGCCTCTTGCGTTGCGACAGCGATATGCTTGGTTCGCCCTGGTTGCTGCTATCGTTGGTGCAGCTGCTCTTTTCGACGGTGCCTATCAGTTCGTTGACTCGCTCGGACAACTTCAACTGCTGGTACTGCAGACGCGCCTCCAGCGGCAGTTTCTGCACGGCACTGGCCACTGAATGGAAGGAGTTTCGGTCAAGAGGGCTGTACTGCAGAGACAGCGAAGCTATGCAAACTTACCCAAGCCTGTGATCTTGACGTGTTCGCAGATGATCTCCTCCAGGCCGCCGTTGAGGAAGTTGTGTGTCTGCAGGCCCTGTTTCAGGGCCAGGAACTCTTCCTGCAGGTGCGGCGATGTGCGACACAGAGTGTGGGCCGCCCTCTTCAGATTCTGGTTGACCAGGTAGCCTATAAAGTGCAAGCCTTTGCTCGTAAATCAGCCGGTAGGGAATCTCTAGGGAAACTTACCCAGGACCAAGCGCGCTACATCCGAATGCAGCACAATTGACTCCATGGCTGGACTTCCCGGCTTAGCTGAGCATCACCATCCACTCCACAAACCCCGCGTTTCCTCGTTTTTCAACTTTTCTTTTTCTCGGTATTATATTGGCGTTCTTGGTCGCGATTTTAATGGTTGATTTGCCCTCGATCTAGGTTTCGGCACTTAATACGTCAAAATACGTTTATGAGTTATATTAGCGAGAACACAAACACATTTTCTTGCTTATTTGACTTCTATTTTCGTTTTGTTGTTGCGGATTGTAGCACTGTACAACACACATAGCATAGCATTCTGTGTTTTTTTTGCCGCCCGCCAAAACAACGCAACAGGGTTGCCGCAGCGCCCGAATATCGATACATGCCCGTTGTTTTGTTATGGCTCACTTAAGATCGAGCGTTTTTTCAGAGCAAAATATAAACAACATATTTAATATATAGGTCTTTTTTACGTTTGAGTTTAGGAAAACTAAAGTTTTGTTGGATTTTGCTATGTTATTAATAATGAAGCAACTTTTGGAATTTTGTTTGTATGTGATGCAAAATAAAAAAAACATATTCAAGACGATGGTACGAAAATGTAAAGAAAGGTTAACGTTTTTTTTTATGTATTATCATTGAATAAAGTTAAGTTCACTACTCAATAGTTTTGTGCTTGGAATATATTTTTAATAGTACATAGTCTTGAAAACTATACTAATAGTAAATTCAAAACTACCTACTGTGCTCCAAAATTGTTCATCAGACGTAGCTAGCACAAATTAGAAAATTAGTTGAGTTATTAAACCTTGAAAAGCTTGTACCTATTACTTAAGATTTGTAAAATTGCAAATATTTCAGAATTGCGAAATAACGATATTTAGAACCTTCGAACTATCGATAAGACCGTTTTGAAAATATTTGACATCCCTGCAATTTACAGCTAGGCGGCGTTGCCAGCTGGCTTAAAAAGCAAAACCCAATTGCCATAGGTAAAGTTATTTTCAAGTTAATGGTTTACCGGCTATAAATGGCTGCCAAAACCACCGAGAAGGAGAAGGGCGAGGGCCCGGAACCTGCCACCCCGCTGGAAAAGCCCGATCCAGCCGAATCCAGTGCGGCAGTCGACGAAAATGCCAAGGAACCGGCGGCGGAGAACACAACGCCGGCTAAAAAGGATGGAGGACGCAAAAGGAAGCGGCATTTGTTCAACTCGATTCGCGGCCAAATGGAGTTTTATTTCGGAGACGCCAACTTGAGTAAGGATCGCTTTCTGCGGCGCTACGTGGAGCAGGATCCATGTAAGTTATTAAGGCTCTTTCCCAGCCAAAACAACACTTACAGCGGGATTCCTTTCAGACGTACCCCTGGAGATTTTCCTTACGTTCAACAAGATCAAGACGCTCACCCAGGATGTGCAACAGATAGCCAAGGCGCTGAGCAACTCCCAACTCCTGGAGCTGGATGAAACCAAGCTGAAGGTTAGGCGGAAGACCAAGCTTCCGGATCAGCGCGATGTCAACGACAAAACCTTGTACGTAGAGGCTCTTCCCGCAAGTGCTAGCCACGATTGGCTCAAAGAGGTGTTCAGCCGATACGGACCGGTGGCCTATGTCTCGTTGCCGCACTATCCAGGCACCAAAAAGATCAAGGAGTTCGCCTTTATCGAATTCGAAAAGACCGGCTCCGTGGAAAAGGCCGTGAAGGCTTTTGCCCAAATTCAGGGCGTTTTGTCCGTGGAAACAGATCCGGGCGAACTGGCCAGCGTGCGCTCTTTCCAGCAACAACAGCAGCTGCAACATAAACTCGAGCAGCCGCCAGCCGAAAATGAACCGGTTGAGCCTCCGCCGAAGCGAAATCTAAAGAGAGAGGCTGTGGACAAGGATTTCGAGGAAGGGCACGAGTTGAAACGGGCGAAGCTGGAGGAAGACCAGCCCAGCGAGACCTCCACAGCGGAGGGAACTTCCAGCGAAACGGAAGCGGAGGCTATAGCAGAAGCCTCCGGTCAGGAGGAAAACACGGAGCTACCTGAAGGCGAAGTGGCTGCCAAGAAGCGGCGTCGCAAACGCAAGAAGAAGGCGATCGTGGACAAGCCGAACATTGAACCCAGTGCCCTAGAGCTCAAGGTGCTGCCCAAGACCAGTTGGAGCAGTTTGCGCAACAAGTATTTGAATCTGCAGCGTCGCCTTGTCAGCGAGGCCAAGAGCAAGCTGTGGCGGGAGAACCACCCACAAAATCAGCAGCACCATCATCACCAACAGCACCAACAAAACCATCCCAAACCTTCACAGCCGCCCGAGGTTACCAAGGAGGAGGAAACCGGAGGCGAGGTCCTAAGCGATGGCGGCGAAGCTGCAGGGGATGCAGTTCCAGTGCCGGCCAAGCGACGCAAGGCGGTGCACAAGATGAACATGAATTTCTACGGCGCCGGCGGCGTGGAATCCACTAAATCCGAAGAGCCCTCGCAGGAGCGTACGCCCCTATTCAAGTACGAGCCCGGACTGATTGTGGAGTGCTCTCTCCTAGAACCGTGCACCAATGTCAAAGAATTTAAGGCTGACATGCGCCAATATCCTGATATTAAATATGTGGATATCAAGGAAGGGGATCAGGTGGCCCAACTACGCTTGGCCTCTCCTACTGCCGCCGAGGAGCTGGTGCGCCAGGTTAACTGTGCCGAGAGGCAGCTGAAGGTGCTATCTGGCCAGCAGGAGACGCTGTATTGGCGAAAAATCGAGCAGGATCGCGAAGCGAAGCTCTCGAAAAAGGTGCGCGTGCAGCAGAAGCGCGGTCGCGAGAAGGTTTCCAAACTGCTGGCCAAGCATATAAAGTTTGACGATGGCGATGACGAAGTACAGGCGGCTGCCATGGATTGAACCGATTTTCGGCTGGTGAGGGTCTAGCTATAAGGTCACAAGCTATATGAAAATAAACAAGCGGGAATAGTATGCTCGTTTTTAAACCAAATTAAGGTTTCAAAAATCCCATAACTTTTCTTACAGAAATTCAAATTCGAAGTCGGATATCTCTAACAACTTGTGGTTTAATTCTCTAAAAATCTTTGTTCAAAACCAGTTTTTTAATTTTTTTTCAATTTTTCGTCATTTTAAGAAATTTGAAATTTTCAAAAAATTGGCATTGGAGAAAAGTGTGTTTTTCGTCATTTCAATGACTGAATGTTTGAAAAGTTACCTAAAAACTGCCCTTCTAAGCCCATAATTTTTCTTACAGACATCCGATTGCAAAGTGGCATACTTCTAAATGATCGTGGTTTAATTCCATAAAAAACCGTGTTTCCAGTTTTGTTTTTATTTTTGGGTCGATTTTTCGTCATTTCTATAAAGGGTTACCCTTTCCAAATGCTCGAAAAATGGCTTTGCAGAAAAGTTACCTAAAACCTGTACTTCTAAGCCCATAACTTTTCTTACAGAAATCGGAATTCGAAGTGGTATATCTTTAACAACTTGTGGTTTAATGCTCTAAAAATCTGTGTTCAAAACTTAGTTTTTAATTTTTTATCGATTTTTTGTCATTTTTTATGAGTAACCCTTTTCCAAATTTCCGAAAAATGGCTTTGCAGAAAAGTGACCAAAAACCTGTACTTCTAAACCCATAACTTTTGGAACTGTAGTCCGATTTTAAAGTGGTATACCTCTAAATGCTTGTAAAAATATGCATTAAAAACATTGTTAGTAATATTTGGTCACTTTTTTTTAATAATTTCCATTATTCGAAAATTGCTAGGGTATATAAACTTTGGCTTGCCGAATTTTGCTTCCTTTCTTCTAAGTCTGGATATTGACGTTACACGAATAAGAAAGAGATGGCTGAAAATCATCTTAATTTTGGTTTCCCAAGGGTTAGTACGTCAAAAATATATAATTTATTTCACAAGGAAATAATATAACAAGCATATGTAATTATGTGATTTCGCCTTTTAAAAACGATTGTTCAATAATACAACTTTAATTTGTGGTTTAAATTTGAGATTTTATTTCATACATGCTAGTTATTTTATATTAATTTTATTGGTACGATCAAAATAAAATGAAAAGGCTGTGAAATATTGCGCTAGATACCTAGATACGTTAGATACAGAAAAATATAAGCATAGTTAATTGAATAAATTTTCTTGTTATGTATGTACACTTTTTTTTTTATAAACAAAAGCAGTTGTTTAGCTCTTTGGAACATTTACACCAATAGAACACTCCTGATTAAATATGCTTTCGTTATTATTTACACGGAATGGAAAGATTTAGCTTATGGTCTATACTTTTGGCCTACAGTCTTCCTCATCGTTCAGAGGTATTCCAACCCCCAATCCCTTAATGACTATTTAGATATAAAGCGAGCCATCCGCTGGCCCCAGATAATGCATCGAGATGAGCAGCACATCTATGATTGTCCAGACGCCGAGGCCTCCGAAGCTGAACAGCTTGCCAATCCCCTCCTGCCAGTGGCCCAAATAGAATCGATCGGCTCCGAAGCCGCCCAATGTAAGGCTGATCAGCAAGGCGGTGCTCCAGCGATAGCCCTGCGTCCAGTTGCAGCGCAGGTTTCGGGTAAATGACCGATTGCCGAGGCAGAGCACGTCCTGGTGCACGGTGCAGTTGGTCCGGAATAGCTTATCCGTCGCCGAGTTGCAACTGGAGCGCTGGCCGCAGCTCTGTTGCCACAATTCCGTTTGGTAGCAGTAGCGACAGCTCATCTGCCTCTGGAAACTGCGCTCGCCCTGGCACTGGACATTGCCTATGATCTCGCAGGTCACATTCACATCCCGGCCATAAAGACACCCATAGTTGTAGTTGCACCGGATGCAGGGGAAGTGCAGGCGATCGCAGGGCGTGTCCTTGTCGTACGGACACAGGACGTTGTTGTTGTTCCCATTGCTGCTGCTGCCGCTGTAGGCGGTGATGTTGTCCAGGGGACCACCTGCACCTCCTCCATTTGATCCTCCATTCTTCGCCACCGTGTTGGAGACCATTGGTGGCACATACACCTCGTTATCATTGGCATTCCCATTACCATTGCTTGCATTGCTGTTGTCCTTGTGATCGCCTTTCGAGTCCGACAAGTCCATTTGATTGCCCCCGCTGGCCGTCTCGCTGTTCCTAATCCCCGTTAGCACAAAGATCATGATCAGCACTATGGCCGATCGCATGTTGACCACGATGCACTGCCGTTGGATCCTCATTTTGGCCAGATAAAATGGATAAGAGGCCGGAAATGTTATTGTTTTTCTTTCCGACGAATCGTGGGCGTTAGTGTGACCGTCAGCCGTCGCCAAAAAAAACCAAGCGCGAATAGCTACATCCAAGCACTGGGGTAATAACTTTTGCTTAATGAATATTTAAATTGAATAAGTTAGACTCTTAAATTATAAATATTTGTAAGCTTTTTGTACCTTAGGTGAACACAAATGCAAAATGTATAATTTTTTTAAGCGGGCTCTATGGCAATGGGCTTAATCCAACGAAGATTTAGAGGGAGCAGTGCCTGGCCACACCGCGTTGTCCGCAAAGAAGAAAAAAAACCTAAAAGTCGGCAAATTTTTTTGCATCCGCCTGCAGTACATAAAGTTTATAAATAATATAAACTTTTCGTTTATTATTGTTGTGGTCGGCTCGAAAGTGCTATCGTGTGTGCAAAAAAAATAAAAAGGAGTGCAAATTTACAAGCGGCTGGAGCAATAAACGGAACTTTTGCACTTGGCCTCCTCCTTACACCCCCCTCGACAACGCTCCTCGCCCCGCCCCTCACTTCCTTCTTCGGACGCCGCTGGTCGTTGTTTTGCTGGACTGCTTTCTTATTTTTTTTTAAATTATTGTTTTTGTTATTGTTGTATTCTATAATTGATCGGTGACCGCGGAATATAGTAAAAAAAAAAAAATAGTAAAAATGTCGAAGAACAAGCTGAATCTGGTGCTGCCGCCGGTAAATACGGAGGCAACTGTTGCCGCCGCCACAGTGGCGCCGACACCGCCGTTCAAAACCCCCTCGGGCACAGAGTAAATATGATACATTTTATAAGCCCCTTATTAATTACTAGTTTTTTGGTCCCATCCCTCCGCCTACCCCATTTCATTTTTGTATTTGTCATTGGAGTAGGGTAAGCCCGTATTCCAGGGTGTTAGGTGGCTAGTTAATTTTGCCCAATTGATTGATTTCAGGGAATCTTGGAAGAGAGAGCGAGAGAGGGAAGTCTCTTTTGGTTTGTTGGTGTGGGTGCTGCTCCTTGGATGTGACGTACACACACCTACACACTGCAGACAATAACGGTCAAAAGAATAGGTACACAGCGAGAAAACTTCATTAGAATCAGAAAATAGATAAGGCCTAAATGAAACACTCTGTGAAAGTGTGGAAATTTATGTTTCTGTAAATTTACACATTATCTATCTTTCACATGCTCAAATTATTCAAAGCAGAGCTCCTACGTCTAATAGTTTTTATCAATCAATGGTCTTGTATTCAAAACCAACTGCGTCCTAAAATATAAAAGCAGGAAAAGGTTTTTTTGAGCTAAATAATTCGCGTTTCAATTTTTAAATTAACTTTATTGAAACAGAAAACCCTTTTAAAATATGTAGGTTTAACTTTTACTTATATTATTTGTGTTTTCTGGGTCAGTAAAATTCTGTGAATTCAGCAATAAAATTTAGACAATAAGTTTGTAATCTGTAATTTAAATGAAAAATATGTTTTTAGCCTATTATTTGAGATTTTTGAGTTTAGTTAGTTAGTTTTTCTTTTCATATCATCTTAAGCCTCACTTTTTGTTCCTCCCCAATGGCCTGCACATTTTACATTATCGTTTTGGTTCGCAAAAATTCATTAAGAGGTTAAATTAAAGCACACACAGTTTGCTGGGGAAGCCGAAGACGAGCATCGATGCGCTGACTGAGACGCTGGAGGGACTGGACATGGACGACACGGAGCGCAAGCGGATCAAGGTGTTCCTCAGCCAGAAGGAGAAGATCGGCGAGCTGTCGGACGAGGATCTGGAGAAGCTGGGCGAACTGGGCTCGGGGAACGGCGGCGTGGTGATGAAGGTCCGGCACACGCACACACACTTGATCATGGCCAGAAAACTAATCCACCTGGAGGTGAAGCCGGCGATCAAGAAACAGATCCTGCGCGAACTGAAGGTCCTGCACGAATGCAACTTCCCGCACATCGTTGGCTTCTACGGCGCCTTCTACAGTGACGGCGAGATCAGCATCTGCATGGAGTACATGGACGGCGGATCGCTGGACCTGATCCTGAAGCGGGCCGGTCGAATACCGGAGTCCATTCTCGGCAGGATCACGCTGGCGGTGCTCAAGGGTCTGAGCTACCTCCGCGACAAGCACGCCATTATCCACCGGGACGTGAAGCCCAGCAATATCCTCGTCAACAGCAGCGGGGAGATCAAGATCTGTGATTTTGGCGTCTCCGGCCAGCTGATCGATTCCATGGCCAACTCCTTCGTGGGCACCCGCAGCTATATGTCGGTGAGTCGCCAGTAAAGTGATAATATTTTATTAATGCGCTTCCCCAAAGTACCATATATATAAAATAGATCCACTAATGTTCACTAGAATTACCATACAAGATTGAGGGATAATCACGGTACGACTGAGATTTAGTTAGATATAAAATCAAAGAGATTTCTTTTTATATCATTCCGTATAAAGTAAAACAAATTATGCTAGTTCCTCATACATAAGTTGATAACCAGCTGAACTAGTAGCAGGGAATTTTGAATTGTGTAGGTTTAATTGCTAAACTAAATTTAAAACAGAAACAAAAGAGGATACGGTGGTGCTTTGTTAGTACAAAATTCAAAATTGTGGGTGAATAAACAGACTATCAGAGATTGAACTCCCTTGAGTACCAGAAACTTCTGAGGAGAGCCTAAGCTTGGCCAGAGCTTCTATAACTGCGTGGGAGACAGGATAAATAAATAAATGTAAAATATGGCCAGACATCTTGAAAACTATAAAACATTTGCATCACTCACTTGCTAATGGCTCCTTTGTTGCAGCCGGAGCGATTGCAAGGCACCCATTACTCGGTGCAGTCGGACATATGGTCGCTCGGCCTGTCGCTGGTGGAGATGGCCATAGGCATGTACCCCATCCCGCCGCCGAACACAGCCACTTTGGAGTCAATATTCGCGGACAACGCGGATGAGGGCGGCCAACCGACGGACGAGCCCAGGGCAATGGCCATCTTCGAGCTGCTGGACTACATTGTGAACGAGCCGCCGCCAAAGCTGGAGCACAAGATATTCTCCTCCGAGTTCAAGGACTTTGTGGACATCTGCCTGAAGAAGCAGCCCGACGAACGGGCCGATCTCAAGACCCTTCTGGTAAATATCGAAATCGTAAGCGGCACGTCGCAATTTCTGCATATGCTTTATATCTTTTGTAGAGTCACCCGTGGATTCGCAAGGCGGAAGTGGAGGAGGTGGACATATCCGGCTGGGTGTGCAAGACAATGGATTTGCCGCCGTCGACGCCAAAGCGGAATACGTCGCCCAACTAGATGCAGCTGCATTCCGGCCCCGATCCTCCTACCCTACCCTTCCATATCCCCATATACCATTTGCTCTTTGTTCGGCGCGAGGCAAAACAACTGAACTATTATTATTATTAAATCGAAAATAAAGAAATCGAAGTCATACCATGTACGGTGAGAGATCTTTGCGATGTGGTTGGGTGTTTTTTATTCAATATGAGCAATATATGGGGCTTTTAAATATGTTTGTGTTTCCTTACTTTACTTATCTTAAGCTTTTCACGTAAACACGTATTTTTAATGGTTTTTATTATAATAGTGTTACTTGTTACACCATAAATACAGCACATACAGCTATTGATACACTATTTTTCAACATTATTAAAAGAATTTATGTATTTACTATGTACATATGCACATAGGTCCTCAGGCACATTAAAGTGAAATAACATTTGCCAGAAATTAAATTAGACTAGTTCTTCGGTGGTTTTGTAGAAAATATACTTTTATTTTAAATGAGCATTAAAAAAAATAGAAAACAGATTAATTAATAATTCAAATGGACTAGCCGCTCTTAAGAGTTTCTTCACAACTTATGATAAGTATATTCAGGTTTAGTTCTTGAACAAAATAATTTTTAAGGTATATCAAAAGAGCTTCTGTGCAACTTCTGATTTGAGGGTCCATGTAGTTGAGCTTAAAATTTATTTTTCGAAATAAAAACTTTTTACTTAGTGTGTTGAAATTATGGATAACTTGAAAACTAAGCCTAAGACTTTCGAAATGAAATAAATGGCGATATATCTTTGACAGATTCTTAGTGATGTCGATAAACGATGATTTAACTAGTAAACATTAGTCTAATTAATCCTCAGTCAGGTCCACGGTGGTTAGGTCGGCACTTTGGTCTACCTGTTGCTTTTCTTTATCAATTTCAGTTCCAGGTGCAGGTTTCGATGCCTTCTCCTGCTCTTCATGGCACTCGATTATTTCCATATCACTATTGTTATCAGATTCGGATGCATCTAGGTATATACAACTGCCAGCGCTGTCCTTGGAATCGGAGTCCGAATCCGAGCTTCCTGCGGAAGATTTAGATTCCGAATTTGAGCTTACATCGATGGTGAGAACATTTTTCCCCTCGTCGCTGGAGGAAATATACAGGGCCTTAGACTTTTCCTGCTCTTCGTCGGACATCAGTTCCCGGACTATATCGCTTAGGGGAGAAGATGAACGTTCCTTTAGTTCTTTGGCTTCCTTTTGCCTACTGGCCATGAGGACTTGACTGTAGGCCATGGCTACCGCCATAGCCATTTGCTTGGAATGGTTAAGGAACATTTCAGAAGGTGGGGCGATGGGAATAGCCTCGCTGAGCAGTATTTCCCGATCCAAACTTCTGCTCCTGCTTTTCCGTCGTCTTCTCTGAGACTTTTTGTGCTTCTTGGCCTTCTTTTTGTGCTTTTTCCTGCGTTTCGAACGACTGCGACTGCGGCTGGAACTTTCGCTGCTGTTTCTTCTTCTGCTGCGTCGCTTTTTGTCCTTTTTGTGGCGACTTCTGCTGCGGCTCCGACTGGAACTTGTACTTCTGCTCCTCTCCACACTCCGATTTCTGTGCGCATCGCGGTTGTAGAAGTAGTTGGACTTCCTTTTTTCATGTACTTCATCCAGATCCTGCAACTTCTGCCGACAATTAGCCTGCGTGCGCTCGTTTTCCCTTTTGTTATGTCGAATCGCCGTATTTATTGTGCGGCCCAAAAATCGTTTGTTTGTTTTTCCAAGAGGATTAACTTTGCGTTCGCTTTGTTTGTGGGTGGGAAAACTAGTATCCTGACCTTCGATCTCGCGCATAAGCTCCGCAATAGCCTGGCTAATACGAAATAATTACTTAAATTAATTGTTTAATGACTTTTAATGTAAATATTTACTTTGTAAGTTCGGCATCCATTTCCATGTATGGTGTTTATTTGCAATGTAATTAGTGTGACCAAGTGGCGAACAAAAATACCACGCAAATGCGCTGGGTCAAAACAAATAAATTAAAACAGTGCGACCAAAGCTGGCCACAACAGCTGTGTAAGTTGTATATAAACACATAAACCAAACACAGACGGGAACTCAGCTTGATAAGCGATTTACAGTTACAGATCAGAGATCCAGCACGCAATTTCTGGCCAATTGAAAAGATTTAAAAAAAAGAGAGAGAGAGAGAGCGGAGGCGACTCCAACACACAGGCGCTCACACGCACACGATTTGCGGCAGCGTTCTTTGTTGCAAATTACGGTTGGCCCCCCTTCCACTAACCCAGAGATCCACGATCCACCAGCCAGTTGCTTCCAGCCCGTGCTCCGATGCAGACGTCTCGCTGAAGCAACAACAAATCACTGCACTGGAAAGGAGCGCACAGCACAACCATGTCGGCGGTGAACCAGAAGGAGAGTCCCAGCCGGGACTCCACGGCCTCCACATCCGGGCACATCTCAATGCTGGCTGACAACACATTGGAGTCGCTATCGCGGGATTATAGTTTGGGCAGCTTGAACTCGGCGGGAAGCCAGGACGAGTTCTTCCGGTGCCGCGACCATGCCGACAACATCCTCAAGCGGATGCAGCTTTACGTGGACAGCCAGCAGCTCTGCGACGTAGTCCTTATAGCTGGAATCGATGGCAAGCGGTGAGTCTCAGTGAAACTCCGATTTTCGATTGATATTTCCGAATCCCACTTTCTTTCTCAATTCCCATTTTAATTGTTGACTCCTGAAGCCCATTACTATTTTCAAATAATGTGGTTTCTAACGCTTAAATTGAACGTAAGATTTAAGTCTGCCATTCCTATACCTGTTGACCATTTCCAAATGCATTTTCCATTTCCTGTAATTGATGAAATCGATCGGGAAACTCCCATTCCTAAGCAGTGAGTAGGGATCATGGAACTCCTATTCCCGGTTGTCCATTCCCTTTTGCATTCCCACAGAGACAAAGGAATGAAATATAGCCTTTCAAATTGGAAAGTTCATTAGCGATTCTCACCCGCTTCCTCTTTACCCGATCCCCAACCCCCCACCTATCCATTTCCCCCTCCCCCAGCTGACCTTCACTTGGGTTCTTTGTCTGCTCTTTCCAATGCGCTGTCCCCAACGCAATTCCAACAGTAAGCACTCACACGCACACACTCGTTGAACAGTGGTGGCCAAGACAAAAGCACTACGCAGATGCAGGAAATCCAGATGCCGTCAAAATAATAGCAGTTCTTGACACCTGGTAAAATAAAAATACACTTTCGAACGTTTTAAAGAAAATTATTGAACTTAAGAAACCAGTAGTTAGATATCGCATTTAATTAACCATTAAGGGATAATTAAAATATCTATCTACCTAACAAATATCTATTTTTAAAAAATAAAAAAAAAGAAAATAAGTTTAAAACTGCATTTAGGGGCTGTGCAAATGAATTAAGATTTTTTGATAATGGATAATTTGACTAGCATAACCGTTGATAATAAGATGTGTTCCAAACTTATAGTGCTATCTATACGATTGCTGCTGTGAACCTTGTTGCAGCAGTGCAGATACAGAGAGCAGAAGAGATCCCGTGCTTAAAAGAGCGGCTGAGGGAGGAAAAGAGAGCTTTTTTTTATTTTTGTTTGTCGAGCAATGACAATGCAACGCAACAGAGAAGGAACTATTCTTCTCAAAACAAAAACAAAGACGAAGGCAGAGAGCCAACAACAACAACTGCAGCATAAAAAGATATAGATATTGCAATTTGCGATCCGAGTGCAGTTTGAGCTTTATTTGATTTCTTCACCCGCTTGCTGCACTTAACCGGTTTTGGATCGTGAAAACCTGTCGATCTGTGCCATGGTAAACAAAGGGAAAAGAACCCACCATCATACAGTTGCGGTCAGAACAATGGTGCCACAGTGCTCACTCGAAATAGTGTCCTAGTAAAAACGGAGAGCAGAAAAGCACGTTCAACGGCCATACAGTTAAATATAAATATCTTTAAATAGAATACTTTTGAAATTAAAAATATAGAAATATCTTCTTCAGTGTGTTGAAAACTTTAGACCTGTGTTGAATCCTTTTATAAGCGATACTTAAATAAACGCAATACATTAACGACACTCTGCAATTTTATATTTTTAGGGTGCCCGCTCACCGCCTGGTGCTATCGGCGTCGAGCGCCTATTTCTCTGCCATGTTCACGGGATCGCTGCGCGAGACCAAGGAGCAGGAGGTGACCCTCGGGGAGGTCCACGGCGACGCACTGCACCTGCTGGTCCAGTACTGCTACACCGGGTTCATCGAGATGCGCGAGGACACCGTGGAGACGCTGCTGGCCACCGCCTGTCTACTGCAGCTAACCGCCGTCGTCACCGCCTGCTGTAACTTCTTGGCCCGCCAGCTCCATCCATCCAACTGCCTGGGATTCGCCTTTTTTGCGGAGCAGCAGAGCTGCACCACGCTGCTGCGACTGGCGCAGGCCTACACCTGCCAGTACTTCATGCAGGTGTGCCAGAACCAGGAGTTCTTCCAGCTAAACGCCGACCAGTTGGGCAAGCTGCTGAGCAGCGATGATCTCAATGTGCCCTCCGAGCAGGATGTCTTCCACAGCCTGATGTCGTGGGTGCGCCACGATGCCACTGCCCGCGAGCAGCACATCCCTGAGCTGCTGGCCCTGGTGCGACTGCCACTCCTCCAGCCCGCCTTTATCATGGATCACGTGGAAAACGTGTGCAACGCCAACGAGTGCCAACAGCTGGTGATGGAGGCCTTCAAGTGGCACCTAATGCCCGAGCGCCGATCCCGGATAGCCACCGAACGGACCACGCCGCGGAAATCCACGGTAGGCCGTCTCCTGGCCGTCGGCGGAATGGATGCCCACAAGGGGGCCATCAGCATCGAGAGCTATTGCCCGCGATTGGACAAGTGGACACCGTGGAAGCACATGACCGGTCGACGTCTGCAGTTCGGCGCCGCCGTCATGGAGGATAAGCTAATCTTGGTGGGCGGACGCGACGGGCTGAAGACCCTGAACACCGTGGAGAGTTTGGACCTGAATACGATGGCCTGGGCGCCGCTCAACGCCATGGCCACACCCCGGCACGGACTGGGTGTAGCGGTGCTGGAGGGTCCACTCTATGCGGTGGGTGGTCACGACGGCTGGAGCTACCTGAACACCGTGGAGAGGTGAGTGGTTGGGATCCCCTTGTGTACCAGAAACAGGCAGAGCCGGAGGCTTCATCTACTGGCTTACTATGCTAACCATTTTCCAGATGGGACCCCATTGCCCGCACTTGGAGCTATGTGGCGCCCATGTCCTCGATGCGCTCCACCGCCGGTGTGGCTGTTTTAGGCAGTCGTCTGTACGCGGTGGGCGGGCGCGACGGTTCCGTCTGCCATCGCTCCATCGAGTGCTACGATCCACATACCAACAAATGGAGTCTCCTGGCGCCAATGAATCGACGACGCGGCGGTGTGGGCGTAAGTATACTGGTATCATAGTTCGCATCCGTTTTAATTCTCTTACTTGCCAGGTGACGGTGGCAAATGGTTTCCTGTACGCCTTGGGTGGCCACGACTGCCCTGCCAGCAATCCAATGGTCTGTCGGACGGAGACAGTGGAGCGCTACGACCCAGCCACCGATACCTGGACCCTGGTGAGTAGTGGAGGACTGGAATCCCCTCACCGTGATGAGTGCTAATTCTAATTCCTTTCCATCCGGGATAACGCAGATCTGCTCGCTGGCCCTGGGCCGGGATGCCATTGGCTGTGCCCTGCTGGGCGATCGCCTGATCGTCGTTGGCGGCTACGATGGCAATCATGCCCTGAAGAGCGTCGAGGAGTACGACCCGGTGCGCAATGGATGGAACGAGCTGGCGCCAATGGCTTTTGCGAGGGCCGGCGCCTGTGTGGTGGCCATTCCCAATGTCATACCGCCGGCGGCCCAACAGCCGCCGCCCAGTGCTACAGTTTAGTCTAAACCCACTCCACTTTCGGTTGCAGTGTAGGCCCGTTGAATGCATCGCTAGATACGGAAATCTATTCCGGATATTCTGATAGCTTTTTAGGAACGATCTGCATTTATTGCATAGCCAAATTGTTACTTAAACAATGAAAAACTTGAAGTAATTACTTTGATCCTTAACCTAATAGAATTTTGTAGAATTTTAAACTTTACTAGAAAGTAATTCACTTATTTTGGTAGAGTCCATTGCATTCCAAAATTTTATTCGGCATGCCGAAGCATATATATACATTTTGTTTTCAATACAGCTTTCGAATTTTAAATTAACGTTTATTGTATAGGACGCATGAATAAGCCACATTCCATATTTGCAAACTAAAACAAATTAAATTAAATATAAATTTAAGATAAATATTATCATTTTTTTGTTTATCCCTTATATTACACAAGTAGTAGATAAACATTTATTTATTTTTAAAAATATAATCATTTTCATTTCCATATATTTAATTAGGAAAAGAAATACCAAAAATCTTAAGCCTTGTTAAGACTTCAGATACATTTTAGCCTGAAAGCGATGCACTTAGCGAAAATACACTGCACCTTATTCTATAGTAGTTGTTGTTACTGTTGCTGTAAGCTGCTCGTGGTTGTTGCTCGTGTTCCTTAACCCGGCCAGCTTGAAAACGCAGCTCACCTTCGCCTCGCCCTTGTCTGTGTTCTGACATAATTCCCCTTGGTATGGCATATGTGCACCCAGAATTCACCCACTCTCCCAAACACCTTGAACTCAGTATTCCTGTAAATTCACCTACTTTTGGCTGCTATCTAAACATATGTAAATCCTAAAAAAAAAAGAAAAATAATAACAAAGAGAAATCTCATAGGTTTTAAGAAACGCATGCTGCGAGGCTTCCAAGCTAAACTCGATCCCTAGCTGTAATTAACCAACGTATTTTATACGATCCCTAGATCCTTAGATTGTAACCATTATTCTCCATCCCACTCACTCCATGGTGTCGTACGCTTCACACACTGCATTCCATTTCGCTCGCACCGGTGACGGGCCCACATTCCATCGATATCGTATATGTATATCAATCGTATATATCCTAGATAAGACTGCGTCAAGCCAAAATTCCAAAACAAACAAAATACTGCTCATTTTTGCATGTGAAGTGTGCGAGACCATTCAAACAAAAAAAAAAACGAAAACAATCAAAAAAGACAGCTGCAAATGCTTAGTTTTAGTTAGTAAATACGTATACCATGGAATGATTAAATTTCGACTTCTGCATCGTCATTTTGTACCGATATTAGCCAGTAAATAATAGATGTGTGTGTGCGTACAGCGAGCATTTATTTCTAATTGTTTATTATGTTTTTATTTCTTTCTTTTCCCTTTCCCTTCGATTGCATTTAAAAAATAAAGAAAAAGAAGAAGTGGAAGCCAGTGAGATTGGATCCAATCTGCTATAATAGGCGTCCCAGATCTGTCGAGTTTGTCGACTACTATAACATGTAAATGCAAGACAGACAAGACAACAAACTAAACAAACTATAAACTATAAACATTTAAGCCAAGCTACGAAAAACACAAGAAAACATACATAAAAAATACAAAAAAAAAAGAATCCAAATATTATGTATTATTTTATATTTACACATATATATATTTTTACACAAAACATACACTGCATAAATGTATACACTGGATATGTATTTTTTGTAATAAAAGCCTAAATAAAACGGTTATTTCTCTGCAGTTATTTGGAAATAAACAAGAAAGGAAGCAAAGTTCGGCAATCCGAGGCTTATTAATATAAATATAGTCACCCGATCCGGCACGTTCCGACATATATACTACCTGCTATAGAAAGAATGTTTCAAGCAGATAGCTTTAAAACTGAGAGACTAGTTCACGTAGAAACGGACGGACGGGCAGACGGACATGGCTAGATCGACTCCCCTGGTGTTGCTGATCAAGAATATATGTATATACTTTATATGGTCGGAAATGTCTCCTTCACTGCGTTGCAAACTTTTGACTATCCTCCACAAGGGTATACAAAATAGCGATATTTACTGGTTATCAATAAAAATGTGAAATAAATTTAACTACCCAAATCTTGATGGTCAGATACGACTTCTTGTCATATAAGGACAAGTCTGGAAAATTAAATAATTTATGTTTTCCGTAAACGAATATTGTTTATGCGTCGATTGAATGAAGTTTCCAACGATTCAGCAATTCAGCAATTGGGGAATACCCAGTATTCAAAATAACGAAAACGGTCACACGGAAGCGAAGCTTTGAAATTGAAAGGGCAATTAAAAACTGTTAGGTATTTTGCTCGGCAGGTCACACTGAAAACTAAAGTCGATAATTAACCGATAGACAAACATATGTTTTTTGTTAGTAAAGTCTAGGGATGTCAAATATTTTTAAAATATCGTATCGCTGATATATTTTCCTTAAGAAAAATATTGATATGATTTTAATATATCGCCAAAAATATCGATATATCAGATATTTTTGATTTTTTTTTCAGTTGAATTTCAAAATTTTAGCCGCGTAAATAAGCTAACAACAAGGAAACGAGATTTTTGCCCTAAAATTAAAGTAAAAACACTAAAAAAATATAAAAAATAAAATACGCTTTGCTACATTTGTTATTTTATTAGTTTCATAAGTCTTTGCTTATGGATTTTAAAAATACTCTTTCCGTTATGTAGCGGTCGGTCATGCGGCTGCGTGTCTGGGAGTACCAGAATTTCACCGGATTGGAGAGCTGCACGGCTGCACTCAAATTTTTGTAGTCTCAGTACTCTTGAGTTTGAGCACAATGCATTCAGCTGATCGAGTTCGCATCGCACTGTATTCTCATTTTAGCGCAATTTTGAGTATTCATATGAAATGGCATTGAATGAATGCGTGTGCAAAATGGAATGAATGAATGAATGAAGCATAGAATTGACTAAATACTCAGTATACAATTTGTGCGCCGCTTTGTCATGATGATGCATTTATTGATTTCATCGAAGTCCAAAAAGCTACAACCTTAATAAATCATATAGACAAGGAAATAAACGGTTATTGTAACACAAGTGTACTTTTTTCAGATAGTTTTGATTGCCTTAGTTGGTGGACCGACCATAAAAAAATGTTCCCCCCTTTATTTAAGACTAGTTGTAAGATTTTTTGTATACCAGCAACTAGCGCGGCTTCTGAGAGAGCGTTTTCTGATGCCAGAACCTTAATTACTGAAAAACGCTGCAGTGTATCAAAAAATCCAGAAAGCATAAATAAAATTATGTTTCTACATTCTAATATAAATAATATTTAATAAGGAAAAATTAATAATTAGTTTTTAAGCGAAATATACATACATGAAATGAAAATAAACATTGTATTATTGTCTCTTATTTAATTTCCCAATAGTAAATACAGCTCACGTAAAAGGAAACAATGCGTCATTCATCGCACTCACTATTTTTACCCGGTTCTTTCGGCATTCAATTCGCTCTCTCTATGTGTGAGTTCGATGAGTTGAGTACAGCGGCGGCGCACACATTCATTCACATTCATTTCAATTCGCAGCCGAATTCATTCAACTCATTCGCAGATGAATGTCTCATAAGTCGTTTTGAATGCGGCCGTGCAGCCCTTTACACCGGATCGCTGTCCCAGTCGGTGTAAGGCATGCTTATGTACATGAGAGAAAGATATGCAAGTATCAAACAATATCGAAAAATAAACTATCGATATTTTGATATTTGGCAAAAAAAAATATCACGATATAAATATATTTTGTTTTGCAAGAAATATCGATATATTAATATTTTGATATATTTTTGACATCCCTAGTAAAGTCTGTCAAATAAATAATTTTTTCCGGGCCGTAGTAAAGCATCGAAATCTAAATGTAATAAAGTGAATTTAAATTAATTGTGGCTATTGACCATATTGTTGCTTGATTTCAGGACAATGGAGTCAAAAACTGCCTTCGGTAAGTTGAAAGAGGAATTGCAAGATGAAGAATTCCTGGATGAGAACTTACTTGTGGAAGAAGTATACAATTTAGAAGACTATGAGATTGAGGTATTGGACGGTGAAGAAATACCTCCTGAGTTATTAGATGTTCAAGTTAAGAAGGAGTCGGACACCAACGAGAAGGTAGAAGTGTTCCAAATGTCCGACTTGGGTGGTGGGGTATCCAATAACACCGTAGATTTCAAAGTCAAGAATGAGAAAATCGAGGAAGAGGAATCCCAGTTTCAAATAGTTAATGAACCCATTAAACATGACGAAACGGACCAATCTGACTTGCAAGTGAAAAATGAATCAATTGAAGACGTTATCATCGAGGATAAAGTGATCCCGCCAACAGTCGCTGAAACTGGGCAATTCAAATGTAATTATTGCCCAGAATCCTTTACGGATAACATAGATCTAAGTCGTCATACTTTGTCGCATGCCCCCTTCCACTGTTCCTATTGTTTGAGGACTTATTCAACGGATGCAGGCTTTCAGCGACACCTGCGATTCCACAAGCCACCCTACCAATGCGATCAGTGCTCGGAGACTTTTGCGTTACGCGGTTCTCTTGATCGGCACAAGCAGAAGCACGAGGCTGAATTGGTTCACCAGTGTTCCCATTGCAAACAGCTTTTCAAAAAGAAAAGCTATCTTACCAACCACTTGCGAACCCACGCAAACGAGCTACCCCTGCGTCCCTTCAAGTGTGATCATTGCCCGTCGGCTTTTGAGAAACGTGCGTATCTCCAGAAACACATCCGAATTCACAAGCTCCACAAGTGCACCGAGTGCCCGGCAGCTCTGCCAACGAAACTGCATCTGGAGCGTCACATGGAAACTCACACAGGACCCAGGCCCAACAAGTGTGCCAAATGTGAGAGGGTCTTTAGGGATCAAAAAGAACTCAGTCAGCACTTGGTAACGCACTCGCCCAAAAATGGCTTTGAGTGTTTAGAGTGCTCCAAGACTTTCAACCTGAAATCATCTCTTACAAACCACCTGAAGCGCCTGCACACAACAGAAACAAAATATAACTGTTCCCACTGCCCACGATCTTTCAGACTCAAATCCGATCTCAAGTCACACATGCTGATTCACACGGTGGAACAGACCTTCGAGTGCCCATGTTGTCCGAGGTTCTTCAAACATCAGAGCAGTCTCAAGCATCACATGGCAAAGCACTCGGGCGCAGGACACTTTGAGTGCTCCCTATGCCTCAAGACCTTCACCGAGGAATCACTTTTTCAGGAACACCTGCTACTGCACGCAGATGGGACGTACGAGTGCACCCACTGCCCGAAGGCATTTGCCACACATAAAATCCTCCTTCAGCACATGGCATCGCACTTGACAGATAAGCCCCTCCAGTGTACCCTCTGCCCGAAGACCTTTGCGCTGGAATCGAGTCTTGAGACCCACCTAAAATTGCACTCGTTCCCCGGCTAAAGGTATTTCCCTTGTCCAAAGGCTTTCCGACGTCGATCAGATCTCAGGGGTTCATGTGGATAGGCACATTGAGGGTGTAGATCAACCACAAGCATAATTGCCACATATCTTACTTCAAAATAAATTTGAATCAAACTTATATTGTTTTTGTTTATTTTGATTTAGGGTTATTTGATAGGTATCACAGCATTGCCAAAGACCAATATAATCTTATTGGTATTATATTTTTGGCTTTGCATTGGTTTCCAAAAATGTTTACCAATTTTCAGTGATATGGAATCCACTTTTAAAAAATTAAAAATGGAGGCGTTCTATAAAGGTGTACTGCGTAACAACATTTTAAATTGTACAGGTAAAGGGAGAATAAAAGTATAAGAAAAGTTTTAAATATTAGATCTGGTGTAATTTAAGGTACAACCCTTGCAAAAATAAAATGTTTGTTTCCAATTATAATGTATACAAATTTAACAGTCAGAAATTTAGGCTTTTGAATCGATGAAAACCAAACAAACTCAGTGATGTACTAGTTACTACTATTAAATCTAATTAGAGTAATTTCAGTTGTTCATAGCTCACTAATAACTAATAATAGTAACTAACAATATAACATTAAATTGAACATGTTTTAAAAATATTGTAGTTTGAAAATAATTCAGTTACGCGGGTCACTTGTTTAACGATTCAACAGGGACAAGTTTGGGTCTTTGGTTAATTGCTGAAAATCTACCCATAATTTGCAAAAGTACTGTAAAATAACAATTTATTTACTGTAAAATAACAATTTATTTTCACAGTTCATTTACAGAATATTTTTGTCTTCAAACTTAAAAAGTTTTCAACACAAGTGTGTGGTGGCGATATTATTGTGATGGCTGTCACACCATCGATGGTGCAAACTGGCTCCTAACCATCGGTTCTATCAATTGTGCTATCGATAGTTGGGCAGCTCTACTTTACAGTGTAACCAGTTGCGATACCAAACCGGCTAGGACTATCGATGCTTATCGCTGGTGCCCTACCTTCACTGACCGCTTCTTCTTCTTGCGCCCGCTCGGCAAAAATTGTACACGTTTTTCATTTCGAAAAGTGCATTTTCCCTTTTTTTCGGCCCGGCAGACGATTACGCATTCGAAAATGGCCCTCACGTCGCGCTTCTACAACGAGCGGTATCCGGAGATCGAGGATGTCGTCATGGTGAACGTTCTGTCCATCGCCGAGATGGGCGCCTACGTCCATCTGCTGGAGTACAACAACATCGAGGGCATGATCCTGCTCTCTGAGTTGTCTCGCCGTCGCATCCGCTCCATCAACAAGCTGATCCGCGTGGGCAAGACCGAGCCGGTGGTGGTCATCCGTGTGGACAAGGAAAAGGGCTACATTGATCTGTCCAAGCGTCGTGTTTCGCCTGAGGATGTGGAGAAGTGCACGGAGCGCTTCGCGAAGGCTAAGGCCATTAACTCTTTGCTGCGCCATGTCGCCGACATTCTCGGGTACGAGGGCAACGAGAAGCTGGAGGAGCTCTACCAGAAGACCGCCTGGTACTTCGAGAAGAAGTACAACAGCAAAACGGTCGCCTACGACATCTTCAAGCAGTCGGTCACCGATCCGTCCGTCTTTGACGAATGCAACCTGGACCCGGAGACCAAGGAGGTTCTGCTGAGCAACATCAAGCGCAAACTGGTCTCGCCCACCGTCAAGATCCGTGCGGACATCGAGTGCTCCTGCTACGGCTACGAGGGCATCGACGCCGTCAAGGCATCGCTCAGCAAGGGCCTGGAGCTCAGCACCGAGGAGCTGCCCATCCGCATCAACCTGATAGCGCCGCCTCTGTGAGTTGAAGCCATCGGTTTTGGAATGAAATTAAGTCCGTTTTGGGCGTTTTACAGAATGCTAGGTTGTAAAAAATATCGACAGTTCTCTGAATTTAGTTATTTGGATTACGTTAGGTTTTGTTTAGGAATGACGAAATTGATCCCATTTGCTGGCTACACTATGTAGGATAGTATAAAGTATACTATATTCAAACCTGTTTCCCCTATTTAAGCATAATACCCTTTGCAAAACCGTTTGGGCGTTATATGGGTTTCCATTGATAAATTTGGATTATGAGAGATGAAAATAAACACAGGAGAGGGTTTCACTAAAGAGATGCTCTAATTATGTAGTATAAAGTATTTTATTAGTCTTAATTCCCTTTTCTACTCAAAAGTGGGTTCGCTAAAGAGTAATTTGGATTGGGATTTGTATGTATAAAGCATATTAGTAGACCCTTGTTTTCTCGTTTGCCCCAAACTTCTTAAAGTTACCAAAAGCTAGTCTTACGCTATAAAACTTTCCATGGAGTATATCGGATTATGCCAAAACAAACTGGTTCCGTGGAGTGTTGGTAGTCACATGAGGAATCATCAAATATCTATACTCTACACCTCCAACAAGATGTTATTTTATAATAATAAAACTTTAACAAAGTTTTAATTGAAAAACAAACCTTGCGCTGAAGACTTTTCGGTGGTGAACAGATAGATAATGGTAAATCTCTAAATGACTTTATTCCGTTTCCTCATTATCTCTTTTTATAAAATTATTTTGGGAAAACGATCATTAGAATATTTCAAAAAGATTTAGAAGAAGGGATAGATGTTATTAGAAAAAACAATATTTTATTCTTATGAATAGTGTGGACTTCTGAGTTGTTATATTTATAATAAATTATTAATACCTAGCCAAAAAAAACTAACTATTTTTCTTGTCAAACCTTTCAGCTATGTTATGACCACGTCCACCACAAAGAAGACAGACGGTCTGAAGGCCCTGGAGGTGGCCATCGAGAACATACGCGCCAAGATCATCGAGTATGAGGGCGAGTTTAAGGTGATCATGGCGCCCAAGCTGGTCACTGCCATCGACGAGGCGGATCTGGCCCGACGCCTGGAGCGCGCTGAGGCCGAGAACGCCCAGGTGGCTGGCGACGATGACGAGGAGGATGGCGCTGACCAGGAGGGCATGCAGTTCGATCCGGAGAAGGAGTTCAACCACAAGGGCTCGGCGGCGGGTCGTGCGAACGAGGAGGATGAGGAGGAGGACGAGGATTAGGGTAGCCACAGCTTCAGACACAACTATAGCAACTGTAACAAATGATTAAACGATTTTTGCATAAATAAAACCAGACATATGCGCAATGTGTATGCTTGTGACCGGTAGATCGTTGTGTGGTACCTTTGTAGCCTTCAGCAGACCACAAGTTGTCATTTTGTAATTTATATACACACAACATAACTAACGCTATTAAAGATTTACAAAAAGAAATCGGCAAGGTGCCCGAGAAGACAATTCAAACAGCGCTTGTTCATTCTTTTTAAATCCAAAACAATACTTTCGACCTTTTATTGAACCCAATTCAGTTTTACTTGACAGAGCCTTAACACTAGTTCAAATTGTATATAATGTTTACATGTGTATAATTGTAATATATTTAAATAGTCAGGCGTACTTTTTTTCGTATTTTGTTTGTAATTTATTGTAATACAGTTAATATTTTCGTTGATGCGGTTTGGTTCCATCACCATCCAGATCCATCCAATACATACGTTACTTTTGTCTTAGTTTTTAGATTAAATCGCCTACTATTCTTTCTCTCAATATTTTCTAGAAAAAACCAACCCATGCTCTGCTTTAAAAATGATCCGCTGCTCGAAATGCACCCTAATTAGCTATTGTACATCGTAACAAACGATCCGTATAAAAAAGTGGCTTCAGTTTATAAAAATTTCACTAAATTAGAAAGGTTTTCGTTTCTGTTTTCATTGCTTGTTTGTTGTGTCTTATCCTCTTGATGTTTGTTACTTTACTTAATGTGTGGCGTGATTTTTTTTGGTATTGCTCGGAGTATTTTGTTGGAACGGCATCCAGTTAGTAGGGTCCTGTGTGTGTTCATCATCCTATTGCAATCCAGTTTCTGGCTATGGGGAGTTCGGCTTGAGGTGGTGTGTGGTGGGGATCTAGCCGCGTTCAGCTGAGTTCGGCCCCCGAGGCGGCAGCGTTGCGATTGAGCAGCACGGAGCTGGCCGCCTGCTTGTTGCCGCCGCACAGCCGCAGCACGGTGAGCACATCGCTGCGTGGATAGCCCAGGGCCATGAGATCGGTTACGTCCTGTTCGGTGAAACGGTCCAGCGGTTGAATGGTGTTGGGCCCACCGCCTGCGCCACTTCCGCCGCCGCCACCACCCTCGCGCTTGCTCTGCTCAATAGCATTGGCAATCGCCTCCTGTTCCATCGATTCCTCCGAGTTACCTGTGAGCCGGGCGCTGACCGGCAGCTCGCTTTCCGGTAGAAACGGGGTTGACGTCCCGGTGGTACCGATAATCAGCAGATTTCTCTGCAAGTCAATCAGGCACTGCAATAGATAGCTTATTAAGGTTTGTCCTGCATTAATAAAATCAAATTTTCTACCTGATGTCGCTTCAGCATGTCCAGGCCCAGCAACATGTCCATGGGTTGCTGGCCGAGCACAGTGAAGCTGGACGTTAAATGATCGTTCTCAATCTGCAGCTGGACCATGTGAATCCTGCCCAGAATGGGCTGTGTGCCAACGCCCTTGGCCACGCCATTCCAACGCGTGTCGATCAGCCGGTTGACGTGGCAGCGTTCGGCGCAGTCCTTGCTCATGATTGTCGTTTGGGCGCCCGAGTCCACAAATGCCTTCACCGGAAATCCATTCACCTTGCAATTGATATAACTACAAAGTGGCAAGGTACATTTGATAACATATAAAAGCGGATCTTTAATGTTAATGACAGAACTTTATCTCCAGCACCCACTTTCTATATTAAATGGTTAGTTTAAGAGAGAATATTTAAGAAATATGGCTTAGTTGGCCTATCGCTTCGTTTCCTTTTACATATTCTAAGCTCACAATAAGACGGCAGTGATATACATATTAAAGTTTGGGCAAATCCCACTTTTAAAGACTTACAAATTATGAATGGTTCATATATATATATATATGAATACAGGATAAATGTCTTTCAAACGATTAAAGGAACTAAAAACATATTACGATTCATCATACAACAAAAAATGATTGGTTGAAAAAATGTAAGATGAGCCATTCCTTTTATTGTCGAATTAGTTTAGAGATTGGTCTCCCAGATACTTACAGCATGGTGACCGTGCCGAAGATCTCCGGATTGTATTCAATGGCTGCCGCCATATTATCCTGGATATTCTTCTGCTTGATCTCCTCGGCAATCAGACGTTGCGTCTCCTCATCGAAGGGATCGGCGTTCAGCATGCGCATGCGGAGCTCATTGCGCCTCTTTCGCTCAGTAATATACTCGCGGAGCAGTCGAGCGAAGGCCTCCTGGTCGCCGGAATCCAAGGCCTCCGCCAATCGTGGGTTGTTCTGCCGCATCAACGACAGCATATCGGGCCTGGACAGGAACATCTGGCGCACCGCCGCCGGGTCGTCATCGAAGTTCACATTGAACTCATCGGTCATGGGTATGTCTGTGAGGTTGTTGAACTGCGTATGCTGCATTCCCTGCTGGTGGGCACTCCGCGAGGGTGGGCTCCCGCCGGAACTTGTGCCAGGCACTGCGATGTTGCTGAAGTCAAGCGTGCTAATCACTGGATTCCCGCCACCTGAAAGGAGTAGGATCAGAGTTCGGTTAGTAGGATCGCTCTATTTGTAATTAAACTCTCAATATATTTGGTCGATTTGAAAATTGTTTGTCCTTATTAGCTTACAATCACAGAAAATAATAAACATAAACCCAAGTCTTGTTCATATAAAAGCTAATGGCAATGGTTTTTAAATTTAAATAAAACTAATCAGAAATAAAGCTAAGTTCCAGTTCTTATCCACTTGTGGCATTTGAATAAGCCAATTTCGCAGAATCGTCCCTAAGATAACGAATACATTTTTAAAACACGAACACTTTTTCAAAGTTGTGCTGACTCAGCATAATGGAAAAAAATAATTATATTAAAAACAATGAAAATAGCAATTTTTAACAGATCTTTTTTAAAACAACAACTTAACCCAATTCTAGGAAAAAGATTGTCGTTGTTGAATATTGCATACATTTTAAATCTCCTCGACCTAAGGTCCTAATTCTAAATTTGTCAATATAAATCGAAGGAACATATTTGTAACTACAAAGGGAAAATAAATAAATATGTCATTACAGCTGCAAGGATGTACACATTCCTTTGGATTATTATTTTTTATATACTTCTGCATTAATATATTTGTATACATATGTATATGTACATACATACAATTTTTTGTTTGAAAATGTGTCTTGTAGCATGGAGTGCAAAGTGATATCATTGTGCTGTGCAATGGTTAAATAAAATCGAAAATTGTTCACCGCCGCCCACACCTGCAGTCCGAAATACGTTTGTGCACACAAATACATACGTACATATGTGTACATGACAACATTAGTATATCACGATCCCATTCCAACGGACAAACAGACAAGGCCAAACACGCATGCAGAGGTCAACAAAACAAGCGGATGAAGTGAACAGGGGGAGGGGATGGGGATGCGATGGGTGGATCCACACCTGCTGCTGCTCCTCCACTTCCATTGCCATGCCATTCCCATTCCCTGCCTCTCTCTTTACCCTCTCTCTCTCTTTTCTACTGCAGTAGAAACAGATAAGCCACTTCCAGTGTTCCCGTGTTTGTGTTTTATTTTGGAATTTGCTAAAAGAAAGGCAAGCGAAACCAGGCGTTTATTTTTAACACCAACTGCGCCGCAAAAAGATATGCTGTGTGTTTTCCAAAAAACTAAAAAACGCAAATATTCACAAAAACCAAAAAACAACTAAGTAGATGGTTTCACAGTTCAAATTTCACCACACGGCGAAAAGTTTCTGAACGATCCGCTTTTAATTGATGTTTCTGGATGTAATAATAATACAAAATAATAAGTTGAATTTCATCACTGGAGTTAAGTTACCATCTTAAAAATCTAATATCATAAATATCTTTATCTGAGGTTACCTTCGTTCCATATCATGAAATAAATATTTTGCTTAATAACGATAATGGGTTAGCTGCCAAGCCCCCGAAAAATGTCCCTCAAGATCCACCCCTGTCACCGCCAGACGTGACCCACTTAAGGGTTAATGGCTCTCCATTCTCTTTCTTTCCATTTCTCTCACCTGAGCGATTGACGCTCCTGCGTCGTTCCAGCATGATGAAGTCGCCGTCTCCAACGCCGCACTGTTGCAACGTCTGTTTGTCGTTGGAAAGCTCGCGCCCGTTGAATATAACCACTATTTGGGCCACCTCCGCACTGATCTCCATCGCGCAGAGGGCCTTGAGATTCTCCAGCTCCAGATCCTGAGCCACGTCCAGGCAGAAGACCTTGTCATCGCTGGCGGTCACTGTGATTTTCATTGCCGCTGCCTGTTTCACTTTTCAGGGATCTTGGGTTTCGGTGCTGCTTCTTGTGGGTAAATCCTTTGCTTTGCCTTTATCTTCGGTGGCCAAATAGGTGCGCTGTGCTGATATTCTGCTTATTGTTTTGACACAACAACGAAAACGCCGCCTCGCCTCCACACGACACGGTTGCTTGCGGCGCGCTATCGGTACTCCAGAGCCGTCTGCCTATCGATGGTAGAGTGTTGGGTGTTTTTTTGTTGTTTTTTCACTGCATATTTGGGGGATCCAAAGATAGGATCTACTGCGAATTTCGGTAGGCTATAGAATTTTTCTCATATAATTTGACACATGACCCAAAGTGTACTGAGATTGCCAAATGCATATACAAATTTTAGTTCAAATTCATCTTGTCTTTTTGCTGGCTACAATAAATATAATAATATATCATGCTCAAAAAGAAAAGGAAAAGATAAATAATTTTACTGTTCTTATATCTTACTGTTCTTATATCTTAAAACTGGGAACTTTTTTTAAATTGGTATCTTATAAATGGCAAATACGAAGAAAGTTTAAATTCTAAGTTTCTCAATCAGCTAGCCTACGAAAATAAGGATACCCATTCTGAGGATTTAACTTTATGTTCCTGACTATGGTATAAAAGATACTTTCAACATGCCAGTTAGTTACACCTGCCATCCGTTTATTTTTTCCGAAGACTTTATTGGAAAAATTCCTGACAACTAAGTTTTTCGACTTGTAGGAACTATTAAAATGATACTGAATAGTGTACTGGGCTTGAATAAATTTTCCATATCTATTTATAAGCAAAATCACAGAAATGTTTAATTTTCTTTGAATATATTTAATTAGATTATATCTGCAAGCTAGTGGTGGGATCGATGAGTATCGATGACTCATGTGGTGTCATCGCTAAGCTCGAAATTTTATTGTTGTAAATTTATTTACTTTATTCAATTGGACAAACTTGCAGCGTGTGGACGAGCTTAGGAGCATTGCTGTGTTAGCCGATCTTAGAGAGAAACCCAGATAAGCGGCCATGTCTACGCAGCCAGCGGAAAATGAGGAAAGTGCGGCGGCGAAGTCCAAGCGACCTTCAGGTGAAAACCCAGTTTGATTCGAGTACCATGCACTCCCACTCCCACTGCCTTACGCACACACACACGCACGTAACAAGTGATAAGGAGAATGACTAATGTCCAATGGCAAATCGATTTTCGGGGCCAATCCTGTCGCCCTGCATAAACCATGAGGTCACGCTTGGTCGCTAACTCTTTCCGCCCACTTCCACCTACCCGCAGATTCGGCCTTCAAGCAGCAGCGTCTGCCCGCCTGGCAGCCCGTCCTCACCGCACGCACCGTCCTGCCCACTTTCTTCGTGATAGGGGTGCTCTTCATACCCATCGGTGTGGTTCTGCTGCATCTGAGCAACACCGCCAACGAGCTGATCATCGACTACACCAAGTGCAGACCGTCGGTCGGGAACGCCACCTGCGCGGAGATCCTGGAGGCCAACCCCGGCAGCGAGTGTCCCTGCCAGGTGCCCTTCGTCCTGCCCAAGGACTTCAATGTGAGTTGGAGGGATCCTGAGCCCTGTTTAAGTAGCCCATCCAGAGTTCAAGTGCCCCGTCAATTTCAATTTAACAGCTTTCTTTATCTTAAAAGATTTTATTATCATGGCTCCGTATTGGAAGGAGATTAATAACGTTTAGTGGGTGAGCGATAGGTGCTTAACCCTTCGCCAATTCCATGACGACTAATCATAAATTTAATTTCATGTATCTGAATAGTTTCTCACGCTTTCTATAGGAATAATAGTTTTTAATAGTTATATTTTATAAGTGTTACTTCGTCTGTTTGTCAAAAACTTTAATTTTCTGTTTCCTTCTGGTTTTGTTTCTAGTTTTCTTCAAGCAATAAATGTCAAGATAGTTCCCACAATTAATCAAATAAATTCAAGTAACAGTTGTATATATTAAATCCACGCAATTTATTAAACCATACCAAACCGTAAGACTCGTTTAAAATATTATTGTTTTTGATTATATTACATACCAGTATCGTTAAACATATTAAGATTTGCAGACTTAGTTATATAAATAAGCACTTATTTACTACTTTTGAATGCCATATATCTTTGCAATTTTCATTGTTTCTCTATTTGGTTTACTTCCTTTTAAAGGGCGTGGTCTACATGTACTATGGACTGACAAACTACTACCAGAACCATCGGCGCTACGTGAAGTCACGGGACGACGAGCAACTGCTAGGTCACCTGTCGCAAACGCCCAGCTCGGACTGCGCCCCCTTTGCCTATGATCCGGACAACGGAAAGCCCATTGCACCCTGCGGTGCAATCGCCAACTCGCTGTTCAATGGTGCGTTATGTTCTCCTGCTTTGTCGATTACATCCCAACTAACCTTGATCCCTTCCAGACACGCTGACCCTGATGCAGAATGGTACCGAGATCAAGCTGTTGAAGACGGGCATTGCCTGGCCGTCAGATAAGCGGGTGAAGTTCCGAAACCCGGAGGGGAATCTCACATTGGCCCTTGAGGGCTTTGAGAAGCCGATGTTCTGGAACAAGAGCCTGGACCAGCTGGACCTAGAGAATCCGGAGAACAACGGCTTCCAAAACGAGGATCTTATCGTGTGGATGCGCACCGCCGCATTGCCCAGCTTCCGGAAGCTATATCGCCGGCTCGACCAGACGAACAGCAATTATGCTAACGGTCTCAAGGCTGGCAATTATATGCTAAACATTAAGTATCGTAAGTATATATTCAACAAAGACACATAAAGTGTGGAACTCAGTGGACCTCAGAAATTCCTTAACACAATAGTATCTATGAAATCTTATATGATCAAAAGGAGGATATTATATATTCTTGTATATCATTAAATAAGTAAGCTATACATACAAATATCTATAAAAAAATCTCAAATGTATATGGTCATATGCATAACTTTTTTTAAGATAACAAGATAGTTGATTATTTAAAATAATTTCACAGTCTAGATTTTTTAACGTTCTAATAAACACTTAACTTAAAACTTTTCTTAGCTAAACATATTCAAGGACATCATCTTACACCAGTTTGTTTTGCCTTTCAGAATATCCAGTGGTCTCGTTCGACGGCACCAAGCGCATGATCTTGTCCACCACTTCCGTGCTGGGTGGCAAGAATCCTTTCCTGGGCATTGCGTACATTGTGGTTGGCGCCATTTGCATCACCCTTGGCTTGGCCCTGCTTTTCATCCATATGCGATGCAGCCGCAGGTGAGTTGCACTCGGATATAATTGATTCATCATCGTTTTACCCTCATGATCATCATCCTTCCTGTCCTTATCCCTACTCCCACAGCATTGTAGTGCATTAGGTTCACTGGGAATCGGGAATTTCATAGCCCATTGAAGCCCCCTCAGTTCTCATGGCAAAATTTGCTTTGCTCGGTGCGCGATAAGTATTGACATTTAAGTAGCGATTGATAGTAGTTTGACTCCTTATCGGGCACTGGCCAAAATGATTGACAACTTCTTTGTAGGGGCTCTTGAACTAATCAAAGTTTTATTTCTGTTTCCCCAGTAGCAACATGGAGATGATCAACGTGAATCCGCACACGCAGTACTCCTAGACCGAGCACCGACAGTATTCCGGGCTGCTTCACTTAGCTTTAGTAGATCCATCTGTTTAAGCCTTATCAGCATAAAATAGCTTATATGACCAACAGGCACTGTGTTTTCAACTACTCTGTTTTATTTGTTTCTTGACTGTGCATTTAGCCATCCGAAAAGCTGGCCGTGCCTTTTGTTAATTATTTTTGTTTTTGTACAACCTATTCTGCACATCACAACACCAAGTGGCTCCCTTCGATTATCCACACGAATTTTCACCATTACTTTACAACTGCAAAGTAATACTTTGTGCCTGACCTAATCTGTTTTGCCTTATACTACGTTTATTGGCGCAAATAAACATTGTTAATGGCAGAGCTCTCTTGTTTTATTGGCAAGGTACTGGGGTGATATTATATTTGGGTTTTCATTTATTGAGTTCAAAACAGTAATGTAAATACCATTTTAGATTGGGATATACAGCTTGACTTCATTCCTTGTAACATGAGTCTTATCTGCACTCTATTTTTGCTTATTTAGAGCAAGTGGGAAGCCTATAATTGCATTTTATGGAAAACGATTAAAATTAAAAACAAATAGAAAGTCGAAATGGAGCGCTTTGATTAAGTATTTCCTGGCATGTATATTTGGTGCTACTTCAGTATTTCCTGGCTGGATTTCAGATAAGGCAACCATAACTCATGTTATCGGAAACAACAAAACCCACCAAAATAAACTACCTTTTAATTTTCTATATATATGTTTAAGTTTATATTTCTTTTATTACTTTCTTTTCGATTCTTCAACGCGTGAGGGACAAATGTTTGCTTATATGATTCTGCATTTGTTTTAATTTATTTTGTACGTTTTAGACTACATTTCCAGTTACATTTTAGATGTCGCTTAAGCTAGTTTTACATATAATGCCGCCGCTATCAGTTGTGTCTATATATGTTTAAGTTGTGTGCGCATACGTGTGGGTGAAGAGTGTGAAATATAGGTAATGTACAGATTATGTGTAAATCGTTATATTAGCTATATGAATGAATCTCAATCTATATAAATACGTGTCTAAGTATGGAGCCACTATTGACCTTGGTCTTCCATGCACATAAAACTAATTTCAGATGTGAAGAGAGAGACAATTACAGTATCGGCGTGTATATATTAAGCACTTGACTCGAAAATTTAAAAATAACGAATCAACGACCTTTCTGTTCAGAAAATAGAACTACCTCGATTCATGATTTGAAACTGAATGTAAATTACTTAAAATTGAGTTTTAGAGGACAAAAATATATCAGATTTTTTTATTTCAAAACAAATAATTCAATTCAATTCAATAATTCAAGCCCTTCTGCATAGAAAATAAAATTCGGTCTTGCAGGGCTTAGATTTTATAAATATAAAATGGAGATCTGTATTTTGAAAATATTTTTAATAATTAGTCTCGGATGCTACAGGCCATGCTCTTATATTTAAATTTCTACGGGCTCTGTTGTCATGTGAATTCATTCAAAGGTCGGGATTTATCAGGTCGGTCGCTTACCAAAGTACAGTTAAATGGTCATAATTAAAGATAAAATAAATCGGCTGTAGTTCTCATTTGAGCAATTTTCAAACTATTTTAGAGTAGTGAACAAATAGTTTAGATTACAGTCTTGTTTGTCTGCTGTTTTTGTGTTACCTTAAGTGTACATTAACACTTCGAAATAAATAATAAAATGTAATCTTCGGTGCACATGCTACAGCATCAATCAAGTTTTCTGATCCAATAGTTTTGTGCCTAAAGGTGAGCTGTACGGTTAAAAAATGGAGAATGAAAATTAAATAAGAATTTTGGGAAGACCAAGGTTTAAATACAACAAAAATCAAGTTTAAACATCTATCGCTTTGTGTGTGTGTTTGAGAGTGTCATGCATGTTTTGTGAAATACTTTGAAAATCCTGATGGTTTTACTAACTCTAACTGAGCGGTTTCCCTTGCGTTTTCTGTCGCTTGCTTTGGTGCGTCGTAAACTTTTGCTTGAAAATTGATGTGTAATATATTAAGACGTACTTTTCTATATGCTTAAGCCTATTATATCAATGTATGTATATATATATATAGTTTATCTAAGCGAAACTTAGCCGTAAGAGGATGCATATAAATCCCCTGTTTTTGCTTTGTGTATGGGTGTGTGCGCGGTACAAACTAGGTTAACATTTAAAAAAAAAGACTTAGATAATATATATATATATTTTTTTTAAAATATATATATGATTTACATATACGGTAGTTAAGTTCTTAAGACTAGAAGCAAGAAAAAAAAGTTTATATAACACACACGCACACACACGCATCTCGTGCTATACATAAACGTGGCTGATTTGTTGATGGAATGCGTTGCTGATGTTCATGTGGTTGCTGATGTTTTCATTGTTTGAATGATTATGATGAGATGATGATGGCGGTGTTTGAGTGGATTGGCTTTGTACATTTCAAGTGAGTTTAGATTGAGATGATGGAGGTGTGTTGAAAGGATGATTACTCAATTTGTTGCAGCTGTTGCAGTTGTCGCCGTGGCAGCAACAGTCTTACTCTTGTTGTTGTTATTAATCGCCAGCACCGCTGACTTGGAGTCAGGCTTCGTCTTTGCTGCCGTTGCTAATGTTGCTGCTGTTAACGATGTTGCTGCCGTGTTGCTTGCGGTTTCGGTTGCTGCTGCTAGCTGTGTTGCTGCTGCCGCTGTTGAGAGCTTTGGCCCATTGAGGATATGGCTTTTGATGTGGCTCTGGAGAAGCTCCTGAGAATCGAAACAAAGTTGACATAGAACACAGGTAAAGCCGGGATCATTCAACTGATCGTCGGCCTTCTTACGCCGCTCACCCGTGGAACGCGAATGCGAATTGGACGTGGTCGTTGTGGTGGACTCGCTCTCCGAGGAGGAGGCCGTCGACACCACATTCGGCTCGTCCTCCACATCCCCCTCATCTAAATCATCATCGTCAACCTCCTCGATGGCATCCTCCGGATCGGGATCCGGATCGGCATCCTCATCATACTCCTCCTCGATGATGTCCTCTATGGGCATTACACCATCGTCCTCATCGTCGGAGCTGGCTACTATCAGCGGCGGCATCTTGGACTTGCCATTCATCAGCGGTCGTACCGGCAACGCCACTGGCTCCGGCTCCTCCACATCGTCCTCCTCATCGTCATCTTCTACATCATCATCGTCGTCGTCGCTTTCCACCTCGCCATCATCTTCATCGTCGTCGTCCGAGCTGATTACCTCCTCGACGAGATCATCGTCGTCCTGGTTAAGAGTCCCTTTGTGTTGCTTCTGTGGCAACAGTTGTCCCGGTGGCTGCACTCCCTCTTCGTCTTCGCCTTCACCCCCGTCGCCCTCCTCGTCCTCATCTTCTCCCTCGCCGTCCTCATCGTCGGTGTCGTCGTCCTCATCATCACCCGTGCCTGAACTCTCCTCCTCTTCGCCCGAGCTATCCTCCTCGTCCAGTTCATCGCTGTCTTCTTCCTCGCGAATCTCCAACTTCTCTGATGTTGATGATGCTGTTGCTGCCACCTGACCTCTGTCCAGAGAATGCTCATCTGTTTTTGCTAAATCACCTGATGTTATTGGTGGCGCTGCTGCTGCTGTTGCATCTGCCGCTTCCATTGCCGCTGTCCTCTCTATGGCCGCCTTGGTGGCCACTGGCACTATGACCTCCTCCTTGAGATGGTTGTTGATGTGGTTCATCAGCTTCTCCTTGCGCGACAGGTACTCGCCGCACAGATCGCAGCCCCATTGGAAGGGGCAGAAGGGTCGCACCACCTTCGCATCGGCCAGCTTGTGCTCGATCCACAGCTCCTTGGTCTCGAAGTTCAATTGGCAGCGACGGCAGGTGAGGTGATCGTCCACAACGATTATTGGCGGCTCCGGCAGATTGCTCACCTCGTGCTTGTGCAGCTCGTACATGTGGCGACGCAGATTGTTGTTGCTGATGAAGGTGGAGGCGCAGTATTCGCATTTCAGCTCACGTTTCCGCTTCATCGATTTGCTGCGGTTGCTGCTGCTGTTGTTGTGGTTCATGCTGCTGTTGCACGAGTTGTTGAGGCTCTGCTGTTGCTGCTGTTGGTTGGGCATCAGACCCACCGCATGCAGCTCGCGGAGGTGCAACATCGAGTTGTTGTTGTTGTTGTTGGTGTGATTGTTGTTGGTCAACTGTGTCGCTTCGCCGTCGATGGGGTTCTGCAAGGATTAATATGCCGGGGGATAGCAGGATTCAGCAGGATTTGTGTGGGGTTGGGGGAGAAAAAAGAAAACATAGATTAGTACAAATTCAATTGGCAATGACGAGATGTTGATATCTGTTTTTTGCGACTGGTGCGGAGGCATCATCATCATCATCAGCACATCAAAAGTTGTTGTTGGCGCGACAGACGACGATCCTCGCCATCGTCCGTCGCTCGTCCTCCTCGCTGCACAAGCCCAAAAACGCTCACCTGCTTGCTATCACCTCTGAAATGCCACTTGCGATGCACCTTGAGTGCGATCACCTGGGGGAACGTCTTGGCGCACAAATCGCACGCGTATTCCCCGTTCTCGTTCTGTCGCTCCACCTGGAACTGCCCGGCATCCGCCGGCCCATCATCGAACATCGCTGCCAGCGGATTGTCCACGTACAGCTCCTGCTCGTGCTTCTGGATGTGCTTGCTGAAGTGCTCCTGGTCGGTGAAGCGAGCCCCGCAAATGGTGCAGGCCACCTCCGGAATGCGTATCTTCATCGACGTGGCCGCGACCACAGCACTCCCCGAAGCCACTCCTGCCGTCGTCCCGTTGCCGTCGCTGTTGGCCCTATCCTCCAGCTGCTGCTGGTCATCGTCCTCCTCCTCGTCCTCATCATCGCCGGTCTTGTGCCGGAAAATGGTTCGTCTGGCCGGCTGTAGCGACGCCTGCTGCTGTTGCAGCTGCGGTTCCTGCTGCTGGTGGGCACCGGTCGAGGTGATCGGCTTGCGGTTGCAGGTGGGCGTGTGGTTGTCATGCATCTGGCGGTCGAAGAAGACCTTCCGGCACAGCGAGCACTCGGCTGGGTCGGGTACTTGCGGATGCTTCTTGTAGCGATGCACCTGGGGCGAAAACACCAAATAATTATGTGAGTCAACATGCATGGTAACATATTGGTAATATTAAATCCCTAAATTCAGCATTTAAAATGTATCTGTGAACTAAAATTTTAGTTTAATAGAAAATATAAAAATAATAAAAAAGTCCCAAAAAAAAATTGCATTAGAATACTTTACATGGTAAAAATTACTCGGTTCCGAACTTATTTTAAACACAATAAACAATTTTAAAAACTACCCCTCTTTAACAATATAAATAAGGGATTACTACTTAGATTATAGTTTTTCGAATAAGTAAGACGAACGAGAAACACAGTTTGGATAGTATTGCCTAATGCGGGTTTCCCTACCCTAACACACAACACTTTAGCTGCTCTAAACCCAACAAACTGGTTAATCCCAGACAGACTCACCCATAAACTCTTGCGTCCGCTGTATACATTGCCGCAATCTTTGCAGGAGTAATCGTTCGAGTCGAACTCGTCGTGCGAGTTGATGTGGATGGCCAGCTTCTTGTTGGTGTTGAAGTTGGATGGACAGTATTTGCACTGGTACCAGTACAGCGGAGTGCCCAATCCCTGACCCGAAGCAGATACAGCAGCTGCACCGGCCGCGAGCGTGGCGAGATTAGCCAGATCCGATGCGGTAGGCTTGGCTTCGTCCATCAGCGAGTCATCGTCAATCTTGGAGGACGTGGACGCCGAAGTGGATGCCGATGCCGAGGCCAACTTGTGGACGCTGCGCTTGTGCTGCTGCAGCTCCAGCTCCGAACTGTAGACAATTGAACAGACCTCGCACTCAAACTGCTTGATGATCATTTCGTCCTTTATCGCCCGTCCGTGCACTTTGAACAGATGCACCTTCAGGCCCTTCTCGTAGGCAAACTCGGCGTTGCATAGCTTGCACTTGATGAACTGCACGTTCTGCACTTGATGATCGGTGAGCATGTGGTAGCGATATGACTTCTTCGAGCTGAATCGCCGCTGGCAGATGCGGCACCGCATCCGCCGGAAGCGACGATCGGCCGCCTGGTCGAGACTTCGTCGAAAAACGGCCTGCTCCTGGGGCGTTTGGTTAGCCATTGCCGGCGGCACATTGGCAGGAGTTGTTGGGGCAGAAACCGATGACGCCGCCAAAAGTTCAACCTCCGAATCCGCTGCTGGTGTTGCGGTAATGGTCAGCGATTTCGGCGTCATCCGATTGGCAGCCGCTAGAGCCGCATTTACCGCATTCGAGGCCGTGTAGTGGGAGCGCATATGATTGGACAGGCCAATGTTGTTGCTGAACACCGCATTGCAGATGGGGCACTCCTTCTGCTGACTGGCCACGCCCACCAGGCTGCTGTTGTTGCTGCTGTCGTCCAGGCGCATCTTCTTGGCCACGCTGCCCGGCTCCTCCTCTTCGTCATCTGGAATCGGGAGTAAAGGGGGTTAGTCTAGCACTGGCAGAAGCCTTTGTCGTAAACAAAAACTAAAAGTATTCTAAAGGCAACGAAACAATCCAGCCAAGCGAAGCCTTCGGTTTAAATGGGTTTACAAAACTGTCAATTTCTAAAAGTAACAATGAAGTGTATACAATTTAAATGCTATTGTTGATGCGATTAGTAATTAGGACCCTTTATAGACGATATAAGCTTTTATATATTCTATTTTTGGTATTTTATGTATAGAAGCAGTACAAAAACTGGTTACCAAAAACATAGTTCAGTTCGTGTATAAATTTTTTTAGTTTTACAGTCATATTAGAAGAATTTTTAATAAATAACAAATACAGGGTTATATTGTAAACCAATTCGGGACAGTTTAGAGCAAAGTTTCACTTTACAGCTTAACAATGAAATTTAAAATGTTTAGATTCTACATAAATGGAAAATAAAAATATTCCTCAATAAAATAATGGAGAGTGGTTAGTTTTTTTTGTGAAGGACGATGGAAATGTATATTTGTATGTTTTAACTTTAAGATTGTCATAATTAAAACCTTCTTTTCAGAAACAAATACAATGGTTTAAATACAGTTTCAGTTCTTCATGATTTTAATTAAAAAACTACGAGATCTTTTTTCTAATAACGACAATCTTAAAGAAAACTATAGGGATGAAATGGTGAGAGAGGCTGAGGCAATGAGAAACAGGCAGAGCGGGGGGACATCTACAATCTAAGCCTAATTACCGAGTGTCCCACCATTTGTTATCGACATAAGGTCCTTCATCACGTAGTCGTAGCGACCCGTGTAGACATTCGGCGTGCTTCCGTCCGCCAACTTTACGGCATCAGCATTCACGATGTACTCGAAGCCGCCGGAGTGCCGGTTCTTGTCCACGCCATGCACATTGATCATGTGCTCCCGTAGGTAGGAGATCCGGGGATAGCCCAGTCCGCATCGCACGCACTTGTATGTCTCTGGCAGCTTGTTCGGATGCTTCGATTCCATGTGCCGCAGAACATTGTTGTAGTTGTTGTACTGCTGGCCGCAAATAGGGCATACCTGCGGCATTCTGGAGAAGTACTGGGACTTGGGTGCGGCCGCATCTCGATTTGCCGAGCTCAGAGCGGAGGCTGAGGCGCTTAAGGAGCCGCCGCCACCCGCTTGCGCTGCTCCCGCCAACTTTGGTGTGGAGGTCAGCGGCGGGGCCGCACTGCTGCTTCGCGACTCATCCGCCGAGGAGCCGACACCAATGCCCAAGGCGCCGAGCAGGCTCCTCTTTCCCGGCGAGTGCTCCATGCTGTTGCTTCTGGCCATGCCGCTGCCCGTGGTGGAGGCATTATCACTGCTCGCCCCGCCACCCACGCCGCCCAAGTGATCCTGGTAGACGTGGTCGAGGAATCGCTGGTGCGTCTCTAGCTTGGCATCGCACGTCATGCAGCGCAGCCGGACAATGCAATCCATGTTATTGTAGTGCCGTCGCCTGTCCACCGGATCGGCGAAGTCCAGTCCGCAGAAGCTGCACTGTATCGAATTGTTGTCCTTGCGCTGCACATCCGCATGCTTGTCATACACATGGGTTCGGAACTCGTGCTTGGTGCGGAATCCCTTGGGGCAGAGCTTGCACTCGTACAGCTTGTTAACCAGCAGCTCCTTGGCGCGCAGCTTTTCCGGTCTTTCGGAGCCAGCGCCGGGTGTGCCGCCATCTCCGCCGGCGGTCACTGTTGGACTGGTCATGGCTACCACTCCTGCTCCGGCATCGGCAATCGCAACGGCTTCTGCCGCTCCTTCGGCTGGCAGATCCTCGGCAGTGCTTACAACCACAGCAGTTGTCTTGCCACGCAGTGCATTCAAAACCCTGAAGAGATTAATGCAGTTCCGCTTCTTCAGATGCGAAATGAACAGCGCCTTGGAGTCGTTCATCTTTAGACAATTGAAGCACAGGTTGCGCGGCAGCAGCGGATACTTCTTGCGCACGTGCGCCATGAAGTTCTTGTACGTGCTGAAGTACTTGCTGCAGCAGCGGCAGGTCATCGTCTGGTATTGCTCGAGGAACTCGTCGTTCTGCTCGATGAACTCCACCTTGTCGCGTGTGAGCAGCGGCTGGTACAGTTCGGGATTATCGTAGTCATACCCGCCGCCCTCGCACTTGATGAAGGCGTTCATCACCACCTGACGGTATTTTTGGGTAGAGATATTTCCGCCAGCGGCACCCGCAGCTCGGTTTGCCTCCGCGGTGGCCGCCGCCGCTGCCGCCCGTTGGATTTCCAAGGCGGCAGCCAGGGCGGGCGTTGGCTTCGTAATGGGCGTGTTGTGGGGCGAGTCTGTGGAAAGCTGGAACAGGTTCGGGTGCAGATTGCGTTCGTGGCGACGGGCGTTGGCCCGGGTGGAGAACTGCAGACTGCAGGCCCGGCAGCTGGCCACCTTGGAGTCCCCGGCGGCTGCCACATTGGCCACCGCATTCGCCGGCAGCGATGCTGCTGCGGACGAGGCATTCACGCCATGCTGCGCCGTATAGTCGTAGTCCGAGGCCTGCAGGGGGTACAAAATAAATATAAATTAAAATCAAGCTGACCAAGATATATGGCCTCCCTTGCATTTAAGCCCCTTTTAAAGTGCGCAGCAAAAAGGTTTCTGATTTATATTTAATACTATTTGCTTTAAAGTCAAACAAAGTATTAAATGGATAGTGATTGAATTGGAATGTTTAATTATCTTATGGACATTTTATTCTATTTTAAATATTCTGTGATGACTCACCGTCAACGGCACATCGCCCTCGTGCTCGGAGCGCTCTAGGAACATTGTGGGATCGACCATGTCGTCGGACTCGTCTATTGACTTCATTTGGTAGTCGTCATCCGTGTCAATGGGCTCATCTTTGATGGGGATTGCAGGCAGTGGCTGCAGGGGATCCAACATTTAACCAAAAATGAAAGATCAAACGGTGCCAGACAAGACGGAAATTAGTTTAAATCGAATAAAGCACAGTATTCTTAAATAGCACAATATAATAAAGCAATAACAACAATCATGGACGCTGCAGTGCGTCCATCGATACCCGTTAGCCAGAGAGAGCTTTGGTCGAGTGTTATATTTATTCATTCCAAACAAAACCGGCAAGAGCAAAACTATTTCCAGACGGACATTGAAGATTTCGCATAATTTCGCATTCGGGATAACAGGTAGAAGAGCGCTGTACAGGATTAGGAGAGGGGGGTCGTTCACGCTTCGAATGCACGATACAATTACATTATAGGAGTAGCGTCTGAAAAAGCGCAGCTGCTGGGCGGCGCTCTGCAGCGTCACCGGCATTAGCAGCGGTGCCGTGGATGCAGATGCCGAGCCAGAGGTCGTGGCGGAAACAACGTTGCCCGGCGGATTGGACGTGGACGTCGTCGTGGCCAGACCGCCAGCCTGCTGTTGTTGGACGTGACCGCTGCTGCTGCAGCTTTGGCTGAAATCAAGTGGCAGCGACAGCGGCAAGCTCTCCATTCCGCCCACACCAGACATCCCGGGCAGCAGTTCAACAGCAGCAGGTGGAGCAATGGGTCCTGGAGCCACTGGTGGCAGCGATGGCAGCGGTGGCAACGGAGGCACTGCAATGTCCAATGGCAAATACAGCTTCGGTTTGAATTTGCGCAATGGTGGAGCCGGATTTGCCACCGGAACTGGACGCTGTGCACGGAATTGCCGCTGGCGTCTATGCTGCTGCTGCTGCTGGTGATGTGGCAACACCTGTTTGCCCCGTTGCTGGTGTTGCTGATGCTGCTGCTGATGGTGATGTTGGTATCTGCGATACTGGTGGGACTGCTGGCGCTGATGTTGCTGCTGATGCTGCTGTTCCCGCTGCTGGGATGCCGATGTGGTGGATGTGGATGTGGAGGAGCAGCTGGCCGCCGATGCTGGCACCTGCAAGAGAAGGGTCTGCAGCGATTGCTGCGCGTTGCTGGTCGTCGCCGTCATTCTGGCCGGTGGTTGCAGCTGCAACTGCTGCAATTGATGCTGAGGCAGCTGCTGCGGTTTAGGACTCACATAGACTGTTAAGGATTTGCGTTTCTTCAGCGAGTGTATGCCATCCAAAATGTTGGCGGCCGTCGCTGCGGCCGTTGGCGTCGCCTTCTCCGCCTCGATCTCACTCTCCGATTGCTGCTGTTGCTGCTGCTGCTGGTGATCGAAGGAGCCTCCTCCATTCTCCGCACTGTTCAGGTCCAGGTAGTTGAAGAGCTTGCTCTTGTTGGCCTCCAGCCACTGGCGTTGCTTCGTCTGGGAGCTGAAGCAGCGGTTCTTAAAGCTCTGCCATGAGTTCAGGTAGCTGATGCAGGCGTGGCAAATTTGCAGCGACAGTCGATCCTGAGGTGTAATCTGAAAGCGAATATAAAAATCGGGGATGAAAATCATATTGAAAATATCACTTCTCTTAACAAAAAGCATTGAATGAAAAATAAATCGCAAGGGTTTAATATCGTTAAAGGATTTTAACGTTTATAACAAAACAAATCACGTTTTAAAGCTATAATTACTTTTTTATCATAATTATAGAATTATTTCAGGAATTGGGTATGTTAAGGTCGTTAAAACTTAATTCCCGACTGGATTTCATTTTAACTTGACTACCCAAATCTTAAAAATTCACCTGTGAAAGATAGTGGTTTGGAAAAAAGCTCATAATAAACTATATAATTACGCGAAAGCAATGAAAGTTTAAATTGATCTTTAATGTTTTTAATACAAATTGACGGGATTTTCACCCACTCTTCAAATTTGTAGGCCTTTCATCGCGTAATTTCGGGGGGAAACGTGGATTTTGTGTCCAGCGATGCGGAGAATGCAGGTAGTAGTACCCAGCTCCCAACTACCCTATTAATGTCAATGACCTGCTTATAATTATATGCAAAACTGCTGCAGCATCCCACACCACCCACCGTTCACCTCATAATCCCCCACCCCCCGCCACAAAGAGCTCCAAACAGGACACTGCGCAAATCATATGAAATGTCCTGCTGGCTGATAACAGTGTGTGCGCATGTTTGTTTGTGTACGACTGTGTGTATCGTTCGAATTGCCAGCCTATGTAAGCCCGCCCCTTATATACTTATACCTGGTACTCGTCCGTCCTGCCCCAAACACCCGCACACTGGTCGATTTCGCCGGGAGCTCGGACTCCCCACAAAATCTATTAAATCGCAATTATCAAAGGCCGCGGTTAAGCATATTTTAACGTAATCGCTTATCAAAGCTGTTGCAGTTTTTCAGTGATGACAAGCGATTATAGCAACATTCTTAATAAATTGCAAAGTGCACCCACTATTCATCCATCGTACATTATGTATATAGATATACTCCCTCGTGGGATTCGACTATTTAATTGAAAATAAGCATTCTAGACTCATACTCTAGGTAGGCAACATTGGGTATCGGGAATCTTAAAGTCAGGACATTAACAAGTTTTTAAACAAAACTAAAAATCCAGGCTCATAGTTGTATACTGCTTAAAAATGTTATTATGTGAACTAATTAAATAATAATTTGTTATATAAACTAATTTATTAAAATTGATTACTGCTTATAATCTGTAAAACACAATGTTGGTATTTCCTAAAATTAATATTAGTTTTAAGGATATGTACATACTATTACGAACTCTTAAAACTGACTTGCTTAAATTAAATTAAAATTTTGTTAGAACAGTAATAAAACAAATAATGATTTTTACCATTTCTTTTTTACCTATTACACATATTATTTTGTTTGCTGCTTCTCAAATACCAAAAACTGATCATATGCTAAAACTGGCTTTAAAATGGCTAAGTGATCAGCGCCCCTTTTCGTCCCCCCTTTTTTTTTTAGTTTAATATCGATAGCAACCGCGAGAATTAGCAATCGAAGATGCGAATTAAAATAATCAAAACAAACGATGAAAATGTTTTGTTTTGCATTTGTCTTTTCGACTTGAGCTATGCATACACGCTTGTTGTGTGTTTAATTTAATATTCGAACGCTTGTTGTTGTGTTGGTTGTATTGTTGTGCTACTGTAATTGAAACCCCAGGACATTAAAGCCCGGCGGGTCCTTTAAGCACACACACACGAAGGCACAAACACCCGCCTCCGATTTTGGGTCTACATATGTATATTTGTCCTTATGTACAATCCCAATCTCATACTCCCAATGGAGGATTTCGAGGGCTCCACTCCACTCCACTCCATTCCGTTTCGATAATATGTTGTTCATTCACCTCACCCAAACCAGCGTTTCCTTTATGGCCGCCATGTTTCCCTGTGCAATTGGATACAGGATAGAAGGATTGCCCAGTCCCGCGGATTGCACTTTAATGTGACAACATTGGAACACCATTTGGGTCTGGGTTTATCCACATTGTAGATACTACGCAATAAGGTGAGATTTTAGAAAGTCGCAAAAGGGCAAGAGGCATGTACATATATAAGTACATGGTGGGCAGGGTATATAATGCAGAAAGACTTGTGGCAGCTGCAGATTCCACCAGCTGCCGCCTTCGTTTTCTGCTGGCCACCAGGTGCAATAATCACCAGCCATGGACCATGGACCATTCCCATTCCCGTTTCCATCCCGTCTCCCCAGCTCCTTCGCGGAACAAGTTCTTCTCCTTTTTGTGTCCTTATTCGTTCCAAACCCATGCTGTTTGGGTATATATATATGTGTGTGAGGGCAAGAGAGAGAGCATCCTGTCCTGTCCGTTCCACGCACAAAGTGAAGACGTAGAAATAACCAAAAAGTAACCCTCATATTCAGCAGACCGGAGATCTTGAGAGCACCAACAACAAAACAACAGGAACAGGACGAAGAGGAGTCGGGGTTAATTTGAAATATTGAATTTCGTCGCAGGCAACAACGCAAAACAAAATATAAACGCAAGTGCAACAGGGTTCACCCTAGGGCTTCCAAACAGCTGTTATCGTAATTGTGGCGATCAATACAAGTTATCGATAAGGAAGCGGAGCTTAAAAAGTGGTGCGGAAAGGGGGAAATATGTGCAAATAGGATTCACATTATATTGACCATTTCTAAGGTTCATGTTTCGGCTTATTTACTTGTCTCTAAATCGAGGAAATCATTTCGTTTTAGTTTTAGGTTACTTTTTAGAAAGACTTGGGTTAAATTAAGGGTTTGGATCTTGGAACCTATTAATGTTTATTTTTTACAATAACGTAACTTGATGTTCACCAGTGTTCATTAATAGTGTATGGTCTAATTAAATAATCTGTTAGTTTAATAATTAGGTGACCTTTAACAATTTTTCAGAAACTTTAGTTTTATATATTTTGTATAAACAATGGGAGCTCTCTGGTACTTAAAATGTATCCTTATATTCACAAAATCACGCCTTAATGTTCCATTTTTAACTCCAAAGGTTTTACTGCTGGATTTCACCATTTGGTTGGACTTAATAATCTTTTTGTTAACATATTTCTCTATTTATCTGGCGAAATCCATTCCCTTTTGGATAGACCGAGGCACATCCTTGGTTATGTATGTGTATCCCTAAAGTGTGTATCCTTGTGTTCACAAAATCCCGGCTACCTATTCCATCCAGCCCTCATCCGCCATCTTGGATGAGCCAGAGTGGAAATGTGGATGCTTCGGCTGCTTCTCTCTGTTCCGTTGTTGCCCTCGCCCCCTTCCAATCCCTCTTTTATCGGCTTGTCATCTCGTCACGTCGCCTCGCCGTCGTCGCACTTTTTGGCCAAGGGGAGAAAGTTAGTCGTCCACCTGGGGACCCAAGAAGAGCCACAAAATGGAGACGACGCTGTCGCTGCTTCTGTTGGAAATTCGATGCGGGCCGCAGGAGGAGCCAAGCCAGCAACAACAGCGAACGGAAAGGCAAAGCAGAAATATATCGACAACATCCCACCAGGTAATCTGGTGTGCCCAAGGTGAAACCACTCGAATTTTGTGCCCGGTTTTGGGTCTCCGCCGCTGTCCGTTTTCCAAGCCCGCTGCCTGCTTCCCGCTGCTTCTTCCCGCCTGTCCGTTCCCGCTAACCCTCTTCTCCCATAACCATGCCATTGCCCATGCCCGTGTCCATTCCCATACCCATTCCCGTTTCCCGGTCTCTTTTGCCTGAGTCTTTGTCTTGCGCCTGTGTGTGTGCTTGCCTTTGCCTGTGCCTGTGTATGCGAGCATGTGGTCCGCCTCCAGATAACGAGAACGGAGGAAGAGGAAGAGCAAGAGAAGCAGTCGAGCTAGCGATGACGCCAACCAGTGGTGTTGTTGGTGTTGCCGTGTTGTACATATATATATACACACATACACCTCTGTCGGAGGCAACTTGACATGGCTGTGTGTGTCCGTTTGTGTGAAGAGCAATTGCCATGAAATCGAATCGAAGCCCAGGGAAAGAACAGAGAACCGAGAATCGAGGAGAACCGAGCACCATCAGACCCAGACGACCATTGGGGGGCACAAAAGCCCAGAGCACACGCAGCAGCAGCGTGGCGGATATGGGATATTGGGATACATGTACCAGATGCCGGGGAAACTTACTAAACACTAAAAAAAAAATGGAAACGAAACCCAGAACCTAGAAAGAATCAATAAACGAAGCTAGCGAAGCCGCATGAGGAAACAGTCCAAGTCCTCCTCCTTTTCCTCCTCGTCCTCCTCTTCTTTCTCGTCCTCGTCCTCTTTCTCGGAAGGATGCGCGCGCGCAAAGAGAGCGGAGAGCAACTGCTGCCCTCCAAGCGAAGTTCCTTGAAAAAGGTACAAGCAACGCAAAATTATATGTAATTGGCCTGGGTTTTTGGGTTTTTCGGTTTTCTGGCCTGGAATCTGAATCTGAATCTCTGTTGCCCGCAACACAAACACACGCACATACAGAGACCAGACGACGGCGCGCTCATCGTGCTTTTTGCTTTGCGCTGGCCATTCGCAGCTGCTCTCGCCCGCTGGGAAGAGGCGAAAGAGAATTGGAGGAGGAGGAATATGAGGAGCAGGCAGCAGATTTTTGGAAAGGAAGCAGGATCAGTTCTAACCTCAAAGGAAGGTAAGAAATGGAAGCAATGGAACGGAATGGAAGGCATAAAGAAGGAGGAGTAGAAGAGTGGAGAGTTCAAGTTTGATTATGAGCTAAAGATTGTGGTCGTGATTGGATTACAGCTCCTCTTCCACTACTCCTCCTCCTCCCCATCCTACTCACCCGCCGCCTCTTCCTGCTCTCTTCCATTCCCCACTGCATCGTGACTTGGCAGTGGAAACATTGGAAACCCAAAAAGCGGACCATGCGGCTAGCCACACACCCATACTCGCGCAAGAGGAGGCGGGGTTTGGCTGGTTTTTCGTTCGTTTCAGTTTTTTTTTGGTTTTTTAGGTGGCCATCATCTTTAGTGCTTGCACAATCCAATCTGCCCCTGGGGCCAATGGCTACTCTTCATCCGTAACCTCACTTTCAGGGCGTCCACAAGCCAACGGGTGTGGCCACCGCCTCATCCTTCCACTGGCCACTGGATGTGTGTATAACTGTTAATGGTGTCCAACCACCAGAGCACCAAAACACCAGAGAGCATTCAAAAAGAGAGCGCCGCCGGACACCCGGGATGACGATGACGACAGCCGGATTATGTACTCACCTTGATGCTGACGCAGTTGTGGATCTTGGTGGAAAGCGGCTCCTTGTCCGCCGCATAGCTATTGATGATCGAGATGCATTCGCTTTGCGGGGCGACGCATAGGCGACAGCAGTTTTGTCGCGCCGACCGCTCGCTTTTTGTTGTTGGTGTAGCAGCAGTAGCTTCTGGGGATGTGGTTCCCGTTCCCGTTGTGGTTCCCATTCCCGCTGGCGTTACCGTTCCAGGCGTCGCTGTGGCCTCCACTGTTGTTGTTGTAGTCGTAGCCGCCGCAGCGTCGCACATTTTGTCGCTTTTGTATTTCGCTATTCGCTTTTTTTTTGTTTTGCACGTTTTCACTTTTGTTTCGGTCTGCGTCCGTTCGCAATCGTTCCACCATCCACTATCCGCTCTCTGTCGTCGACGTCGACGCCGCTCGCGTCACCCACTTTACGCACATTGTCCGCACACTGGTACTTCCCGCGATCCTGAGCTGATTTTTATTGTGATTCGCCTCGGTTTCAGTTTCCGTTTTGTTTGGCTGCGGACAGAACGAAAATCGCACAGGAAAAAAAATGACGATGATGCGGTCCGAGCGACGTGCTCCTCGATTTTAAACCGATTTTCTCTTCGCCAAAATCTAGAGCTGGAACAGAAATCGATGTTTATTCGATACATTCGTTGCTGCTGGGAATATCGGCCATATCGATGTTTCTGGCAATCGTCGTATATTTCTGATTATTGCTCAAAAAAAGTATTCGAAATATTCGTATACGAAAATAATTTGAATTTTCTATTTAGCTTCCCATCATATTAAGTAACCATAAAGAAATAAATTAGATTGAAAATATTATGAAATAACTATAAACTAGAAAATAACAGGTATCGATGTCCATCGATAAGATGCACTTTTTGAAATGACACTTTTTTACTTGTGTACTATTTTATATTTGTTCGGCTAATAGAAAATGGTAGTGCTTGTTTTTTGAGCTTACATATTGACAGATCGATAACTCGATTTGGGACAGCCATATTTGAACAAAAAATTTTAAATAAGCCGCCAAAACAAAATCAATATTTTGAATAGACCGCCAGGCTGAAAAACGGATGGCATCCCTATACTAGGCGCTACTAACAGAAGAGTCAACATATGTAACAGTGGTGGCAGTGCTGTTAAGCGCCAACTGACCACACAGCGCGTTTTTGTTATAATTTTATCTTTTTGTCTTCGTTTTGTTTATTGATTATTTTGCCTAATATAACTGCAGTTAATTGCGTTAATCGCTAATTGTAAGTAACCACAAGATGGGAGATGAAGCGAAGCCGCTGCAACTCTGGCTAATTTGCACAATTATCATGGCCTTGACATAGAACAGGGGCAATAACATAATTGATAAATGCTGCACAAAAAGAAAACAAAAACCGGTCCAGCAACAACAGTAAAAATAAGTTTTTGCGTTCTCTTTGCACATTCCTTCTGCTTTTAAAGATAACGAAATTTTGGGCTCCTTTTTTTATAAAAGCATTTCAATAAACTTTCAACATAGGTATTAATAGCATGTGTTTTCAATTGATATGTTGACGGTACTAAAGTCAAAGGTAAATAAATAAAGCTTTAAATGATTTAAAATGTATTTAAAATGCAATCCTTTTCCTTTATTAAAAACTGAAATTAAAAACTAAATTCAAAAGGTCTACCAAAAAATACAAACTAAATTTTACAAAATTAGACGACTTTAGGTTGTATTTATTCTTTTGTAAAATTTAGTTTGTATTTTATAAAAAATACTTAAAAAACAGACATCCATTTATATTAAGCTTTCGTAATACTCGATTTATTTTAAAAACTTCTTTTAAAAAAAGCAGATATGGATTTTTTTGCTTTCTGGGAAACTTTGTGGATTGTTTTATTGCTTAGACTGCAAACTTGGCCGGTCAATTAAATAGGTGTTTGAAGCAAAACAGTAACATTTCTAAATAAAATTGCAGAAGGTAAGGTATTTGGAAAATTTACCTAAATGGGGACTTAATATTAGAATGGCCATGGGCGTCACTGCGGTGCGAAGGATAGAATTAGATGACTCCAAGATAATGTTCTGAAAACTTCGAAACCAATGCCTTTAAATCGTGAAAAATGGGTGAAATTCGGGGAGCACCTAGAAAATCAACATCTAAGACCGTCTATCGCATGGTTAAGTTGGTTAAACGGGAACAAATTTGCATTAGATCGTAGAACCTGGTGTGGACCTGAAGGTGAGAAAAATGGCGTATATCCTCTGGAGTGACGAAACCAAAATATGTAAATGTATTTGGAAATTATGCAAAAAGAAATGTTCGTCGTCCGAAAGGCAAAGAATTTGATCTCAAGTACACATATAAGACTGTGAAACATGGGGGTGTTAGCCTTATGGTATGAGGCTGGTCCGACTTATCCTATTGATGGAATAATGGTCAGATTCGAATACAATGATCTTTTGGAGACGGTGATCCGACCATATGCCGAGTATATTATGCCACTTTTATGGAAGTTCCATGCTCTTGAGTAGTAAAGGGTTGGTTCCAAGAGAAAAATTTGGATTTTCTTGAGTGGCCAAGTCAATCCCAGGATATCAATACCATCGATAATCTCTGGGGTGAACTCAAAAAGAGGTCAACTACTTTAATGAAATTCCATTGATAATTTTGTGTTTATAATCAGGTATTTCTTAATACTATCCCCAGGTATCCCTTTACTACATTGTTCGCTAATGTAAATAAAAAATTGTAAACAAAAATTTTACATTTTGAGTTACCCTCTTAAACTTCTGAATTTGCTTTATTGAGAAGACCTTAGCGAATTTGGATTGTAAAAGGCTGTGCTTCCCTTATCAATAGACAGGCGAACAAATACGCCCATAAATCTTAAAGCAATTAATTAAAGAGCAATTTAAATTTAAAGCCACGATCGAAATAGAAATGCACAGTCAGGAGTCAACTGGGGTGATAACCGCCGATAAGATTTCTGTCTACACTTAGGCCTCCAGATTTGGGTTTGGACTAAGCCATGGTCTGATTACCCCACCACCTCCCCTCCGATTCTCCGGTTAACGGGGTGCAAGGAGCAGTGAAAGATGCGCCATAAATAACCACTGGAGGTCATATGTGGAGCTGATACCATGGCCATCCTTTAGTATCCCAGGCACAGTGGCTCGGATGCCATTTATCGCCACCCGCTGCAACTTATCACTGGCCCAGCGGAAGCATAGAAATTCGCAAAAAACAAACAAAATTCATAAGTTATAACTACAAAGCAATGCAATGGTCTTATCGCCTTTCGCCCACACCGCTATTGACCACGCCCACTCCTGTGTAAATTGCACTATAAGCCGTATTATTGCCAAAGTCAGCTTCAGTTTCTTTTATTAACCCAATAGCACCATTAACGATAAGTTGGGTTCATCTTTTCAACCTATTCATCTCAATTTGTCTTTCATCCATCTACATTTTTGTTGAAAAAAAACTCTTTGAATTAAACAATATTAAGTTGACTACAAAATTGAATGGCAAGTTGTACATTATTAATAGTAAAACTAGGTGTTTTTTTTTTATAACGCGAAAGGTATCTTTGTTTTGAAATCAAGCGCATAATTATTCCAATTGTCTACATAAAACCGTGTTTTTATTTCAAAAGAGAGTAATAAATACATAGTATTGGTTATTTAGCTAATTTAAATTTAATTTTAAAATATTTGAGCAGAACAAAAAACCCACAAAAAAAAATTCATAAATCTTACAATAATTTGTTAATGTCTCAATGAAATGGGTTGAAATTTGGAAAAGGAAAATTCGACCCTTAGCTGTGGTTTGTTCTATATAATTTTAATTTCGACAAGCTGCGACCGCTGTCAGCGGGTTAATTTGCTTGTTGCCGGCTTGTGTTATCAGTCCGGGTTATCCAGCCCTCCAATTGCCCGCTTATCAGCCCAAAGGGGGGGTGGGGTATAAGGTCTGGCAAAGATTGTTTGTCATGCCTGTGCCGACTGGGGTATATAAGATTTCAGACGGATCGGGGAAACTCAGTTTGAACGCGTTACTCGACGGAGCCGTGTCCAAGGATTCTCTTTCTCTTTTGCCATCCTAAGCAAATACTTCGTTGAAGGTAGGTCCTCTTGGGAATCCTGTTTATTTCTGTGCCTATTTTTTTCGTGTGCTTATTCAAAAATAATGGTTGTAGTGAATCTGTTCCTAGAAATATTTATTAGACTTCATTTTACTTCCATGTGTGTTTTTAAAAAAATTGGTGAAATTCAAAGATACAGTTTTTCTGTTAAAAAGATAATGTTAGAATATATAAAACAACATTTAAAAAAAAAATATTAAATCTTTTTGATCAATTTAAATATTAAAGTCTCTTTCCAAAGCAAAACTTAATCTGTGGATTTTACAATTCCCTTCACAATCACCTTAAAAAAATTGAAAGATGTTCGTACACTTTAAAGCGTTTAATATTTTTTTAATTAAAATATCTAAAAGTGCTAAATATCTTAATTAATTTTGGATTCAAAGGAATATTGTGAACTTTTAAGCGTCATACATTTTCTGTAGGAATATACTTTCCACTGTGCCATTTACATGTGTCCGATAACAAAAGTCCCCGCCACTTAACATCTCTTTAAAGTTTAGACTTGACCAATTCAATAACACCAGCAGCCGCCGCTTCGACAACAAAAGTCAATTAAAAACCCACAACAAACAATGTTAAATGGCAGGCGTAATCAAAGTTAAAAATTAATCGCGACATCAGTTGTTTTTTTTCTGTTGCTTCTGCTGAGTAAGTGAAGGGCATGACGTCACAAGAACGCAGCTGCATCGCACTGTAAAAAATATAGGATGTGCCGTTTTATTAAATTATTTAGAAATTAATGAATTTGTGTTTAACAAATCATATTTGCTTTCTCTATATTTTTATTTATTAGAAAAGAAATTTTTTAAAATCAAATTCAAAAATCATCTTTTTCAAATAACAATTCTATTTATGTTAATGACTTAATAGAAGATGAATAGAACACCACTTTTTAAAGTTTGTAAAATGTTTTTAAAACAAGAGGTGAGAGGCAAATACAAGTCTTCCACTGTGCGTTGGTGGACTGTGGAAAAAAATTGAACTTAAAACGTGGAAATGGAAATAAACTCGCGATTGTGTTCCGCTTGCCATGATGCCGGTTCTCAGCTAATGTCAAGCCCCTTGTTTTGGAGGTAATAAAAGCCTCTCCCGCCAACGGCTTCAGCTTCAGTTTTCAGTCGGAACCCCAGAAAGCCAGAGCCACTCGCACGATGTCTCTGCCTTCCATACTGATTCCAGTGGCTATAGCGTGTCTCATCGGACTAACGGTAGTGGATCTATAAGTAGTACAAGTGCCCCTAATCGCAGAATAACCCATCAATCCTTAAGAGAAACAGAATTCCTTTTAAAGGAAGCTATAAAATATAGTGATTTTTTTTCGATCTACAAAACAGTTTTGGTTGGGAATACGTTATAATCCAATACATTGCTGGTGATTCAAGTTCGGTCAAGATTCGGGAAATAAAAGAACGCTGTGAAACATAGTCAACATGGTCATTTACTGGTCATACAAATAATACAAATTACTCAATCACTAAAAATTACAATTTAAGTACTTTGTGTTCAGGGTTACATTTTAATTTTTATAATAATAGATAATTTGTAAACTTACTTTTAAATACACTTATCCATAGTATTCTTTTTCACACCATTTTTTTTTTAATTGACCTATAACGTTTTGCTTTGCTTGCAAATAATTAAATTCGTTAGTTCCACCAATAGTAATCAGTGAAAATAATCCTAATTGCACCTGCCCATTTTTTCACAGATGTCGTACAAGGTTGAACCATTGCCCGATTCTTTCGCCGGCCTGGGCGAGGGTCCCCACTGGGATGTGGCCAGGCAGAGCCTGTACTACGTGGACCTGGAGGCCGGCAGCCTGCTGCGCTTCGACTATGCCCAGAACAAGGTCTACAAGGCGAAGATCGAGGGCGAGACCCTGGCCGGATTCGTGCTGCCCGTGGAGGGACGTCCGCAGGAGTTCGCCGTGGGCTGCGGCCGCCGCGTGGTGATCGTCAACTGGGACGGAGTGTCGACCACCGCGACGGTGGTGCGCACTCTCTTCGAGGTGCAGCCCTTGATGGACAAGAACCGGCTGAACGATGCCAAGGCTGATCCGCGGGGTCGCTTCTTCGGCGGCACCATGCGCTACATTGGCGACGAGTTCGAGTTCCGCCATGGAGAGCTCTACCGCTGGGAGGCCGGCGGCCAGGCCTCGGTGATCAAGGGCGATGTGGGCATCTCCAACGGACTGGCCTGGGATGTGAAGGCCAAGAAGTTCTACTACATCGACACCACCGACTACGAGGTGAAGTCCTACGACTACGACTTCGATACCGGCGTGGCCACCAATCCCAAGGTGATCTTCAACCTGCGCAAGAACAGTCCCAAGGATCATCTGCTGCCCGATGGACTGACCATCGATACCGAGGGTAATCTGTATGTGGCCACCTTCAATGGCGCCACCATCTTCAAGGTTAATCCCAAGTAAGTGTGTTCAAATGAATCGATTTCAACGAGGCCATAAATCAGAATTCAAGGTCTCTAAGCAATAACATTCGTATCCTTAAAAAGTTTTAAAATATTTGTTTTATGTTCTGACTATCTTAAGTTGTCCATTATTTATATTTATTTATATATTGCAGCACTGGCAAGATCCTTTTGGAGATCAAGTTCCCCACCAAGCAAATCACCTCCGCCGCCTTTGGTGGTCCCAACTTGGACATCCTGTACGTGACCACCGCCGCCAAGTTCGATCAGCCTGCTCCTGCTGGCACCACCTACAAGGTGACTGGCCTCAACGCCACTGGATATCCCGGCGTCAACTTGAAGGTCTAGGAGCTGCAATCTCTTTTCTTAGCCCACAGTATAATGTACCAATCGAATCCAAGTGCAATTAAATGTTATACTCTTTAAATTTGTAACTTACGGCTTTTCTTTACAAAACTTTGGGAGATATTCACGTATAAGCACGTATCTCAAATGAATATATACAAACTCACTCTAATTTCTAGTGGAAAATTCGAAATGAAAATAGGGCACGTATTTTCCATTACGAGTTTTAAATTAGAAGACAATATTGCCGACGACCATTAAAAATCTTGCAATATAAATAAATTAAATAAGTTTGAGATAGGCATTTTTAGAAGACCAAGACAAAAGTAACAGATTATCATCTATATAAATTAAAGTCTTCTTAGAATTGGACAATACTTTGGTATGTTTAGATCGCTTATATATTAAATATATATTAATATAAAGTTAAGCCTTGATATAGCACTTACTCAAATAATCGGTTAAAATGAAAATAATTTTAATAATTAGTTTAAATTTGGTTGTTATTTTTTACGAATGCGATATTTGCAAGCAAATTAACCTTCATTTCCAGATGGACATCAGGCGCTAGAGTATTACGAGTATTGGGTTATTGGAAGTGTATTCCATTAGGTTAAATCCTTGAAAACTTTGACTTTCAATTATTTTAGAGGAAAAAGTTATTATAACCGGGTTCTGATCTTGGTATCTTGCTACTTACCACACTTTGTTGACATTGCCCGGCTTATCAGACGCAGACAGTGACTCCGTAATCATCCATCTATCTGGTGGTCATTTGGAGGACACAATGCTCTTATGCTTCTTTATTAATCAGGGGTTTATACACAATCTTTTACTTATCGACTAGCCTAAACTAAGAGATAGGGGGCGTTAAAATCAGTCGGTGGAGGAGTTTAAGTCATCTAGTTCCAGGTCCATTGTTATGTATTTGTCCAGTCACTCATCCGATTCTGATCCGGATTCGGAATCGTCGTCGTCGCTGCCGGCAGACCGGTTTAGCCGAAGCATCTCCTGGAACTCGTGCACCCGGATCTTCTCCGGCACGATCTGCAGCAGGAACTCGAGGTTCTTGCTCTTGTTGACCAGCTGGGAAAGGTGCTCGTACTTGAGCGATTCACCCGGTTGTTGGCGGAATGCATCCGCATACGCCTCGCCCGCCAAATGCCGAACAAACATTTCCGTGCACTTGGTCATCAGGAAGAGCACTTCGTTGGTTATTAAGCCCGTGTCCATGGAGCTCTTCATGATGGTCCGCACCCGGCTGAGGGGCAGGACAGTGTCGGCATTTGGCGGGCGTTCCACGGGCTGGATCTTGGGTTCGACCATTGTTGTTGTGTTCTTTCCTCGTTTGCTTCGCTTGGGTCTTATCAGGGCTGGGTTGCAAGCAGTATGTTTTAACAACAGTTTGGCACTATCGATAATAACGATGGTCAGCTGTATTTCGCATCGATATGATATGATAATATCAATAATATCGATAATAGTGTATCTGCAAATTTTGTGTGTATGTACGTTCACATTTAAAATAGCTTTAAGTTTCATTATCCAAGTCAAATGTTGACTTTCGTGTGAAGTAAACGTAGTAGGAATAACAGGTACCGCGAAAAACCATTACAACGTTCTTCCCAGCAAGCCAATCTCGTTCATTATCAAATTATCTAGAGCTTCAGTCCCTTTCGCAAGCGGTCCTGTAGGCCTTTCCCATTTTGCAAAATGTTTTGGATAGATATGTTTAACTAGATCTTCTTGGAACGTGGCGTTTAAATTAAATTGTTAAACGGTCGATTTTTAAAGTTTAAAATTCGATAGGCATATAAAACTATGGTATAGTTTTTGATATTCAAAAAAAATATCGGCGCTGCAGGCGTTGCCACACTGCAATATGCGATGAATATCGAAACTATCGCTGCGCGGCATGTGCAACACTGCGTTTTCTTCTGCCCCCTTTTGGCTGTTGTTTCGTGTGTTGACCAATAAATTTTTCGCATATTTTTTCCACTTTTCAATTACCAATCTGCAAGAGGCGCCAACGCAGACTGTCGAACGCCAGCTAACCAAATAGTTAGCGAGTTTTTGGCCAATTTAAGTGAACAAGTGGCAGGAGCAGGATCTCGACCAGATCGCCAGGAAGCGACATTTGCAGAGCGGTCCAAGTGAAAGCGAGAGAGCGACAGAGTGACAGAGAGGTAGAGTGAGCGAGAGAGCAAGAGAAATCCTGTCCAGAAATCGGAAATTCCTGGCCAAGCAGCTGCGTCGTCTTTGTTTGTGCAACGTTGTGTAAACAAGTGGAACATCCCGGTTAGCAGAAGCCAGCAAATCCAGAGCCACATCCACGTCCAGATCACCATATCCATATCCACACAGCTTGTGGGTGCAGTTTTCCAGTTGGCCCATTAAACCAACAATTAAAAATGGCCGCTGCCGCTGGGAGCGCAGTGAATGCAGTGAACGACTGCTTCAGCATCGGATCCACAGTCGTCTGCACGACCTGTTTCAACGAGGAGGTGGAGGGCGAGGTGCTGGCCTTCGATCACAACACAAAGATGCTTATCCTGAGTATCCTTTTGCAAAGAAAAACACACACAACACAACACCCAAGTTACGGGGTTCTGGAAGTGTAAAAGCTTTCCAGGTGAAAGTGGACACTTTCCTTTTGTTTATATAACTTATAGGGATCATTTCCCCCATTGATAGTATTTGGTCTGTTCTGAGTTGAAGTCGAAAGCACACTTACGTATCTTCTATCACCCTCAATGATCATTATTAATGACTACTTTTGAATTAAAACAACCTAATGCTTGATAGCCTTTTTGGATAATTTTCCATCACAACAAAAATATGCTTTTCCTGAGTATCGTTTGGCAGACTATTCGACCTGCTTTTCAGGTAAAAGCAGGCATAATTCTTAGCTTATATAACACTAAAAGAGCTCCCACGGATCATATTCACTTATCCATCATAATTGTCTCAACCTTAATTAAATTTAAATACTTTATAGGCCTATATAGCTATAACTATATCCAAGTTGTCTGACTTCTGTCTTAAAATACCATAAAATATGTTGTATACTGAATTGATCGTATTCAGCCTCTCTAAATATTTAGATTGGCCAGACTTCAAATAGCAAACGATCTTATTACTTGTTTGGATAATTTTCGATCACATCATATTACTTGTAGATTATTCATCATAATTGGATTTTTGTCACATTCCAGTTTTTATTTTATGACTCTCAATTAGTCATCATCATATGGAATGATTTTCATTGATCTAAATTATTTGGCTTCCCCAAAATACAAAGAGAATTATAAGTTATTTATTTCTTATATTTGGGTTCTGATTTATGCCATATACCAAAGCAAATTAGTCACTGCATTTGTTAAATAAAATTGCACAAAGTTATCTTCGGAAAACAATATTAACTTCCTCTACACACTTATGTCTTATCAGCCCAGTATGAATTGTTTCTGCGTGACTACTTGGTTCTCCGTACATCGTATATCTCTGCCCTCCCTCCTTTCCCCCTTTTCCTCGCTTTCTTTTTAACCATATAGAATGCCGATCCAAGTCCACGGAGGAACTGAGTGATATCTACGTGATGAACCTCTCGCTTTGCAGCAACGTGCAGGTGGTCAAGGAGTGCAACGGCAACTTTGACGATCCGCAAAAGCTAAACCTGGAACAGGTACCCTGTGAACACTTTTATGTTGCACACAAGTCTAACTCCTTAATCTTCACAGGTGAAAATGCGCCTGCGGAAAACAGTAGAGCGAAGACAGGACTACCTGAAGTCCAAGAACGCGGATGTCAGTCCAGAGGCACAGGAGCTTTATAGAGCGATAGCCAAACAATATGGGGTAAAGGCCTTCTAAACACTTTCAGTGATAACTCTTTTTAACTCATTTTATTTCCTGCATTCCGGTAGTACAATGAAGTCTCCTGGCAGGGACTTAACATACAAATCCTGAACGAAGTCACCATCTCGCCGCCGTACCGAGTGGACAACGTGGTGTCCAGCTCGAACAACGAAACTTCATGCAACTACATCAAGCGCATCGTAAGCAATTGTCGAATCGAACCAAACTGTCATAACTTAAAAAGCAAGCCTGTAAGCCCTTAATAGCAGAATATGGATGTCTTTTAAGAAAAACCAAGATCATCTTAAAGATTTTGAAGTTTTGGTTTTCATTCAACCTTTTTGTATACGAACCAGAATTCATTTATTTAGCTAGAAGTCATTTCGGAATAAACCATCGGAATAAAAATACGTTACTTTGACTGTATAACTAACGTATTTTTATTCCGATCCATTTTCCCCATAATTAAAAAATATAAAATATAAATGAAAAGCTGAAACTTTTTCCAGCAGTATAAATTTCCATATTTCAATTATCTGATTTATTCCACAATGGATATTGTTTTTTTTTTGTTATAATTTAAATTAAAAGCTTTATACAAAGTTGGGCAACCTTTTTTTTCGTTTCCTTTTCTACTTACTATATAAATAGATTCTTAATGCTGTTTCAAAAATATGCATAACTTTGCTAATTCGCACCATTCAGTATTCTTGGGAAGCATTTTAAGAAATTCACGTTATCTTTGTTGCTAAAAAAAAAAACGTTTGCAATAATGTAGCGTCGAATAATTAATTGAGGTTTTGGGTTAGGGTTATAAAATGGAACGCTGAAACCGATAAGCATAACAGCATATAAAACTAACAGCTAATTCGTATATACTACATAAAGTTGCGGTCCAAACAGAAAGATTAAAGTAATAATGTCTTTGACAACATTAAAACATCTAACACTTGTAAAATGAATTTAACAGGAAAATGTATGAGCCTATCTAGATTCTACCAAGACATGTCCATTAATGTTACTTGTTATAAGGGTATTTATTTTTTTAAAGTGTTTATTGGGAGTTCTCTTAGTTTTAGAACTAGATTTAACGTAAGGATGTACATAAATCAGTCGTATCACGAAGAAACAACTCATTGCAATTATTTTGAACACTTCTATATATATAGCGCTCTGAAAATTAAAGTTAAATAATTTATTTATAAATTATGTTCTGACAGTTTTGTAGAAACTAAGTGGTGTGTCCTAATAATTTGTTAATCGACTATATTTTTTAAACCTCTAGATTAAACAGTTCTTCAACACGAGGCCATCGCCGGTTCCAGAAAGCGGAGCTGCGGCCAGCACCTCGTCACCGTCGGTGTCTCCCACGTCCTCATCTCTTGCATCTGGATCTCCGGTCCCCGCAAACTAATGATAAAGAGAAAAAAATATAAACTAAACACAAAACAAAAAACAGAAATGTGCTTCAAAAGAGACATCCAATTTGTTTTTGATCTTTTAGTGGGTTAAGGATAGATAAATTAGGAAATCTTTCTTAGGACCCATAAAAACGTACTGTTTTTACTTATGGTTATAAATCCATAAAATAGTACCTCATCGATCAAAATATTGAAACTAGTTTCAGTGTATTTACGGCTGGGCTCAAATAAAACTGCACGATAATGTGCGCTGTGTTTTTCAGCATTTAGATAATTATATGTAAAACAAATTAATTACCTTAAAATAGGCAGACTTGGTTTAGGTGACATGAATAAGAAAGTTTGAATTGAAATTTGAACTCGAATTAAAAAGTATTCAAATTTGAAAATTCACTAAAAAATTAATTGGCTTAAAAACAGCTAGTAAGAAATGGCTTGAAAACAGCTAGGTGACAGAACTGTCGGCTTTTATCGAATGCCGATAACCGATAGTCCGGCTATTGTGAATGACTGCCGTGAAAGCAAAGCCGCATTTTTTAATCTAATTTAGCGAATAAAATAAACAATAAATAACAGCCAATCGCCATGGAAGATGTGCAAAAGCACAGCGTGCACACGCTGATATTCCGTTCCCTAAAGCGCACCCACGACCTGTTTGTCTCCAACCAAGGAAATCTGCCGGAGATCGACGACCGACTGTGAGTACTTGGAGTTGTGATGGTAATTCCGGGGGTAATCCTTGCATTTCTTGGCACAGGGAAAAGCTGCGGCGCTCCATCAAGGCCAAGGATAGTTATGGCCTGGTCTTGGACAAGGCGGTTAAGATCGGCGAGGCCAGGAAAGGATCTGGAGCGCAGACACCGGGCGACAAGCCACTGGCCATCACAGAAGGCACACAGGATTCATCCAGCGCCGCAGGAAGCCTGGTTAAATACAATCCCGCAGGAGGCAGGGTAATGGAGAAGACTGCGCCCCTGGTCACCGGCAGTCACACATCTTTGGTGCGCGCCTCCTTGCCGAACAGCAATGGGGACAAGGGCGCCAATGGCACCACCAGCAATCTGCAATTGATACCCAAGAAGGCGCCCACCATACCCAAACCCAAGTGGCACGCCCCCTGGAAGCTGTCTCGTGTCATCTCCGGCCATTTGGGATGGGTGCGCTGCATCGCCGTTGAGCCGGGCAACGAGTGGTTCGCAACCGGGGCCGGAGATCGTGTGATTAAGATCTGGGATCTCGCCAGTGGCAAACTGAAGCTATCGCTGACCGGCCATGTGAGCACGGTGCGTGGGGTGGCCGTCAGCTCGAAGCATCCCTATCTATTCAGCTGCGGCGAGGATCGTCAGGTCAAGTGCTGGGATCTGGAGTACAACAAGGTCATCAGACACTATCATGGGCATTTGTCCGCCGTCTACTCACTGGCCCTCCATCCCACCATCGATGTGCTGGCCACCTCGGGCCGGGACTCGACTGCCCGCATCTGGGACATGAGGACCAAGGCGAATGTGCACACGCTGACGGGACACACGAACACGGTGGCCAGTGTGGTGGCCCAGGCAACTAATCCGCAGATTATCACCGGCTCCCACGACTCCACCGTACGGCTGTGGGATCTGGCTGCCGGCAAGAGCGTCTGCACGTTGACCAACCACAAGAAGTCCGTGCGGAGCATTGTCCTGCATCCATCCCTGTACATGTTCGCCTCCGCCTCGCCGGACAACATCAAGCAGTGGCGCTGTCCAGAGGGCAACTTTGTGCAGAACATCTCCGGCCACACGGCCATTGTCAACTGCATGGCTGCCAACAATGATGGCGTGCTCGTCTCGGGCGGCGACAACGGGACCATGTTCTTCTGGGACTGGCGCACCGGCTATAATTTCCAGCGCTTTCAGGCACCCGTCCAGCCGGGCTCCATGGACAGCGAGGCGGGCATCTTCGCCATGTGCTTTGACCAGTCGGGCACCAGGCTAATCACCGCGGAGGCGGACAAGACCATCAAGGTGTACAAGGAAGACGACGAGGCCAGCGAGGAGTCGCACCCGGTTAACTGGCGGCCCGAGCTGCTCAAGCGGCGCAAGTTCTAGAGCCCTAATTTGTAAGCTACCCTAGGCTACGATTTTCCAAACGATTTGATTAAACACTATTTTAAAGACGCTCAACTTTCACTTTATTAATGCAGACGGATACATTTATGTAGATCAGCAATTAGCCTATATTTTAACACAGAGGTGCCAAGGGAATTGGGTAGTTTTAGAAGGGTAAGCTCTATAGAGACAGAAGAAAACCCGATTATTTATAGGTAACAAACGTATCCTTAGGCTTTATTTAATTTAAAAAGATCCGATACATTTAAACTACAAATGTAAATCATCGGATTTATCTCAACCCATTTTTAATTTAGTAATGAAACATTGCAGATGCAGATACTTTTCAATATTCTTTGCTTCAAAACATTTACATGTATTTCCTATAATAAATGAATCCATTGTTTAATATTGAAGTCGTTTTCCGCGAAGAAATATATAATTTCAACCATTAACCAGTGTCTTAAGATACTCGAAATTAGTAGAGGGCAAGTTAAAGAAAATCCCATGGTGTTTTTTTATTTTGGTTATGCTGAAGTGTTGCCCCAAAATGTGTTAACATCTAGACTCATCCCATCTCGAATCCAATTTAATCGGATTAACATATTTTTCGAAATCAAACAAAATTCTAACTTTCTAAGCCCAAAAAGAAACTACCAAATCCTCGCACTTCTTGACGCACACATTTCAGTTGAATTCTTGGTATTTTATTCGTTTTTTGTTGGTTTTTTTTTTTGTACACATAAATAATTTGAATTATTTGCTGCATAAATAATAATAGCATAGTAATATATTATTAAAATATTGTTTTGTTGTGGGCTCTTCTCATTTAATTTGCTTTTTTTGTATCGGATATCGGTTCTTTCGCTATAGTTAACAAAGAAAAAGCACTAAACTGTGTATTATAGTAATTTATTAATTAATATTATGTTGTCTAGTCCTTTGCATATATTTTTATCATTTCATGTTTAAAAATCACAAATAATTGTTTGAAACAAATCTTATATTTTTCATCTCCTTTTTGCTGTCTCTTTCGATCTGCTGCTTGAATATATCAACTGTCTCCGTCACTTTCTTTGTATCGCTTAGCGCGACTTAATGACTTTTTGTTAATCGTTTGTTTCGTTTAAAGTTAAACTTGTTACTTAGTTGCGTTTATTTGTTTACAGCTCTCTCGTATATTTATATATATATATATGTATCTTTTGTTGGTTTTATTTAGTTTAGGTTCTTCCTTTGTTTTCTTTTACTTTTGGGTTTTTCTCTCGCCTCCACTTTGTTACATATGTGTTTTAATGGGCAACTTGCAACGAACGCTTATTTACATTTAGACAAAAGTAACCGATTCGTTCCGTTTCGAGTTCACTTCTGCCTGCGATTAAACAATTATCGATTAAGAATATTATAGCATAGAAAACACACACACACACGTAAAAGCCTAAGTCTAAATTGAAGTTATATTAATCCAAGCAATAAGTCGGTAAACTTTTAGGGGACTCGACGCGAAAAGCTGGATATTTTGGTCAGGATTCGGAAGCGGAATCGTAAGCGGAAACGGTATCGGGTGGCCTAAAGTAATCAGGAAGGAGCTGGTGTGCGTGGCGTGGCCAGTTCTGTTACGTGTTGCCATCGATGGCGGGGTGTTAATAAATAATTATATTTGACTTAGCAATTAGATTACAAAATATAAACTGTTTAAATTTAAAGTAAATGGGGTAAGTTCTGTGTGTGTGTGGGCGGTTCAGAGGAAAGGGGCGTGAAAATGCGACTTCGGGCTGCTTCACTTGGTTTAATTTTTGGAGGACTACGTCCGTCAGCCAGCCAGCCAGCTATTCATTTCATGCCACTATTCCATCTCACAATCCTTAATCATTAACCCCCTTCCCACTTCCAAAAACAAAGGCGCTCCTGTTCCTTATCCTTATAACAGGCAGCCGTTTTCCGTGTCGCCCTTCCCTGCTGCATAACATCCTAGTTGTATATCTTGATGGCCTTCTCGGAAAAGTTAAGCGAGCTGCGCTTGCGTGATTTGTTGATGTGATCCAATCCGAAGAAGGGCAACTGACCGCTGGTCCACGAGCGATACACTTCCAGGTCGATGGGCGTGTTGTCGTTAACATCCGAATTATGACCCATTGTGATCACGACAAATTTGTAGTTCTCCCACTCCTTGTCCGGCACATTCAGTCGCTTCTGGATGCGCTGCTTTAAAGCGCCATAGGGCTCGCCCTGGCGCGCCTTGGTGAGGAAGGGCACACCGAACGAGTTGTACAGCTCCTTGCTGAAGTGGGCCACTGGGATGAGGAACTCGTTCTCCGCCAGCTGCATCTCCTCCGCCGGCACCTCCTCGATGCGATAAGTCTTCTGAGCGCCCTGTGTGGTCGTGATCGACTCATTGGTCTTCAACAGCGTGTCCAGCGGTATGTCGTCCTTGCAGAGCGTCACGATCTTGTGGTTGCTGACCTTCATCAGGCGCAGCTTTCGGCGGCTGTTCTCAGCGAACGTTATCTTCTTGGCCGCCTCCTCCAGAAGACCCTTAACCGTATCGTTCTTGTTCGGGTACAACACCAGCTCCTTCTCGTCCTTGAGGTCGCTGCTCACCCAGACGCACTTGAATTGCTTCTTGTTGTCCAGCTCGTGGATGCTGAGCGACAGGCGCTGGTAGAAGATCCGCTTGGGCGTGCTCTGTTTGGTGTACGATACCAGGTCCTTGATAGTGCCCTGCAAAAGAGAATGAGTTATCGTCAATAGTTGAAAACACAATCTTAACCTATTTTCGATGTGTTCTAAATCGTTAACTAAATGTAAATGTATATAAAATTAAGTGTTTCTAAAATAATTACCATAACCAAATTTGAACCTTAGCTCTATATGTTATGTCAAGCTAGTTTATTTATTTATATAAAGCTAGCTTAAGGTGTAAAACTAAAAAATAACTAGTAGATAGTTACAATTGCCTTATAACCTTAAGATGATGTAAGAAACAAATAAAATTTAAATGCTTCACTAGCTTATTGACCTTCAAACAATGACTGCCAAGCAATAATGGTATAAACTAATAGAATATTCAAATTCCTAATCGAATTTGAGCCTAGTCTATGTATTTTTTTTAAGATTATGATGATATGGGTATCTGCACTCACCTTGAATGTGTAGGGCACTGCATTGCCCGCCGTCTCCTTGTAGTTGTTGATGCACATAAAGAACTGGAGTTTTTGGGGATCGGTGTTCAAGCGCTCGGCCACCGCATTGGTGAGCTGCTCGTAGTTATAGCGGTTCGACAGTTCCAGCGTGAAGTCCGGCTCGTTGGGGTTGCACTTGTCGCTAAAGATTATCTCGATGCGGTAGACCAGATCGAGGAAGTAGTCCTCCACCGTAGGTAGATCCAACTTGGCGTCCACGCCCTCGCGCTCGAAGATGAGGATGTGGCCCTGGAGGTGGTCTTGCGGTATGAACAGCACGCTCTCAATGGGCTCGCCCAGATTGACCACCTTCTTGTCGGCATACTCGTCGTATATGGTCAGCTCGGTGTCCGGCTCGAAGCCCAGTTTCCGGTTGACATCCGGCACCAAATCAATCAGACGGCGGCTCTGCGGCTGCTGGGTGCATCCAATGTAGTTCAGGCGCTTGTTTCGCGCATCGTAGTACTTGAGGAACAGAAGGACATCCGACTTGGGATTGAAGGGCGGCAGGGGAGCAGGACTTTCCGGCGAGGCCAGCTCAAGGAAGATGACCCAAGGCTTCTGTGACGTGGGGATCTGCTCGATGGTGCGGGACGCCTCCGCCTCAAAGTCAAAGTGCAAGAACTTCTGCGTCTGGGCGGTGCACATGTTCCAGATGCGCATGCGATCGCGCGACACGCCAAAGCCCTTGACGAACATGTCCACCAGCTCGTCCACGGTCTGATTCTGCTTGAGCTTGAAGGGCCGCTGATGGGTCTTCTCTAAGTCGAAGAGACGACGCTTCTGCTGGCCCTCGAAGTACTCCTCGAGGATCACGTGCACGGACACATAAAGGTTGGCCTCGCTGCGCTCCTTCCGACGCGCCATCTCGATGCGCTTCTCTAGGTCGAGCCGCTCCACCAGGTCGCTGGAGATCTCGTTCTCGGGTATGTCGCCCAGGACACGCTCTAGTTCCGACTGCCGGATGTAGACCAACATGTAGGCATTGCTGCACTTGGCATGGAAGGAAATCTCGTCGTCCATGCCGCCGTAGTTCTGTTCGATCGCCTCCTGCTTGCGGCAACTCGATACCACATCGTCGTCGAACTTAAACCAGCGTCCGTCCGCCTTTGGATTAATGAAGACCACGTAGTGGCCGCCATGGTTATCGCCAGAGTGAACCAGCACTGCGTGTAGGACGTAGTCCGCCGAGGTCTTCTCGCCCTCAGCCAAGTAGCGATCCAGGTTAATCTGCTCGTAGAACTCAAAGCGATCGTTGTACTTGATCGAGCTGTCCGTGATGGGATCGTACTGGAAGCGCATCAAGTGCAGATGCAAAACAGGCGGGAATGACGTGAAGATGACGCCCTTGCTGGCCTCCTAAAAACACAAGGTAATATTTGTATTATTTGATATTCGGAACATATAAAAAAAATATTACGGTAACAAATTGACATGCAGTAATTTTTAAAAGTAATAGTTATTGCTCATCATTCCTAAGAAATGTAATCCAATTTGAAAAAAAAATTATATTGTCAGTTAATGGTTGTAACGCATTTGTTAGAAACAAAGCATGAATAAAGTGGAATTACAAAAAATTGTTAATAAGTTTAGTGTTTCCAGACACATGCCATGAATCTATACTTTTAAATAAACAATTTAAATTAGAATTTATAAGGCATGGCTCAACTAAATAACTACTATTATTGGGGTTAGGAATGAAGTTCAATAATGCCTATCTCTTAGGTCCAAACCGAACCTCACAACTCACCTGCAGGCCGTGCACACCAGCATCGTATTTGTTGTCGCCCTCCAATGTCTCTGAGGCCACGTAGTCCTGGAAGGACTCGTAGATGTTCTTCTTGTCCTTTATGTTCAGCTGAATGTCGTAGAAGGTCTCGTAGCGAGTGCTGTTGTAGTCGACATTCTTGCATTTGATGTATGATGACATTTTGCCCTCGAAGAGGCCCGGAATGGTGCCTTCCAGGCAGGTACCTTTCATCTTGGACTCCAGCTTGTCGAGCAGCACGCGCAGGAATTCCTGGACATCGTGCTGCATGAACGAGTCAAGTGTCTCCCAGCCAAAGGACTTGGTTAGCTTCTTGGTGCCCACGGGTCGGTCACCAAACTGGAGTTCGTGGAACACCCGCTGCAGCGATAGTCCCACTGACTTGGTGCTATCATCCGCCTCCGTAGGAATACGGTACACGGCCAATCTCAAGGAGTTGGTGAAATACAAAGTCTGCAGCAGAGAATTCATATAGCAGGTGGCCCCCTGATTCTTCAGGCCCACATAGCCAGTGTGCTTCTTGGAGTCCCAAAGCACGCCATGCGGAGCATCCGCAATGACATGTACCTCCAACGTGATGCTGTTGTTGTGCACATAGTTCTTGTCCGCATCCTGCAGCTCCTGCCAGGTGATGAAGTTCGAGTAACCATAGTCGTTCTCCTTCGAGTAGAACAAATGCTTGATGCGGGCCCGCGTGAAGGGCTGTGCCTCCGGCTTGTGGCACTTGAGTCGCAGCTCGGCAATGGCGTTGCAAGACCAGGTGGGCGAATCATTCTCCCCGTTGCACTGCAGGAAGAAGCCCAGCGCCCGATCATTGGGTATGACCATGATCTTCCAAGGCAACATCCGCACATAGACCGGCGGCGATAGCCTCTGCGACTTCAGTTGACCCACATTCTCCACGGTGAAGGCAAAGGTGGTCTCTGAACGGAACTGATCCTCCTTGGACTCATCGTCCATGCCCATGGCCTCGGCGTCCTGGCCAAAGGATGTGGAGCTGCTGTCTGCGAGTAGTTGCTGTGGCGGCACATTGCCGTTCTCGCTGGGCAATTGGGTGACTGCTCCCACGGCGTGCAATTGCGGCTGGATAAGATTTTTGAACTTGGGCAACTGGGGTGGCGAATTCTGCTGCTGTTGCGGGGTCTGTTGCTGTTGTTGTTGCTGGAGGTCGCTGGTGAGGATCTCGACCTCTTGGGTATCCTGGGTGTCCATTGCTTCAATAGACTGATCTGTTTCTATTTCCATTTTACTCGGCACTTGAATGGTGCTGAAATCGGCGGCTCCTCCGCGGAGGATCGGAAACGCTATTGGAATCGTTATCGGGTGTCGTCGTTTGGAGAATAAGGACTTACTGGAATTGGTTTACTTTTACTGGACTACTGGATCACCGTTCCATCGGCTGGGCGGCGTTCTCTCTTTCTCTCTCTCTTTTATATTTCGTTCGTTGGAAAGTGTTGTGCTGCTCGCAAAAAAAAAACAAATTCTGTAACAAACAAATGTCGTTACACACAGTCAAACACAATTTCAATCCTGCTCAGCATATATGTCTAAGTAATGTGCAGGTTTTTTTGTGCCATGACTGGATGAAAATTATTTTTTCTCTTTTTTTTTTGTGTTTTATGCAATTTGTTGCGGCCAACGGCTGAGGAAGAAGTAGCAGCTTTAAATGCGTCGCCGCTTCTTCTTCCCACACGCACAAGCACATGCACTTTTTTTATGTATGTATATTTTTGTATGTATGAAGCTTACCTTGCTTGTCAGTGCTGTCAAAAAATATAAATAAATATATTTCTGGGCCGCTCGCTCTCCGCTCCCGATTGCGAATCGAACTGGGGTGGTGTTGGGTGGATGGTGGGCGGCAAGGGCGTTGAGCAGGTTGGTGATCACAGGGTATCCAAATCAAACGGAACCGAAATCGCAAAAAAATAAATTCTTTTCGTATTTCGCAGTGTGCGTGTGCTTTCTTTCCAACAATACAATATTACAAATACACTTCAATTTATGGCATATGCATGTGTGTGTGTGTTTTTTTGCCGTAGGCTGTCGGTGTGTGCGTTGCACGTCTCTTTTTTTTAAATAACAATAGAGTTTGGCCGAAAACATAAATTTTGCTTAAGATTTTAAATCGTCTAAATTTGAAAACAAACAGCTCTGACGTATTTCACACGGCACTGCATCGCCAGGTATCAATTAATATTTTCGCACACACATACACATGCAGCGCGCAGCTCGTGCAGCTGTCAAAAACGAAACGGCAGCACATGTTATCGGCGCCAGCAACGCTGCGCTTCACGCCTGTCACGCGGCTATCGATAACAGTTTGGACGGCGGGAAATATCCAGAAGTAGCTAGATGTTGCTTTTTATTCTGTTCAAACACGCGGCGCATCAACATCAGCGACAAAAAGTCGCATGCAAGTATCAACTTGAGGTACAAAGAAACGTTAAACTATAATTATAATTAAGTTTAAACTCTCGGCATTTCTTTTCACTCTGTGCTTATTATTGTTATGAATGTTGACGAAAAACGTTTATAAGCATTAATATAAATTGAATTAAAAACCTTAACAAGATAATAAAATAATTTATTTAGCATGGATTAGTTTTTCATATGTTCCAAAGTATTTATAAATTACTTTAAAGAGTTTTAAGCATATTGAAATATTTATTCAAAAAAGGATTGATTAAGCAAAAGCTTAATAATTAATTCATTGCAATTATATGATTTATCATTGAGTAATACATGATTTTTAAAATTTATATTACTATACTGAAAAAAATAGTAAGTAATAAGTATTCAAAGAATTCATACATATTTTATTTTATTTGTATAGTCGTTTATTTTATTTTAATAAAAATGTTTTAAATTCTTACCTGCGTACTTATAAAATAAGCTTATTGGGACTAGTCTATATCAAATGGTGTTCAAGAATAAATATATGTATGTACCTTTTACAAAAATATACTTTTGACATTTTTATTATTATTTATTATTTTGTTATTTATTTTGTTTATTAGAAAATTAGTTTTTATCGTTTCAGAAATGACACATGTATGCCCTCTTGGGCTTTCAGCACCATTTGGGCCTGCAGTTTGAGAGGAGCCTGCTCCGGACGCAGTTCTAGATCGAATTCCATGACGAGGCGGGCGGTGAGGAGCTTCATCAGCAGCAGCGAGTACCGTCTCCCGATGCAGACATGTGGTCCGCCGGAGAAGGGGATGTAGCTGAAGGCGGGTGGGGCAGAACCGCCATCCTCCAGCCAACGTTCCGGCTTGAAGGCATACGGATCCGGATAGTAGAGCTTATCGTGTGCCAGTCCATACATATTAATCCAGAGTGTGACGCCGGCACAGTAGGTTCTCCCTCCAATCTCCGTGGACCGCGTCGTCTGCCGTCCAGTGGTGGGCACAATGGTATACAGCCGCAGCACCTCCTTGATCAGAGCCTCCAGATAGGGCAGTTCGCTGAGGGAGTCCGGGTCGGAGAGTCCATCCAACGGTAGCTCCTGCAGCTCCTTCCGCAGACGTGATTGGGTTTCCGGATATTTGGCGAGCGCATAAAGCACAAACGACATGGAAGCCGTCGTGGTGTCCACTCCCTGAAATCAATAATCCAAAATTCAAAGCTAATTGTTTTCAATTTCTTTTAGGAATCACTAAAGTTTAAACATGGTTTTTCGATGGTTGGTTGTTGGCAAAATTATACAAAATTTCAACTGTATACTAAAATTCATATCCCTATCGCTTAAAGTTTTCGAAATAATGAAACTCATACAAATAGAAATGTCTGTAGATATTAAATATTTTCTTAAATCATTTCGAATACTTTTTGCTTTGAAATTTAGTAATTACACAAAAAATCCATTATTAGCTTTGTAGCCCAAATAATCATAATTTTAGGTCATCATGAGACCGATTTTTATAAAGATTTGTTTTAAACCCACCGCAAACACAAAAGTGTTGACCTCGTCACGAATTTCCTTTCTGCTCAGTTTTTTTTGACCCTCAAATCTGGCCAACAGGAGTGTATCCAGGAGATTGTGGGCTCCTCCTGGAGCTTCCTCCATCTCCTCCAGCTCCTTGGCGCGCTGCCCGATCACCGACTCCATTTGGGTGTGGATCACCTGGAGCTGCTCGTCGAGATCCCGCCACAGTTTGGTGCGATGGAAGATCCAATCTGAAGCCAGGAGCGGATTGATCATGCGTTTGAACAGCAACTTACTGCTGAGGTGAAATGCATTGATGATGGGCGAGTGATCCGTGGACTGTGTGTTCAGGTTGGCACCCATGGAGGTGTCTAAAACAATGGAGAAAATGGTATATATATATTTTTATTTATTCAAAAAGTTTAAATATAAACATGAAAGTATGTTTTTTTTTAAACGAGTATAAACATACTTTCATTTTTTCAACTAAGCTTTTGTAAATACATATATATGTTTTTTTTTTAAATCAGACATTTTGTAATATTAAAAATATTGAACGGATCAATTATATGCGGTGTCTACAAGTTTATATTAAATGTTTTAAGAACTTTATTTGATATGTGTGTATTAAACTAAAACATTAAAGGGATTTTTTAAATAAATAAATCAGAAAATATAAAATCCATTCCATTGTATATTTTTAATATTTATATTTCAAGAAGCCATTGTTGTATTGAATGTATTAATATTGAATATTAAGATCATGTCTTTTTTAATTAATTAATATATTAATTACTTTCTCGTATATTGTAAAGCAAAAAGATATTTGTGATGATGGATTTAAGAGGCCATTTCGAACTCACCCACGATGGCGTCTAGGAGGCAGGCAAACAATGGATCGGTGACCTCCAGAAAGGCGCCCTTGGTGGCCGCCAGTCGGGTCACCAGGCGCTCCACATGCCCAGCGATATCCGGGGCAAAGCTGCGCAGCAGTTGTGGCTGAAAGGCGGGAGTGAGGAGGCGGCGCTGGCGGGTCCAATGTGCTCCGTGGCTGATGAGCAGTCCGTTGCCGATGAGCGGCTCCAGCTGGAGGAAGGTCTCCGCCTTGCGGAGCGTGGGATCGTGCAGGGCCTGTCGCGTCTCCTCCGCCGAGTGGAGGAACACCCACAACTGGGGGCCCAGCCAGAGGCGATAGGTGGCCCCGAAGCGATCCCGCATCTCTGTGAAAACGAGGAAGATGACTGCCAGGCGGAGCAGGTTGTTTAGCACTTTGGTCGAATCCCCAGCTGCCCTACTCACATTCTGGCTTCAGTTTGCCCACCATCTGGGCGTTGCCCAAAAGCGGAAATGCCCAGGGACCGGGCAGACTGGTTCCCAGTCGCAGGAGTGCCCATTTCCGGACCAGCACCCACAATCCCAGGGTGAGCAACAGCAGTGGCCACAGCGCCATGTCGCCTGAAAATCAGTAGAAGTGCTCTCCTCGGACGATTCGATCGGACTGAATGGGTAGTTAAATTAAACCTGATTGGCAGCTAATCTTTAGAGGGCTCGGTGCAGCCTAACAGACTTGTGGATCGTTAACCCACTTACAAATATACTCGATATGTTCTATTATTCTTAAGAAGTACTCAAAAAATAATACCTTTTTACCTTGATTTGGAATTTGAAGCATTTTTGAAACAACAGCTTGTTTTACTCACATAATCATAAGGTTTATATTATCTAACAGTTTTTTTTAAAATCATTAATAAAAATAAATTACTTGATTTTTAATTGGATTGAAATACAATTTTTTTTAAAATTTTGTAGACTAAACAATTATAAATTTATTCAGGTATATAATATTTACCGCTTAGAATAAATAATAAACAATAAAGTTAAATACAATTATTAAAAACCAACTGAAATTAAAAAAGTTTGTCTACGGAAATAATTGCAGCTATTATGTGGATAAAACTAGACGCTGGAAATGGATAATAAATGAAAGGCGTACATAAGACTTTTTAAACACCCACTTTGGCGTTATAGGGTTATATTGCCTGATCCACTAACAGATCAACGAACTGTTAACGCTAACAGAGGCCTGGTTAGATAAGATTATCGGATTTCATTTAGACATATGTATATACATATATAGGCATTTGCTTTACTGTGTCGATGGTTTATGCGGATTATTAAAGGCTAACGATCTTTGTTGGTTTTTTCCACCGATCGAAATGCAATATCTAATCTGCAAAGATTTGCAAAAGTGCATTTTTACAGTCGTTTAGACATATATACTATATAGTCTAATGAAAAAACTGCTATCGGTTGAACTTTGATTTTATCAATTAAGATGCAATTGATGAGTGCTTAGTTCTGTGGTAGTAAAATAAAATAATCCATCTAAGCACAAACGAAACCTAAAAGTTGAACACATAAAAAATATTTCAAACTTGGAAAATTTATTAACATTAAATTAATTAAAATGAATAAAAGAACTAATAGAACATATGAAAACGTTGACAAACATGAAGTAAACTTCGGAAAACAGGAGTGTATATACCAATGCAGCTGTTACAAAAATTAAATTCTTTATAGAACGACTATATTTTGATGGGTAAATTTTTAAAAACAATCAATTTTGCGATCAATTTCTCGATCGTTCGTAAGGCAGCTATATAATATAGTCGTCCGATTTATATAAAATTAATAACGTAATTCTGAAACTGTTAACAAAATTCTATTCTCGTATAAATTATGAGCTATCTGTTATAATCATCCGATCCGGTCCGTTGTGACCTATATACTTCCTGAAGTAGAAAAAAGACTTCTTGGAAATCAAATAGTTAAATCAAATGGGTTTAAATCTGAGAGACTAATTTAGGTAAAAACGGACAGACAGACGGACAGATGGACATGGTTAGTTCTCCTGGTGATGCTGAAATTATATTGTTATCAAGGGTGTACACATTCTATAGGGCACATCCTTACGTATGAACAATAGTTTAAATGTAAACATTTTTAGTTTCTAATGCTTATGAGAATAAAGATTCCCTTGCGGTTAAAATGGGGCTAGATCAAGACAATAAATTGCCAATAAAAAACGAAATGAAATATTAAAATGCTATTTTTATAAGCAGGGTCAAAACAAATCGCGTGCTCCCTTTGGAAGCGTTAACAGCACCTGACCCTCGTGCTCCCCACTGCCATGGCAATTAATAAAGCCATTTTGGTAATAGACAGCGGTGTTGCCAATAATTGTGTGTCGCACATTTCGGCAGTTGTCAACTGTTGGCCAAACCGAGCGGTTCGCTTATTAGCCACCTCCATCTCCACCTCCACTGCCACTGCCACGTCCGAATCCACCTCCATTTCCTGCCTCCGTCCAAATCCAAAGAGAAATTGGCCAGCCAAAGCGAAAGCGAACGAGCTGCGTACAAAGCACCACATTAGCGGCACACTGCGATGCACCTGAGCGTGGCCCTGTGGGCATGTGGAGCCCTCCTGGCGGTGCTCCTCACCTGGCAGCAGCGCAAGTCCTGGCGGCTCATCTGGCAGCTCAACGGATGGCGCGGCGTGGTCCAGCAGCCGCTCCTCTGGATCCTCCTCTGCATCAACCTGCATCCCAACAGTTGAGTGACATACATATCTGCCAGATAGAACAAGGAAAATAAGATTGTATCAGGAAAATAGTTTAACTAAACCAACGAAAACCGGTATCTAGGTAGATATTTTCAATATTTTAAACATTGTTTAAATACGAAACATAGGAAGCCAAACGATGTTAAATCGGGTTATTGATTGAAAACCAGGCAAAACGAAGTTAATATAGATAGTATTAAAGATATATTAAATGCCTTAGGTGTCATATAGCTTTGTCTATGTACAAATTAACATATTTTAATGAAACTTATGGGATTGTGCCTAAAACAGGATACAAATCGTGTGTCTACAAGGCTGGTGATAGAATGTACATTCTTATCTGCACTACAAAGATTATTAGTTTCTAACAAACACAAAATTTTCTTTGAATTTTCAATTGAATTAATTGTTTTAACTAAATGGTGAACGACAAAAGTGAATAAGTCAAAAAAATTTGTTTAACAAATATAAAACCAACAGAGACAATTAATACATAGAATTTTTAAAACAATTATAATTGTCATATTTCAGTGGAATTAACAAAAACAATTGCTGCTTAATGTTTGTTATTTGCTAGTTCTTTCATAACCAAGTATTAAAATGTGAAATAATGAATTATTTTGCAGGCATTCTGGAGAAGGTGACACAGTATCGGGTGTACTTTCAGCGTCCGATGGCCGTCCTCGTGGGCACCCGTGTCCTCGTCTATATCGATGATCCTGCCGGAATGGAGTGCATCCTGAATGCCCCGGAGTGTCTGGATAAGACCTTTCTGCAGGATGGATTCTTCGTTCGTCGCGGCTTACTTCATGCCAGAGGTGAATACTTTAAAGCACTTCGAAATTCCAAATTTAAAAACTAAACTGAATATAAACAATTACAGGACAGCGATGGAAATTGCGCAGGAAGCAACTTAACCCGGCCTTCAGTCACAATATCGTTGCCAGTTTCTTCGGTGTCTTCAACTCGGTGGGCAACCAGATAATCGAACAGTTCCTATCGCAGGAAAACCTCCATGGAAAGGCCGTCAAGTTCACAGATGCCGAGGATTTACTCAGTCGAGCTGTCCTGGAGGTGTCCTGTTGTGAGTAATCCACACTGTTTTCAAAAATATGTTATCAGTTTATTTTTTTCACTTTTAAAGCCACTATGAAAACGTTAGCATATATGTAGTTTTTTGTAATGATTACTCAATTCGTTTTCCATTAAATAATTTAAGTTATAGGTTAATAGGAGTGAACTGCCTAAAAATAAGAGAGCTCTAAAGTAAACTTAAAAAATGTAAATTACTTAATAATATTTAATCTTTGTTCCCTAAGCATATTTGAAATTAACCAATTAAATGTAGGTATTAAATGGCTTTTTAAGTCATCAACTTTGAAACATTATTTGACCGACAAAAAATATAGAACTTAAAATATGTTTAAATAAAAGTGTTCCGCTTCTAAAATACATCTGCATTACGATAGTAAACTAATTACATTGCTAAATATGCTGTTAAGCGATCGGAATGCCAGCCACCGCATTACAAACGATCAATTAATTGCAGCTGACCCCATCCGTAAAACCCATTGCGGAATAAATAAATAAATAAATGATTGCATTCACTTCCCTTCGAGGGGCAACACGTTCCCCCCGTTTCCATGCGCCTCACGTATGCGGAACGCCGCCACCCACCACCCACCACCCACCACCCACCATCCGATATTCAATATTCAATATACCTATATATACAAACATATATCTATAATCACCCCGGTCCCCTTGAAGCCGCTAACGGAATGAAATCAAAATATTGCATTCAATTATGAGTGTTTGGATTGGATTGTTGTGACTTGAAAAGATGAGATAGATATAGGAAAAGCAATTGATTATTCAAAGCTATTAAATTGAACTTGTAGGTTTATAAGAGTAGCTGGAAATATATAGTACGAAGCAAGTTAAACTATTTCTTTTTCATTTTACAAATATTTGTGTTGTTTATTCTTCTTTATACTTTAAAGCCTAATTCAGAAAATTAAGAATCTAAATTAGTTATAATCTTTTGCAAGTAGTTTTTATTACTATATACCTATCTATACTTTCTTTCTTTTATATTCTTCTTTTGTTACTGGAAACAATAGTTGATAAAGGCATATTTATATTGCTCTAAATTATTTTCACTTATGCACTTAAATTTTGTTGCGTTTACTTTTTACAATTATTAACTTTATTTTACTTAAATACGTACTTTCAGTGACTATTATGGGCACACCAACCAATTTCACTCAAATAGATGACGCACATATTGCCCACAGTTACAAGCGGTGAGTGTTGGGGGATCCTCCTTGTTGAACTTGTTGGACTTCCTACATAACCCAATCCTTGCCAGACTCCTGGAGATCTCAGCCGTTCGGGTGGTGAAGCCATGGCTCCAGATCCGTCTCATCCACCGCATTTTGGCCCCGGAACTTTACGAGGAGTCCAGGAAGTGCTGCAAGTTGCTGGCCGACTTTGTGGGCGAAATCGTGAGGACCAAGCACCGCAACTGGCAGCTGAGGGACGCCATCGGAGGGGAAGGTCCTGGCGAGGATTCCTCCTCCGGCTGGCAGCGGCGCATCTTCATCGAGCAGATCTTCCAGCTGGCCGCCAACGGGGAAATGACCCTCGAGGAGATCATGCACGAGGCACAGTCCATGGTTCTGGTGGTAAGTAATATTTGTAATGGCCATTAGAGTATATTGAGTATTTGACTTTTAACAAGAAAGAAAGCAAATTTCGACAAGCTAGAGTTTATATACCCTTGCAGGTGTTATAAGAATATAATATTCTATAATTTTATTTCGATCCTTAAAGAAAATGAAGCTAGATCGATTTTTCAACATTTTTTTCAATCGTCCCTATGAAACCTTTTTGACATAGCCGTCTGATTTTTTAAACTGTCACTCTCTAATCGTTAAAAATTACAATGTATATAGATGTGTGTATATTTTCTTCATCAAATTTCAAGAAAGAATCGACCCAAAAATAAAAACAGAGATAAATACACAGATTTTTAGAGAATTGAACCACAGTAATTTTGAAGTATGACACTTTGAAATCGGATGTCTGTAAGAAAAGTTATGAGCATAGAGTGCATTTTAGAAATGACGAAAAATCGACCCAAAAATGCAAGCCTAGATAAAAACACAGATTTTTAGACAATTTAACCACGATCATTTATAAATCGGATGTTTGTACGAAAAGTTATGGGCTTAGAAGTGCAGGTTTTTGGTCACTTTTCTGCAAACCCATTTTTCGAAAATTTGGAAAGGGCTTATTGAAAATGAAGAAAAATCGACCAAAAAATAAAAACTAAAGTGAGAACACAGATGTTTAGAGAATTAAACCACAATCATTTTGAGGTATGCCACTTTGAAATCGGATGACTGTAAGAAAAGTTATGAGCTTGGAAGTGCAGGTTTTAGGTCACTTTTCTGCAAACCCATTTTTCGAAAATTTGGAAAGGGGTAACATCATTGGAAATGACGAAAAATCGGCCAAAAATACAAATCAAACTGAAAACACAGGTTTTTGGAGAATTAAACCACAATCATTTTGAGGTATGCCACTTTGAAATCGGATGTCTGTAGGAAAAGTTATGAGCTCGGAAGTGCAGGTTTTAGGTCACTTTTCTGCAAACCCATTTTTCGGAAATTTGGAAAGGGGTAACATCATTGGAAATGACGAAAAATCGGCCAAAAAATACAAATCAAACTGAAAACACAATTCTTTAGGGAATTAAACCACAATCATTTTGAGGTATGCCACTTTGAAATCGGATGTCTGTAGGAAAAGTTATGAGCTCCGGAGTGCAGGTTTTACGTCACTTTTCTGCAAACCCATTTTTCGGAAATTTGGAAAGGGACGAAAAATCGGCCAAAAAATACAAATCAAACTGAAAACACAGTTCTTTAGAGAATTAAACCACAATCATTTTGAGGTATGCCACTTTAAAATCGGATGTCTGTAGGAAAAGTTATGAGCTCGGAAGTGCAGGTTTTAGGTCACTTTTCTGCAAACCCATTTTTCGAAAATTTGGAAAGGGGTAACATCATTGGAAATGACGAAAAATCGGCCAAAAAATACAAATCAAACTGAAAACACAGTTTTTTAGAGAATTAAACCACAATCATTTTGAGGTATGCCACTTTGAAATCGGATGTCTGCAGGAAAAGTTATGAGCTCGGAAGTGCAGGTTTTAGGTCACTTTTCTGCAAACCCATTTTTCGAAAATTTGGAAAGGTGAAAATGATGAAAAATCGGCCAAAAAATACAAATCAAACTGAAAACACAGTTTTTTGGAGAATTAAACCACAATCATTTTGAGGTATGCCACTTTGAAATCGGATGTCTGCAGGAAAAGTTATGAGCTCGGAAGTGCAGGTTTTAGGTCACTTTTCTGCAAACCCATTTTTCGAAAATTTGGAAAGGTGAAAATGACGAAAAATCGGCCAAAAGATACAAATCAAACTGAAAACACAGATTTTTAGAGAATTAAACAAGAATCATTTTGAGGTATGCCACTTTGAAATTTGATGTCTGTAGGAAAAATTATGAGCTCGGAAGTGCAGGTTTTAGGTCACTTTTCTGCAAACCCATTTTTCGAAAATTTGGAAAGGTGAAAATGATGAAAAATCGGCCAAAAAATACAAATCAAACTGAAAACACAGTTTTTAGAGAATTAAACCACAATCATTTTAAGATATGCCACTTTGAAATCGGATGTCTGTTGGAAAAGTTATGAGCTTGGAAGTGCAGATTTTGGTCACTTTTCTGCAAACCCATTTTTCATTGAAAATAACGAAAAATCGACAAAAAAAAAAAAAAACCAAAGTGAAAACACAGATTTTTAGAGATTTAAACCACAATCATTTTGAAGTATGCCACTTTGAAATCGGATGTCTGTAGGAAAAATTATGGGCTTAGGAGTGCAGTTTCTTGGTCCCCTTTTTCCGATACTTTTTTCAATTGTTTCTATATAGATATAGTGGTTCGGTTTTTATAAAAGTTATTACTTTTGAAATAGCATCCATAATATCCCATATTTTGCAGTATTTATTGATGGATTTATCCTGACTTACCCATTTCAGTCCTTCGAGACGGTGTCCAACAGCATAATGCTGGCCCTGCTCTGCCTGGCCACCAACAAGGGCGACTGCCAGCGGCGATTGCTGGCGGAGATTAGGGCCGTGGTGCCGGACACCGGGCACGTGGGACTGGAGCAGCTCCAGCAGATGCGCTACCTGGACGCCTTCGTCAGCGAGTCACTGCGTCTCCTGGCCACCGTGCCGATGAACCTGCGCCACGTCAGTCGCGACTTCCAGCTGGCGGGTCGGGATGCCATTGTGCCGCAGAACAGCATCGTGGTGCTGGACACCTTCAACATGCAACGCGACGAGCGCTGGTGGGGCCCCACCGCCAAGCAGTTCGATCCGCAGCGCTTCCTCGACCAGGAGGAGCACTCCAAGGGTCAGGATAGTCCGGGATCGGGATCGGGATCCGGGGAGCCACGGAGGCAGCGGGATCGACGACACTCATACAGCTTCCTGCCCTTCTCCAATGGACTGCGCTCGTGTATCGGTAAGTAATCCCGAAAAGATTATAATATTTCATTTTGATTATTTTATTTCTTAAAATTACAAGGGAAAATCGTTTTCATCTGCAATAAAAGTAGAGTTATTTTTTCAATACACAAATATCTTGTTATCTAAATATTAAATATCAAATGTGTGTGCTATTAAAAACTTATTTTTTTGATTTAATTACACGATTTAAATTGATATATTTGGATAAAGTCACTCTTCTTCGATTTTGTTTTCAATTTTAATATGGTTTTTCAATTTTCATGGCAAGGAACGTAAAAAAATTCCTAATTATCACAGAAGTTTCTAAAACCCAGTTTAAAAACATTAAGTCTATTTTATAGTGCTATATTCTCTGCTGCCAAACGATTTATATATATATATATATACATATATATATAAATTGATACAAATATTGTTTAATATGTCAGGGTTTTCCCTCAAAATTCAAGCCTTTTTAAATACAAAAAACCCAAAAATGATGAAATTCATTGAAATAATTCAAGCTATCCACTCTCCGTCATCCTTCCTAATCCTTTTTAGGTCGCCGCTATGGGCTCTTCATCATGAAGGTATTCCTGGTCAAGCTGATCTCGAACTTCGACTTTCAAAGCGATTTTGAGCTGGAAAAGCTGCAGTTCGTGGAGAACATATCGCTGAAGTTCAAGAACGCCGACGATATCTTGCTGGCAATCCAGCCACACAAGCAGTCCAAGGAGTCCTCATAATACATATGGTTTTTTTCTCAATAAATATATTATAATACATTTTTTTTTATCCTATGTACATAGCAATTAATATGTAAATGATTGTTACACAAGTGTTTTTTGTCATGTCTCAATAAAATGTCCTTATTTTAAGGACAATAAGGAAATATCCTTTTAACAATTTCCCAACTATTTGAATTTCGGAAAAAGCTTTTAAAGACAGTTGAGTCCAAAGCTTAGTCTTATTTTCCAACCATTAAACAGTGAGCACCAGGTGGCGCTTACGAACATTTTGATATACATTTTAAGCCGTTTAGTTAAGTTTAAACAAAATTGTAGTGCGAAATTTTAAATATTTGATATTTTAAAGTCTGTCCGACTTTCAATACGAACTACAAGTGATAGAACATTGGGATTGAAAAAAACTGCTTGTAGTGTAACGCCAATATCATAAAATGTTTTAAAAGTTAATCAATTTAAATTTTAACATAAAACATTTTTGTTTATTTTTAAACTTATTGTCACACGTTTAAAAATATTGGCTAGACAATTTTTAATTTAAATAGTCAAGGCATAATTTAAGTTATTTAATTACAATATTTTACTTATTATAAAATGAATCAACACATTTTTCTGCCAAGTCTAAAATTTAAGTTTACAATTATTATTATTTTTTTGTAGGCAAGGTTTCACTTGGTTAAATGTGTTCTACTTATTGGGATACATATGTTCTACAATTGTGATATTTTCTTTATTTGATTATAAATCTTCACCCCACTGTTTATGTTTTTCCCATGAATAACATGATTTTTTTTAAGGTTTGGATTTCCATATATTACATTTTTTACTATTTAAAAAAGTGAGAATTGACTGGGGAAAGTGGCACCAAAGTGGGATAGGTGGCTTAACTGGTTGCCACCGCTGTCTGATAATGATGATGATGCATCATTAGGTTGACTAATTTTAATTACGCCGGCGCCTAAATTGCTGCTATCATTTTTAATAATATGCCGTGTCTGTGTCGCTCTGTTTCTGTCTCTATCTCCCACTATCCTGCTGTCTCTTTCTGTCTATCAAGCCCTCTCTTTCTGCCACCCTGTCTGTGTTCCCGTCTGTCCTTAGTTAGTGTTAACTTTCGAAAACGGCAGCTGCTGCGAGTATCTTCCCATGTCCTTTTCTACTTTCCGATACCCTTTCTAAGGCTCTTCTGATTATGAGATACTGGATAAGAATCCGAACGATATAAACTGCTTTTAAACTGCGTGTCTCCGATAATTTATATTTAACAATAACTAATTAATAATTAAGAAAGATGCTATGGATACATAAATTTCCTTTACATATAATTTTGAGGCGGTTTTCTCAAGAACGAAATTTTTTAAAGTAGTAAAAACCCCAGCTCTAAAGCTTTTGAAAATGTATTCTGAAATTGTATACCCTTTTTTTACATCAATCAACAGGTTAAGACGAAGCTGTATTTATTTATATTTTTCTAATTTGAAATCTAATAGAAATGTTTACTTCTAAATTCTATGGGTAACAAGACAATATTGTGGAACTTCCAGCTATATTAATTAAATGGATTTTATAAAATTAATCTGTGAGAGTAATCTAAACTTCGGCTATGAACTACATGCTATATGTCCTGGCCAACCAAACGACTTTTGGCCTGTCTTGATGCCTTTCAGGGGGTGGGGTTTCAAAGGGGGTCGAGGGGGGCGAAGTGGGGGGTGTGGGTGTGGTCGGGAGTGTTGCACAAAGCCAACAAATTATGCACTTACACACACATACACAGACAACTGCGTCGCTATTTGAGTTATGTACGGGTGTGTGCAAAGGAGTCGGCACATGGCAACTCTGCCCCCCCACCAACTTGCAACTCCCCTGCACCACTTGAGCCACACTCTGTACTTTTTTTCTTCGTCCTTTGAGGACTCGGCACTTGCAACTTGCGACTCTGTGCCAGGTCTGTCCTTTCGGCCCGGCTGACATCTTCTTACTCCATTTGGGCGCGCTGTCGTGTTAATTTAGCGCGAAATATTTGACAAGATGACGCGATGCCACAGCCCCTTTGCCCATTTGCACCCCTAACTGCTGCACTGGAAAAAAATTAGGTGGCTATCATCATGCATTTTATAAAAAGTAACATCTTTGCTTTAAAGGTAATTAAAATATTATTATGGATCCAAAGTGTATTTTAATTGAGCAAACTATCACTTAACCTTATGTATTTCCAGACTAATCTATATATAATTTGATAAAATTGGCATATTTTTGATATATACTCTGTATACCCATTTAATAATATGCTGAAGGTTAAAATATTTTTGTAACAAAAATCCCTAGGGTTTTGAAATCATAAAAAAGAGCGTTTAAAAGAATGCAGTGTAAAAAGATCGATGTTTTTCATAATGAATCTATCGGACTTTGAAATTTTCAACACACTTTTAGAAAGCACTATAATTAATTTAAAAGTAATAAATAATACAGTCGTAACATCACACCATTTGTGTGTATTTTACTAATCTCCTTAAATTCTTCCCTTTCTTTGGGAGCAACATTAAGCTGTAAATGTTGAGTATCTATTTTGGGCCAATTAATAAAAGTGTTGAAGCATTTTTTCAGGTGTACCCCAAGACAGGCACTGTTGTCGGCGGGAGTAATGATCGAACTTCAGGCTCCATCTCCATCTCCATCTGCCCTTTTCTGTCCCAGTCGCTGTCTGTGCAACAGACACTCATATCGATTTATAAGATGCCACACACTCCTGACATTCGATAGTGACTCTGTCGTGTCCTGATGTCCCAGTGTCCCGATGTCCTGACGTCATCCGCCCCCAAAGTCCTGGAGCTGCTGTGATTGAGCTGCGCGGTCGCTTTAAGTGATTCGCTCTCCAGCTAATTCGCAGACAATCCAACCTAAAAGCCGCAAGTGACTTGTGACAGGTTGAATGAGGACTAAAACACGGTATCCTTGGCTGCTCAACTCCACCCGGATTCCGAAACCACGACGCAATGGAGATCATTTCAAAAAAAATAGCTACACATCACAATGTTGAATTTCAATATTGTCTAGTTTTTCTAAATATTTGAAAAACAATGACAATGATGAGTTAAAAATTTGACTTAATTACTATTAAGTGTGTAAATAGAAATTAAAACTATACAAATAAAAGAGTTCGATAGATTTTATCAATAGTAAAATGGTGTCCATTGGAATTCACAATAGAGGCTTGTATTATTAAACATTTTAAAATGTTTGATCTGAAATGGATGTTTTCAAACTAATTTGATTTCTTTTTTCACACTCAACTTATCGCTTTATGTAGAATTTTGTTGTTTGATTCATGCTATGGCCACAACAATCTTGTAATTCATCGAATGAACTGCAACAAGGCGAGAAAACAGCGGAAAACATTCGCACACTACTCACAGCCTAAATCAGGCGCATAATCAGCACTATCATCATCATCATCATCATCATCATCATCGGCACTATCGCAATCATCATTGTTCCTTGTCGCCTCGCTGGGGATCAAAATCGAAGGATGTCGGCTGCAGGGGGTTAAAGTGCAAAGTAGGGAACCCACCGACAGACAGAGTCATTTATAAAATTTCCACCAGAACGTGTTAAATGGCGTCAATATTAAAAGTTCAAATATGACGCTGACGATGACGATGACGACGCCTGGAAAATGGGCAAGGGAAAATGGTTTTTTGGGGCAGGGGGGAAATCGGAGGATGGGGAGGCAGACATAGACGGCAAACGAATCAACAAACGTTGGAGCTATTATCGTTGTCGCAACATCACACAGATACAGATACAACTTTGGCGGGGCACACATATGCACTGCCGCTTACACATATTCAGGGGCGTTCGGAGATCAAAATTTAGGGGGATTAGAAAAATGCACTTTCCAAAGTTATATTGTATTCATGCCATATTAAATTAATTATAAAATATGGGATTTAATATAAATAGATTTTACCTAAAATTGTAATATGATGTATTTCGAAACAAAAATATATTTTGTCTCTTAAATAAAAATTATTTCCAGAACTGGATTTGTACACAATTTCGCCATGTGGAATTAACAAGCTATTTTAGTGTATGCAAAATATGATTTTCACTTTTGTTATGAAATATCTACATGTATATATGATACATATATATTTTTGCTTAAATTATTATGATAAAAAATAATAATTATAATAAGTTTTACTTGTAGCGCTAGGATGTCAAAGAGGTAAATTAAATATAGAGAATTTTGCTGTTGTATTTGTTCCAAAGACCTATATACCGATTGCAGCTCTCATTTTTTAAGTAGTAGAAAGAGGGTAAAAAATCATGAAATCGGGATACATCAGTTAGTGGTTTTTGGGGATCCGGATCAACCAGTTCCCTTCTGGGAATGCCACTGTCCACACATATGGTCCTTGTTGCTATTGCTTTTGCTGCTGCTGCTCATCATCATCTTTGGCGTTAGCAAGTGCTTGGCGGCAACTTCTAATGGCGGCATTATGCGGCCCCCTCCCAGCCTCCCGGCCACCCACTACACACCCTTTGCCCCCCTCGGCCACCCGGCCATTGGGTGTGTGTGCGCCCTGCGCAAAATGAAAATGAAACTGTTGCAAAATCCCATAAAACGGCCAAAAAGCTTTTGTAAATGACGCCAACAGCTGTCGATGGCAAAGCAGACAACGTCGCCGTCCGCCCAATTTGCCAAAGCACCCACCCACCCAGCCACCCCCTGACAACTCCCCCAACCCCCCAGAAACACCCCCTTCCTTGTACCAACACTGACATCTATGTGTGTGTACACAGCAACAAATAAGGGAGAGAATTTAGGGGACACTTCATCTATAGAGTCATAATATTTCAATAAAGAGATCTTTGAGAGGAATCTTTTTTCTTAGTCGTATATCGAGATAAATTAATAATAAATAATTAAGGACCGAAAATTGTTTGACTAGTTTCCTTAATGTAAACGATTTGGATATAAACCCTCTACCGAACATACTTGTATACAATAATGTATTAGTTAAAATTACTTTAAATGATAAATGTTAAAAATATAGTATTAACCAATTTAACCAATTAAGTACCTTACAATATAATAGTGACAGATAATATTTTAACAAACTTTATGTACAATACTAAATAATACAAATCTTTAAAATATTAAATAATCGTAATATGTCTATTTCTTGCTTAATGCTTAAAAATGTTGATGGGGAAACATTTTCTAGTTATTAAAAATATATTACGAATTACTTAAATCGATTTTTTGCTTAGCAGCTAATGATGATATTCGAATCTCCAGTAGCCTAATTTTTTTCTCCCACTGTATGTGTATGTTAGAAGGGAAGATGGTGCTGCAAGTGGGGAATCGTGAAGGTTTTGGCGCGTTTTAATAAAGCGACAATGACATTTTATGAATTTTCCACTTTGTTCTCGACCCACGCCCACAATCGCGTCCCGCTCCGCCCCTCCCCGTCCCCGTCCCTCGCCCCTTTGTGCTGTTTTCATTATTTGTTTGTTTGCCGAGAACCACAGACTGGCGGCCGGTAGGACTCCAGGACATCAGGACATGAGGACGCCAGGACTCCAACGCCAGGACTTCCAAAACTCCAAATGAATTGACATCGTCTGTGTGTTCGGGGGTGTTTGTGTGTGCGGCTCTGTGTGTGCAAACGTGGTGCACAAAGGCGTGTCTCCGTGTGCCTTTTGATATCGGATTTCATTTATAATTAGCTGCAAAGTTAACGGTTGCCAGCCATACCTTGACTTGTGGTTGGTGTGGCCCCGGTCAAGTAATTTGCTTGTCAGTGGGTTGCCGGGGTTTAGGGGGTTTTACCGGCTCCAGGGGGTGTACTGCAGGGGGTGATGCCCCAATGTTGACGCTCCTTTGGCTCAAATGACACCCCATCTGCCGTCGTTCCAAGATGGGAGCGCTTTAAGCCAGATATTAGCAATCGAAAATCGCCTGAATTAGCTATAAATTATTGGGGCCTAACTCCTCTATATCCCAAATTCTGTCCTTCCTTATCAATTTAAATTAATTATATTATATTATACATACTTATTAAGTTAGATTAGTTTAAGTTCATATCATACCTAGTGTGTTGATTTCCTTAGTGTACATACAAATTAATTAGTTTTTTTTAAGTAGAGCCAACAGTAATTCTTTTATGGAAACTATCTGACCAAGCAAAACTTCGTTTCATTCGCACTTCGAATGACCAAGCAAAATGATCTTTGTAAATCCATAACAATCATGCCTATTCAACAAGGAAATCAAAATCATGTTTATTATAAAAATGAAAACAGATTTTAGTACGGGCTTTACGCTTCAAGCTTATAATTCAGATTTAACATTTTAAACATATCAAAATTATGCGACTTTATAAGAAGCTGATCAAGAATTTTCGTATAAAGGGTAGAGGATTTAGTACTTACTATAAGTAAATACTTTTAACTTCTAAGGACTTAGATTCTTGACCACGTCGTCCACGAACTGCTGGAGAATGGCGGTGCCCTCGTCATCCGTGGCGTCCATGACCTGGTGCATTAGTTCCCAGTTGAAGTGCCGATTCAGTAATCCCCGTTTGATCACATAGGCGGGCATCACAATCTCAAAGTAACGCAGGCGCCATCGGGAGAGCAGGCGCGGAATGCAGATGCGATTCTTGACGATCTCGTCGTCCTCCAACTCGAAGACGTCGCACTCCACACGATCCTCTGTGGGTGGAGCGATCGGATTCAGCTGCCTCTGGACGGATATCGTAGTCCGGCGGCGGGGTTTCTTCGGCGTGGGCGGACGGCAGTTCGAATTGGGCTGGCGGGTGAGGAGCTTCTTCATCCAGATCTTTTTAAGGACGCCCAGGGACCTGATCTCGCTGAGGGCCAATCCTGCCCGGTCGTCGCGCAGCTCTTGCAACGTGTCCACCACCACGTTCCCGGGAAAGGAGCAGGACTCCTTGATCCAGATGCCATTGCTGGGCTTTAACTGGGGCTGGCGGCTACCAACCGTTTTAGCCATAATAATAATTTATAACAAAAATAAAGCTCTTTCCAAAAGGGATAACACGGAATTCGGAGATGGTAGACAAATTGAGTCCGCGTTCGATAAATCAATTATATCGATATTTACTATAAACACGAGGCGTATGTATAAACATACGTACCTAGGTACAACTTTCGACAAATTTTGTTTAAATTATCAAGTCATATATTTATATTAATACCCTTAACCTTATCTTAGTTTGGTTATAACTATTTTCAAACGTTATATGTATATTATATTATCATTTAATGGAATGGAAGGTTTTCAATTTAGTGGAAACAAATCGGAATCAAATGTTAATTAAGGTACATTTGAGCAAACAAATCCAATAGTTTCTATGTATGTTGATTGTACAATTCAAAATATAACTGAAAGAACTGGAGAATTTTAAAATTTACAAAAGTCAAAGAGAATATTACAATTTTTTTAAATCAGACGACTGTGTTGTCCAAGGGAAAAACTTGACCAAATTGACAGAGCCTCGTCTTTCCGGAGTTGACTTTCTTTTTTGCGTTAGAACCAATAACGATTCAAACCCAAAAACCTCACTAATTAAAAGCAAACATATTTAAAAATAAAGCAAAACACTTGGATAATAATGGCAGCTAATAGTCTTTTCGAATCGCGTGTCTCCGGTGGCAAATCAAAAGCGCTTTTCCCCGAATTTCCCTATGAATGCTCTGCCCGATTGCGAAACAATGGGGAAGTTACAAAGTAAAATGCACGCCCGGTTGCCAAGTGGCAGTCCAAATTAACAGCTAATTATGTGCGAAAGGGAACTACGGTGGGGAGGGTGTGCGGGGTACGGGGTCCTCGGAAAATTGTGAAAACGGGGGAAAATGGGGCAGTACACACCAAACACGTACAGCAGCTAAATGGGGAGAGCGAGCCAGATACATAAAGGGGGTCGGGCAACGAGAACGAGTCAAACATTATTTGAATACAAAATTGCCCTTGAAAAGGGTTTTGCAAAAGCCAAAAAACTCCCAAAAATGGCAACGAAATACAGAAAAACAAACAAGAAAATCCGAAAGCGACAACAAAAGTGACAAATTAGTCGACACTAAAAGCGTTACAATTGAGAAAGGGTGCAACCAAAAATTCAACAGTCAAACTTCTATAATACAGAAAACCATCTATTAAATTAATTATATTCGATATAACATAATCATATAGTTTTAGGTATAACTTTAAAAATCTACTGGGTCCGGTGTTTTTGATCCTAATATGTTCGTTCAATTTTTTTATAAACTTCTTGGAATAATATTATATTATAAAAAAAACTTTCTTTAAAAGTATGTACAATGCACAAAAATAATATTTATATTAAATTATCCATTACAGCTACAACTACACAAAGCTAATATCAATGAGCTATTGCTTTGAGTTCAAGTTTTCAAGATAAGCTTTATGTAAAATGTTTAGTTTATATTTTGGAGCTAAGGAAAATTCGATGCAGCCAGGTTCGACTGTTATTTGTTATTTGTGAAACAGAGCATTTTTGTATTCTTTTGGGTCAGCGATGGAAGCTATTAAAATTCAAAGAGCAGAATGCATTTCCTGTTGCTGGGGTATGATGATGATGTGGTCCGCGCCGGAGATCCAATTGCGGTCCTTGTCATAAGACAGTTGCCCAAATCTCCACACGTAGCCCTTTCAACTACAAAGCCCCCGAGTTTCCAGCATGATTACATGCTAAATTGCGTGCTACAATTAACAAGGCATTTAGGGTTCTAGGATGCGAACAGGGTTGAAACAAGTGCCATCGAAATAGTAGCACGAGAAATGATACCAAATACAACATGGTCTTAAAGAATTATCATATATGTACATAGTTTTTTAGAGCAGGGAGACCCAATAGTTGGATATATGGAAAAATATTTCGTTAATATTCAACAAACCCTTTTCTATGTACATAAATAGTTTCTTTAATACCATTAATTTTGCTTCAATTTGAAATTATTTAACTGGGGAAAGGATTAATAAGGTTATTATGTCCTTTCACTGAAAATATTAAAGCACAAAACTATTTTAAACTACAAAAAGAATAGTATTTCGTTAATAGTTTATGTTAATACCAATGATTTTGTTTCAATTTGAAATTATTTAACTCGAAAAAAGATTAATAAGTTAATTATCTCTTTTAACTGAAAATGTTACAACATAAAGCTACAACAAAAACTGAAGAAACTATATTAAATAATTGGATTTTTAAGTTTTAGCAATTACAAGAAAACTTACTGAAGGATTCAAGAAAAAAAACCAACAGAAATTAAGCAGGTGGTAAGAATTATAATATATTTATATAAATTGAAAAAACTCTTATACTCTATTGCTCTCCATCAACAAAATATGGAATGTCTAGAGTTTAAAGGTATATAGAAGGAAAAATTTAAATGTTTTCATTTCCTAGTCTTGAGTTTTTCGTAAAAATGGAATAAAAAAAATCTTTGTCTTTTAGCCTTGAATTTGACCTGGCGGGGAAACCTTCTTGACGGTGAATATACCGAACGTCAACGGTATTTGGAGAATCCCTTCAGGGACTTCAAGCTTAATCCCAAAGGACAGGTCGTCGCCCTCGTAAATTTCGCGTAGTTCCACTCCTACGCGATCCTGTGAATAGTTCACGAATACACCATTGAGGGCCTCCTGGGGATATTGGAGGATTAAAATCAGTTTCTGCATGGGATGTGAAATCTTACCACTTCTCTTATGAACAGGCGGCCATCTTGTACCATGATAATGGCGTGGAATCGAGACATATAGTCGTACTTCAATATCCCGGTGCAGTTAGAGTGGCGACCCAGCATATTTAGGCCCGGCATCAGGTAAATCCGGTCACCCGAAAGCACGTGCTTCAAGAAAAACACCATTTTGTCCTCGAATAGTCCAACGAAAAGTAAGCTTCGAACTGGCACGTCAAAAATCTTCTTCTTTCTTTTCTTTCAAACCGATGCCAGTTAGCCTAGGCTGTCAAGTAATCGATTGTAGTCGATAAATTTACTTTAATGAATATTTATTTTAAAATTATGACAAATAATTTGAAGTTAAATCATGCCACATCTATGCAACATGTAGCACCATGTTTATAGCTTGGGGTCGGCTCGACCAAGCAAATTCACTTTTTAATTCTTAAATTAAATAAAAATTAAATAAAAACAAGTATTGACATTTTTTAATTAAGAACTAGCTATTAAATAACTTCAAGCATTTTATCTGTTATATATCTAAGCAACATATCAATTTAAAATTTTTTAAAATATAATGTGTGTACACACCTTTTTCACTGTACCCCTGGTATATATTTTAAATTATCCTTTTATTTATTTTATCAACCAATGCAAAATAATATTAATAATGCAAATATTTGTTACCTATAATTCTATTATTATTATTATTCTACAAACTCCAGATTTATTTTGTAAACAAATTATTTATGCCCAAGGATCGATACCTGGCGTCTAAAATCGAATATCCACTATCTAAGAACGTTGTGCAACACTAAAGAAGCTTCTGCATAAATAATTAGCGAAATAATTGGCTCCGCGCGTAATTAGCCGGAATTCACGGAATCCTTCGCCAAGATGACAACGCAGGCGAGGCCAAAAGTCAAATACCTGGCCAAATGCAGTGAGCCAAAAATAATGAACTCAAAATGAAGTGAAACAAGAAGAAAACACAGCTTTAATTATTCATATTTCATTAGTGAGCAGAAGCAGAAGAAGAAGAAGAAGAAGAAGAAGGGCAGGTGAATGCGATGGCGAGGGCAAAGGCGTGTGCCATATAAAATTTATAAAAATCAAAGTAAGCACTGGGAGCACAGGGATACGGATTCCTCAGAGACCGACGTCGGAATACCCTCCTGGACACTTATTCTAGGGTGCCCCGAAAAACTCATCCAATCAAATTGAGTCCCCAAAATTACCGGATTGCGTTGTTTGTGAAACACCACGAATTACTTTAAAGGGAGATTTTACTTATAAATTGCTTTTTTATGGAGATATGTAAGTATTATTTAGGAATTGCAAAAGTTTATTCAAATAATATTCGCAGTTCTGCACAAATTAAGTTATTTCATCTTGAGTTAAATCTTAAATTATGTTATTAAAAATCAAATAGTCTGATTTTTCGGTTAGTTATAGCCAATCTGCCAAGTTATATTTAGTTATCAAAATGGAGTGAATTAAATTCTTTTCTAATCAATATGCATTATGTGATATGAATTGTACATATGTATGTAAATGATATCTTATTTGTTACCTACAGAAGAAAGTTATTTCTGATTTTTAAATTCTCGAGCTTTACACTGTATTTCTATACTTTGCAGACGGGAAAAGAAATCCCCAACCACGTGGCAAAACTGTGGCCAAAAGGAAAGCGCCATTTGCAAGAGTACAAAATGGAGAACGAGAAGCAGGAGGTCAGCTCAGAGTAAAACAAAAGGGAAATGTTGGAAACGAATCTGGATACACATCATCATTTGTCTTGGCGGGGAGACGGCAGTGGCGACGAAGTGCGGCCAGGGCACATTGATGAATGAAGTGCGTAGTGGCTGAAAGGCCAAAAGGCAGCCGCATTAAAAATGCACACGCAATCAGAAAATGTTTCACGACGACCTCATAAACTGGGGACTCAGGGCTCAGGACTCAGGACTCCGGACTCGGGACTCCCAACTCCATGGGCCGCCAGGTGATGGATCAGCGACCTCAGATAAGACAGGCAAAGAAGGAAAAGGAACAAGATCCAAAGCTGGAGCTGAAGCCGGAGTCGGGGTAATGAGTGAGTTGAAGTGGGGCACGGCTTCTGCCGTCAAATGTTGTGAGAAAGCCCCTTTTGAGCCGGGCCACTTGGCGTACCGTTGGTGGCAATTTATAATTTGTTCGAGGGCTTTCAGCGGCCTTTCAAGGCAATTACCCCTCACGGCGGACACCCGGACCTGGCCTCCACCTTTGGCAGCAACACCTTCGCAACATTTCGGCTTGACTGGCTGCGAACTTTGGCACCCACCTGAGCTCCGAACCGGGTTCGGGTTGCTTACTGGGTCAACGCGCTGGCCATCCGCCTCGCCAACCCTGTGATTTATTATGGAACCGCCGAGGATGTTTTCTTTGACGGAGCACGTTCATTCAGCAAGGATGCATTCTTGCACTTTAAAAAAACAAACTCATCATGTAAGTGCAATCCTGTTTTTCTATTCTATTAAAATTAGTAAATATAGGAAGACCTACCCATTTTCTCACTCTAAAACTGAAAAGACATTAATAGCGAGTGGTTATAAATTAAAGAAAGTAATTTAAAAAAATAATAGCAAAAATTTATTTTATATATAAAAATATATGTATTTTCTCTATTTGTCATATTTTGATTGTCTATTTTCAACAATGAAATAGTTGCCATTACGTCCTAATCTTTTTTAAGTGCATTTTAAATATTTTAGACATGTTCAAATTTTAATTTCAGTAAAAATTCGTATTAGGGCAAGTCGATAATCTTTTGGGGATGATTTAGTTTAATTTTATGTGGATCTTATATTCTCTTAAACACTGATTAGTTTAAAGAGACATATTGTATTTAATCCCGAATTCTTTTCGATCTTACTAAGTATATTTCTTAGATAATATTTTCTGAATAGTGGGCTAAATTTGTCGGAGTGTATCACGTCTGGTCAGTGTGTGTAAACGTTGATAATGACCCGTACGGATAGCTGCAGATATAGACATATTTTCCAATGACAGCCTTTCCCGTTCGCTCTTTTTTGACTCTTGAAACCGAAGGAATGGGTTTGGGTTGGCTGCCACTTACATACCAGCAGTTTGTAGATCTGTATTAAAATTCAAGCTCTTTCATCCTATTAATATTCCATTGCCTATTCGCGCGAGAATATATTCCATTTTTAATAACACGAAACTTTATGAAAATTTTATAAATAAAAGGCGAGGATAGGATATTCAGGGGTAGCTGTTGCCAGATTCCTTCTGCTCCTTCGTTAGTCCTCGTCGGCGGCGGCAGAAAAGGAAAGCTCAAAAGTCAAAGCAAACAGGGGAAAACTCACTGGGGCCATGGAACCGAATCCAGGAGCTGGATAAATTGCGCAATGAACCCCATTTTGAGGGGGTGGAAAGTTGGGTACCCACACCACCCACACACTTGCTCAAAAGAAAACAAAGAAAAACAATTGAAATGTGAATATTAAATATACAAGAACAAGTTGCCCGTTAGTGAGCACCCGCTATTGTTTCTTGCAGCACCATGCAGGCGGCACAGATCCAGAAATACCAACGCAACCACCCACGGAATCACCCACGGTGCCACCCACTCATCCAGCCAACTACCGTACGTTTGGCGACGAACTCCCCGCGGCGTCATTGTGCTCCCTGGCAGGCGGCAGTGGAAAATGCCATTTGATGGCATTTAGATGGGATCGCTGATTGATGTTACTGGCTTCTCCTCGAATTCCCAAAGCCAGCGCCGTGCTCCAAGCACTGGGGTGTGGGTCAGTTCGGTTCCCGGTGGCTGGAGGGCTTTGCGGCTGTTTCGTGGGCGGTTAAGAAGTTTGCGAAAGGTGGCTCTACGGAAATAAACCATGTTGAAAGATGTCTTAGGCTAGCATTAGTGCAAAGGTGATTTTAGATGGGAAGGAAAAACGAGTTTTGTACTTTTACATAACAAGTTTCCGATAGTTTATCAACTCTTAAAAGATCTTTAACTAATTGACTCCACGGGATTACATTTTTGTTGTTCTTCAATTATATTACATCTAGTTCTAAACACTCTTGTATTATTGGAATCAAATGAAGATTTTAATTTTTAAATCTGTTAAATTTGTATTATTGGAGAGTCTTTCAAAACTTTTTTAAATCACTAATACCTAAAAACCAAATCACTTTGTATAAAATCTGTTGTATTAAAATCAATCAGGTCAGGTATCATATAAATAGATCGATTGCTTCAAACGCTGGTTGGTAGTCGAAGTCAGCTGCAGAAATATAAGCCAAAGCCTGAACTTAAATCAACTCTTTACAAGGGACTTGACATCAATGACTGATATTAAAAAGTATGTCCAATTAGAGTTGGGTCAGTTTGGTGTGTGAATTGCATTGGGTCAGTTTGGTGTGTGAATTGCATTTTATTTTTTGCAGCTATGCATAACCCGATAACTTAATCTTAGCCAAGTCACATGTCGGGCTGCCAGCTTCGCTATTTTTACATGGGCATCAACCTATATATCCCGGGCTTTACATAGTACCCTCACCATTGGCGGGGCATATGTGTAATGCATGCAACGAGGCACATTAATTAAATAAAAATTGATTTTCCAAGCGCATGAAATGCAATCAACGGCCGGGCTCCAAGTGGTGGGTCCATGTGGCCTGGATGCCGCCCTGGATTCCAAACTGGACTATGGACCATGGATCCTGGACCCTGGATGCCCCATGCTCCATGCACTCTGCTCCACTACGCCGTGTTGTCAAATGGAGTTAACAAAGTTTACGCTTTTTGCGCGCCGCAGTCTCATTCTGGTTCTACTGGCTTTATTTTTTGTACTGCTGCTGCTGTCCTTTTTTTGTGGCCCTTCCTCGTTTTTTGTTGCATCGTATGCATAAGTATATAATGTGCAGCCGGCTGGACATGGGTGGGTGAATTGGGCGGCCAGGACCATGGTCCTGTAGCCATGGTGCCCGTCGCTGGTCCGTTTCGCCTTTTATCCGTTTGGCCACAACGGCGGCAATGAGTTTAATGTGCGCTGTCGCTTTTTGGCCGTATTTAAACCACAGCAAGTCATCAGGCAAATTGAATTTTCAACGTATGGTCGCACATTGCGTTGTAACACTCCGTGTCACAAAACCACCCGCCTTCCCATCTTCTTCTGACCCCAACTCGTTGTGTTTTTAACCCTCTAAAGTGCTTCTCCAAGACAACTTGAAAACTATGTGCTCTAAATGAATACCTTAGATTCCATTTTGGAAATGTAGTCTTTCCTTATGCTATCTCGCTGAATTTGAATATCTACTTTTAAATGTTAAATTTAGTATTTAGCTAGAGATAGTCATAATAATTTAGTTTGTGGACTAGTCACAAAATCAATATTTATTAAATAGAAATATATTCTGCTTCAACAATGAGCAGGAAGCATATTCATAATCATATACAAATATTGTAATAATATTTAGTAGGTTACGTGTCATTACCAACAACCAAAACTATATATGAAAAAATAATGATATACATAAGTGGATTAGTTGAAAATAGTTGTTATTTTAAGTCTGATAAGTTTTAACTTTCGTTGTGTTTAGCTTTTGAATACTAATGATTGAGAGTGGATCGTCTTAAATAAAGATGTAATTGAATACCTTTAAGCTTGCCAGTAGACTTCTTAAACAAATTTAAAGTAGCGCCATATGTTTTGGCTCTTGGGTGTTCGAGGGTTAAGGCCTTGGTTTTTGCTGTCAGTCCGCAATTCTCGTGTCAGTGGCTGTATAACGTTTCCATCTCGCTCTTATCAGCACGGTCAGCGAAGGTCCTTTATGCCCCAATCCTCAATCCCCAATCCCTACAACCCACACTCCATTCCCCTACACCCGTACATACCCGTGAAGGCCCAAACCCACTGCATTTGCTAGCTTCGTTTCTCGTTACAAAATTACCCACGATAAAAATTGAATTACTTCGTCGTCGTCGTCGTTGTCGTGGTCTCCCTGCTTTCACTCCCTGCAAAGTGTTGGGCTTGCTCTTGACGCGCCCATGTCCCCCGTCCTTGATCCTTCTCCACCTCCTTGTCCCGCTTAGACGACACTGAAACTGTCGCCGGGCCTGGTCCTGTGTGACTCCGTCTAATGATAAATGAGCTGCAATGGATGACAGCGAATCAACTTAAGTGTATTGCTCTGCTTCACTCCCCCACTCTCTAGCTGGGAATCCGGCAGTTGGGGGACTCCTGTTCCGGCTCCATCTGCCTTCTGCCTTCTGGCCACACGGAGCCAGCCAATGCACTTTCCCCTCAACGCTTTTTTGCTCGTGTTTACGTTTCACTTGAAAATTCTATGCTACACTAAATATTTACATAGGAAAAAAACTTGGCAAGTGTAAGTGAGATGCTTTAAAGAAGCACTGAAGAACTTTGCCAAAGTTCCTTCACTCATTATGCGTCTTCGAGGGGGAGGGGGTATTTCCGGGCATAATCAGCAAATTGGTAGGAACAAGAAGTGGTGACTAGGCTAGACTCGAAACAGCTGTGCAAAGAAACCATTTAACGATTTTAAAGAGACAAAATCTAATGGTATCGAATATTAGCTTATTTCACAGATCGAATTTGTTCGATTTGGCTTAGGGGGAAAGTCTTTTAATTAATCATTGCTTTAGAAATCACATAAAGAATTAATCTTTAATGTTACTTATACATGCAACACCACATTTACTTATACATGCAACACCACATTTAAATTTGTCACCAATAGATTTGTATTCCCCACCCTTAACTTACCAAGTTAAATTTGTCAGTAACAAAACCAAGATTAATTTGTATACCAAGAAATGTATGTATATTAATGCAGTAAGTAATGAATTATAAGGTAAAGTGAGTTTATTCAAGCTACCCACCCAAAAGACACACTTGATTTGCCAGATTTTCATGAACTTTAAAGTTTATTGTGGAAAACAAAAAAATAAAGGGTGTTTAGAATAGAGCAATAAATTAGATAGGACCATGGGATTAGGGATAGAATATCATTGCCAATATAGAGGAATACAGTTAATTGTGAGATTAGCGTTCGGATGCAGGAGCAGATCTTACGGATTGCAAGTGGCGGGGGCGCTGGTCAATCCCAGTCCAAATCCCCTACTTCTCCAGGCAGCGGGCCTCGTCCTTGGGCACACAGGACTCGGCGATCCAGTCGAAGCGTTCCTTTCTGTCGCAGCGCAGGTGGGCGAACTTGTGCTTGCCCGACCTCTTCACCTCGCAGCGGTAGTATTTGCGGCAGTCGCTGGCATCCGGGTAGACATCGTTCTCGTCGCACTCGTCACCCTTCTTTAGCTTCTTGATCAGGTCCTTCACGAACTGCTTCTTTTCCTTGGAGCTCGGCTCGTCGTCGTTGTCCTTTTGGGACTCGCTGTCCTTGTCCTCCTTCTCCTCCTTGGACTTGTCCTTCTTCTCTTTGCTGTCCTTGTCCTTCTCCTTGTTATCCTTGTCCTTCTTGCTGTCCTTGTCCTTCTCCTTGCTGTCCTTGTCCTCTTGTTTTTCCTTTTGTTTCTCCTTCTGCTTCTCCTTCTCTTCCTTCTCTTTCTCCTTCTCCTCAGAGCTGGGCTTCTTCTGCTCCTGCTCCTTGGACTGATCCTCGCCAGACTTGGGCTTGTCCTTCGACTTCTCGCTGGATGCCTTGTTGCTCTCCTCAACGGAGGCATTCTCGTTGGACGCAGCTCCTCCAGCTGGCGGAACTGGGACAGCCTGTTCCACGCTCTCGGCAGTTTCGGGATTGTTGTTGCTGGGACGTTGGGGGTTCTGGGGTACCTGCGGCTGCTGAGGATTCTCCGGTTGTGCAGGAGCCTCGGTGCTGGTCACTGGTTTTGTTGGTCGCCAGCTGTTCACCCAGTTCTGCCAGTTGGGCCAGAAGGGTAGAGGACGTTGGGGCGGGTTGGCAACGCCGTTGATCAGCCCACTGCCAGAAGCACCTGAGCCGTTTTGTCCAGGAAGCTCAGGCCTCCAAATCGGCGGCAGAATTGGAATGTTCGGGCGGGGTTGCCAAGGCCATGTGCCAGATCCTCCAGGCAGTACTGGAATCGATGGAATGACTGAGCCAGTTGGTGGATTGAGCGGAGAATTGGGGTCCACAGATGCTCCTGGAGCATTAGGAACGGAGCTAGAAGTGGCAGCACCACCAGCAGGAACGTTGGGATCAGCAGGAGCACCACCAGCGGAAACGTTGGGTTCAGCCGGAGATCCTGGGGCGGCACCAGCACCTGAAGCAGGAGCACCACCAGCGGGAACGTTGGGATCAGCAGGAGCACCTCCAGCGGAAACGTTGTGTTCAGCAGGAGATCCTGGGGTGGCACCAGCACCTGAAGCAGGAGCACCACCAGCCGGAACGTTGGGTTCAGCAGAAGATCCTGGAGCGGCACCAGCACCTGAAGCAGGAGCACCACCAGCAGGTGCGTTGGGAACAGCAGGAGCACCACCAGCGTTAACGTTGGGAACAGCAGGAGCACCACCAGCGGGAACGTTGGGCTCAGCAGGAGATCCTGGGGCAGCACCAGCACCTGAAGCAGGAGCACCACCAGCGGGAACGTTGGGATCTGCAGGAGAACCACCAGCAGGTGCGTTGGGAACAGCAGGAGCACCACCAGCGGGAACGTTGGGATCAGCAGGAGCACCACCAGCCGGAACGTTGGGTTCAGCAGGAGATCCTGGAGCGGCACCAGCACCTGAAGCAGGAGTACCACCAGCGGGAACGTTGGGATCTGCAGGAGAACCACCAGCAGGTGCGTTGGGAACAGCAGGAGCACCACCAGCGGGAACGTTGGGATCAGCAGGAGCACCACCAGCCGGAACGTTGGGTTCAGCAGGAGATCCTGGAGCACCACCAGCGGGAACGTTGGGTTCAGCAGGAGATCCTGGGGCGGCACCAGCACCTGAAGCAGGAGCACCACCAGCGGGAACGCTGGGATCAGCAGGAGCACCACCAGCGGGAACATTGGGATCAGTGGGAGAGCCAGGGGCGACACCAGAAGATGATCCAGCAGAGGCAGTCGATCCTTCAACAGACGCACCAGGAGCGGCGGTAGATCCTTCAGCAGGAACACCAGGAGCGGCAGTCGTTACATCTGCAGGAGCACCAGGAGCTGCAGTCGTTACATCAGCAGGAGCACCAGGAGCGGCAGTCGGTACATCAGCAGGAGCACCAGGAGCTGCAGTCGTTACATCAGCAGGAGCACCAGGAGCGGCAGTCGTTACATCAGCAGGAGCACCAGGAGCTGCAGTCGTTACATCAGCAGGAGCACCAGGAGCGGCGGTCGATCCTTCAACAGGAGCACCAGGAGCGGCAGTCGTTACATCAGCAGGAGCACCAGGAGCGGCAGTCGTTACATCAGCAGGAGCACCAGGAGCTGCAGTCGTTACATCAGCAGGAGCACCAGGAGCGGCAGTCGTTACAACAGCAGGAGCACCAGGAGCGGCAGTCGTTACATCAGCAGGAGCACCAGGAGCTGCAGTCGTTACATCAGCAGGAGCACCAGGAGCGGCAGTCGTTACATCAGCAGGAGCACCAGGAGCGGCAGTCGTTACACCAGCAGGAGCACCAGGAGCGGCAGTCGATCCTTCAGCAGGAGCACCAGGAGCGGCAGTCGATCCTTCAACAGGAGCACCAGGAGCGGCAGTCGTTACATCAGCAGGAGCACCAGGAGCGGCTGTCGATCCTTCAGCAGGAGCACCAGGAGCGGCAGTCGATCCTTCAGCAGGAGCACCAGGAGCGGCAGTCGATCCTTCAGCAGGAGCACCAGGAGCGGCAGTCGATCCTTCAGCAGGAGCACCAGGAGCGGCAGTCGATCCTTCAACAGGAGCACCAGGAGCGGCAGTCGATCCTTCAACAGGAGCACCAGGAGCGGCGGTCGATCCTTCAACCGGAGCACCAGGAGCAGCGGTAGATCCTTCAACAGGAGCACCAGGAGCGGCAGTCGTTGCATCAGCAGGAGCACCAGGAGCGGCGGTCGATCCTTCAACCGGAGCACCAGGAGCGGCGGTAGATCCTTCAACAGGAGCACCAGGAGCGGCAGTCGTTACATCAGCAGGAGCACCAGGAGCGGCAGTCGATCCTTCAACAGGAGCACCTGGAGCGGCAGTCGTTAGATCAGCAGGAGCACCAGGAGCGGCAGTCGATCCTTCAACAGGAGCACCAGGAGCAGCGGTAGATCCTTCAACAGGAGCACCAGGAGCAGCGGTCGATCCTTCAACAGGAGCACCAGGAGCAGCGGTAGATCCTTCAACGGGAGCACCAGGAGCAGCGGTCGATCCTTCAACAGGAGCACCAGGAGCGGCAGTCGTTCCTTCAGCAGGAGCACCAGGAGCGGCAGTCGACCCTTCAGCAGGAGCACCAGGAGCGGCAGTCGTTACATCAGCAGGAGCACCAGGAGCTGCAGTCGTTACATCAGCAGGAGCACCAGGAGCGGCAGTCGTTACAACAGCAGGAGCACCAGGAGCGGCAGTCGTTACATCAGCAGGAGCACCAGGAGCTGCAGTCGTTACATCAGCAGGAGCACCAGGAGCGGCAGTCGTTACATCAGCAGGAGCACCAGGAGCGGCAGTCGTTACACCAGCAGGAGCACCAGGAGCGGCAGTCGATCCTTCAGCAGGAGCACCAGGAGCGGCAGTCGATCCTTCAACAGGAGCACCAGGAGCGGCAGTCGTTACATCAGCAGGAGCACCAGGAGCGGCAGTTGTTACATCAGCAGGAGCACCAGGAGCGGCAGTCGTTACATCAGCAGGAGCACCAGGAGCGGCAGTCGTTACATCAGCAGGAGCACCAGGAGCGGCGGTCGATCCTTCAACCGGAGCACCGGGAGCGGCGGTCGATCCTTCAACAGGAGCACCAGGAGCGGCAGTCGTTACATCAGCAGGAGCACCAGGAGCGGCAGTCGTTACATCAGCAGGAGCACCAGGAGCGGCAGTCGTTACATCAGCAGGAGCACCAGGAGCGGCAGTCGTTACATCAGCAGGAGCACCAGGAGCGGTAGTCGTTACATCAGCTGGGGTGCCAGGAGCGGCAGTGGTTACATCAGCAGGAGTTCCGGGGGCGGCAGTTGTTTCAGCCGGAGCTGTGGGGTCGACTAATCCGGGTTCGGTAGTAGATTCTTCGGGTGCGTTGGGGTCCAGAGGGGCGTTGGGATCGATTGGCGTGTTCGGGTCGGCTTCACCAGGAGCAAGAGTGGTTCCCGCGGTGGCGTTGGGGTCTTCTCCAGGAGCGGCAGTGGTGCCCTCGGGTTCGATGGGTGGGTTAGTGGTTTCCGAACCGGGTGCCAAAGTGGTGTACACGGGAGCGGTTTCGCTGGGAATGGTCGATTCGGTGTCGAGAGGTGCCTCCGATCCGGTGGTGGTCTCATCGATTGCGGCGGTGGTTGTCTCATCGGGCGCCTGGGTGGTCTCCACGGGTGCCTGGGTGGTCTCAACCGGAGCAGGTGTCTCCGGGGGAGCAGCGCTGGATGCGGCACTTTGTCCCTCGGTGGAGATCTCGACTCCGGAACCGCTGGAGCTGGCGCTTGAGCCATCCACCAGCGGGGCGGATTCGCTGACGGGGCTGTCGGTGATGGTCACCATCTTGGCGACGGCCGCCGTGGGCGCCTCGGCGGCCGACTTGACCGGCACGCAAATCTCGAGGCCGTCGGTCACGCAGCGGGTGTTCACCGCGCACGGCACCACCGGTCCGGTGGTCAGGCCATCCACGCACACCTGGTAGGAGAGTGGTCCCACGCAGACGGCGCTCTGGCCGCCGCACTTCAGTCCCACGGCGGCGGCATTCGCCTGATGGTTGGCCACCAGTGAGGTCAACTGCAAGAGAGAGAGAGATCCCAAATGGGATGGAGTCTTGTTAGTGGGTTCGGGCTCTTGGGATTTGGTGGGTCGGTGCACTGTTCTTGTCTCGGGACCTTAACAATTACACTGCTTTCTTTTCACTTGCATAGTAGGATACTTTCGAGTGGTCGCCGAGCGCTTTGAACGTTATCCAAAGTATCAAGAATCCCGGGAGCTACGGATTCGAATTTGATTCGTGTTTTTGTTTTTTTCAAGGCATGTGCGTATCCAAGTGCCACCACCGAATGAATTCCAATAAAATATATATATATATGTATAACTCGTCAGTAAAGACAACCAAAAAAACAAACAGAAAAAAAAATGGGGTTCCAATGCGAGTAATGCTTGGATCGGGATTCCGGTAGTTCTTTTGGTATTATGCAATTACCACTAGCAACACCAGAAGTCTGGTGGATCGGTTCGTTGTCATCGTCGTTGGATGTGTTTTTGGTTCGAATGAAGAATCGTTACTATCCTCTGTACGCCAGCCTACAGGGCTTTTATGCGAAATTCGCGCTATCTTCGCAGCATCCCGAGCCAAATCTGCGGTGACGCTAGCCAAATACAAGATAATCGCTTGTTTGTCGTCTTCACTGATAAGCGTGTGGCTAAACCAATTTATGGTATTGCGGCGCAAGTGATATTCAAAGTCGAAAATAAAAACAAATCGGTAAAGGGGAAGTTAAATATGCATTTGGAGAAGTGGGGATGCCAGAGTTGAGGTTCGAGGTGACCCCACTTCGAACGCACATAATGGCCACTATGAGTCAGCCTCATTATCGCAAGTCTAACACTGTTTCCCGAACAATTGTTTTTACTGCCAAATACGTAATCTTAATCTTGGCCAGCACTAACGTCAAGGTAAATGTTGATAAAGCGGGCTGCGCATTTCCGTTGACTGAAGTCTTTGCTTTATTTGCCTGCCCCCAGCTAGTTAAATAAACATAATAGCTGATATTAAGAAAAAGAGCAGACCTACAGACAGACAACATTTTATCCTCTTGATTTCATTTCACTCAATCCGATGTTTGGGGTCATCAGCCCCTTTCACCACAAGTGATCTCGGAGTGCAGTTTTTTCGCCAATGACGCAGGCTAACCTTCTTCATAAAACAGGCCCTCCAGCGAGTCTTGTATTCCCCAAATACCTCGATAAGAGTGGGTTCTGTTTTGTTACTATTTCAAGATAGCGCTTTAGCTGTGATCTGCTGTCCCAAATGCATATCATTCGAGACAGATCTTGTCAGATGAGATAAGGGTAAGGGCTAAGGGACTTAGATTAATATTGTATAATAAGAGAAGGAACCCGGGAAGTTTACGATCTGAGGCTGGACATTCTAATGTTTAAATATCACTCAAGTTGAAAATACCTTAATTGTGAATGCTTAGGGAACGTTAAATTTGCAGTAGGGTATTTAAATGTATGTTTTTAAAATTAAAATATAACAAATTAGTGTTTTTTTAAATGCATTTTTTGCATTTTGTTGCATTTATTGCCTATCAACATTAAAATACCTACTTATATCTCTTTCCTACAATATGATAAATGGTCATAAATTGTGAAACTTAATGCTATATTATATCATATGTGTTCTCGATTTTATATGATTTTATATGATTTCATGTTAATAAAAATCCGGCACCGATTCAATTAAGAAATCCAAGTTTCCCCCGAAGTTCCAATTACCATATGAAATGGACACCTGCAGTATGCATTACTCCCCGGAGGTCGAAAGGTGCGCTTAACATCTGTCATGGATTCCACGGAGACCCCCACCGGCACCATTTGAACTTCGCCCGGTCCCTGGCCCATTGCATATGCCCTTTGAGCTGGACTGGCGAATTCCATGAAAATTGAACAATTAAGTGGAATTTGCTTTACTTTTTTTTTTGTTTTTGCCATTAATGCGGTTAAGCCATATAACAAAAACGAAAAATCGAGGTGGAAAAATGAAAAATGGTAAATGCAATGCAGGCGCAGTCACATTGCGGTTTTCGTGTGTCTAGACAATACAATAAATATAGTTAGCCATTTATTTGTATTATCAAATATGTATACACTACGAGTAAATAAAACACCTGAAATCAAAAGCCCAATCATATTTAAGAAATTTCCCACTCCTGACTTTGTATTCCACAAGCACTGTATTTAAATGTTGTGATGTATTAAATATTAAATATATTATTAATATATTTTGCTTATTTTTTACTTCGTTTTTCTGCCTCATCGGAAAAGTCAGGGTCTTATAAATAAGCTTAGAGGTCTAAAGATATTTAAATACAATAATGTGTATATGCTTTTTTCAACTGATTAAAGTTATAGTGTAATAAATTTAATATTATTAATGTTAGTGTACTGATGTTTTTTGTCAGTATGAGCTATATTTAATATTATGACTGCTCGAGTGGCCACCGATGAGAAACTTTCTGCCTAGGTGAGTGCTAATTCGCTCGAAACCCAGTGGTTCGAGTGGACCCAAACCCAAATAGGCTTTGAGGTCTGCTGTCGGATCTGGGCGATGGGTGGGTGGGTTGGTCATGCAAATGGGACAGGGCAGTGAGTCAAATTATGCAAGGGCATCGGAGGCGGAGGAGGAGGGCCACCCTTGGACTAGAAACCTGGCTTTCACCTTTGCAGGGAACCCCCTACTCCACCCCCCTTTGCATTGGCAGTGGCAGCTGCAGCTGTAGCTCCTCCGTTAATGTTGTTGGCGTTGTGGTCGCGGCTTTGGCCAATGGTCGCGGCTAGGACGACGCCGATGGTGGTTGCAGTGGTGCGGTGGCTTCCAGTGGAGCCGCGGCTCGACTCTCTTGCCTCATTGGCGTTTCACAAAGCGAGCGGCGTTGGCTAAATTTGCATAAATTAACAATGTTTCGCAATTGCAGCCACTGATGCAGCGAATTCTTGGTGGCAACGGGGCGAGGGACCCGCACAATTCTCGCATGCCCAATGTGTCTACTGTCCCATGCGAGTGCGTGTGTGTGTGTGTTTTTGTGTGTGTCACAACCATGGGCAGTGTGCGCGTTTTATTGATTTGATGCTCCAATGCACTTATTATCCCTCGGGCGGCCCGCTGCTACTGCCTGTTAATCCCCTGGCGATGCGATGCCATTTGGCACGCCCCTCCACCCACCGCCTACCGCCCACCGCCCACCGCCCATCGCCCTCCGCCAGTGGATCCCACGCCCAGATGCACAGACAGTGAGGAGGATATATGGGCATTAGGGTGAGCCACATATCAGCAAAGTTGATCGATTGCGGCTCATTAGGGCTCCATTCATTTGGAGAATGGTGAACTGCGGTTCGGTGACTGAGATGGGCAATATCATCACTGGAGAAAGGATTCAAGTTGAAGAGGAAGAGATGCTACAAAATTCACGGTTCGATTTTTTTATACGCTTTTTGAAATATTTGATCTGAAGCTAACTGGTCCAAAATGCTTTAAGGAAACATTCTCGATTTCAAATAATTACAATTTTCAATGGATTGGTTAATTAAATATAAAAAAAAAATTTGTATCACTTTAAATGGAGGTAACAAAAAAAACCCTAGCCAAAATAATGGCTATGGTCCTCCATTTTTTTGAAGAAAAGAAAAGTAAATTGACGCAATTTGCCTAAATTTCAAGGGAAAGTTTTTAATGAGTACAATAAAATGATAATCTTCAGACGGGTAATTAAAAGTCAAAATAAAAATAAAGTTGAATCTAATTTTAAAATGCTTCTTAGAAAGATGGTATTGATAAGAATTATACAAAATAAAGATAAGAAGGGAAAACAATTTGAAGAGCTAAGGTTTTGATAATCCAATGAGAACCCGAATAAATCTCTTGAGTGAAACTGACAGAAAGCACTTTTTTCCTTTGTTACAGGTTTAAATGAATCACCCGAATGAAAATGTTGCAACTCTATTAATCAAGTAGTCGTGTACTTCGTGTGTCACATAAACTTCAATCGAATCCAACGCTATTGAGTTCATACATAGTTCGTTGCTAGCCGGAGCAGCTGTTGTTGAAATTACAAAATTTACAAACAATTTCACCCTGATCAAAGCAAGGGTAAAGTCCTGAAGCCATGGCAGAAGCAAATACAGGAGCAGGATCAATGGAGGAGCCTGAGAGCAGCTGGTGCCTGATCGAAAGCGATCCGGGGGTCTTCACCGAGCTGATTCGCGGCTTTGGCTGCACGGGCGCCCAGGTGGAGGAGATCTGGACGTTGGAAGTGGATGCCTTCCGTCACCTGGAGCCGATCCATGGCCTGATCTTTCTGTTCAAGTGGGTGCAGGACGACAAGCCAGCTGGTCGCGTGGTCCACGATCGGAGCGACATCTTCTTTGCCCGTCAGATGATCCAGAATGCCTGTGCCACGCAGGCCCTTCTCAGTCTGCTGCTGAACATCCGCCATCCGGACATCGATTTGGGCCACACTTTGAACAGTTTCAAGCACTTCTGCCAGGAACTGGACCCGGTAAGCCGCGGGATCTGCCTGAGCAACGAGGAGAAGATCCGCACGGTGCACAATTCCTTTGCCCGACCCGAACTTTTCGAGTTGGACACGCCGGATGCTCCGTCGGAAGATGATGATGATGATGTGTACCACTTTGTGAGCTATATGCCAATAAAGGGCCGGCTGTTCGAGCTGGACGGAATGCATGAGGGTCCCATCGAGCTGGCCGATATCGGCCAGGACCAGAACTGGCTGCAAGTGGTGCGGCCCTTTATCGAGGCGCGCATGCAGCGCTACAGCGTCGGCGAGATACACTTCAACTTGATGGCCCTGGTCTCGGATCGTCAGCGCTACTACGAGCGCCAGATCCAGCTGCTCGTCCACCAGCCATCGCCGCTGAGTCACACCGAGCGACAGGCGGAGATCGCCAAGCTGAGGACCTTTGTGACGTTGGAGCAGGAGAAGAAGCGCCGCTATCGCCAGGAGAACCAGCGGCGCCGCCACAACTATCTGCCCTTCATCGTCGAGGTGCTGAAGCAGCTGGGCGAGACCGGCCAACTGATGCCCATCTATGAGAAGGCCAAGAAGCAGGCCAAGGAGCAGGCCAACCAGGAGCAGGCGTGCAACAGCCCAAAGAACGAGGCAAACCAGGAGCCGTGATCTAAATTTTGATGTCAACCCAACCACCCACTCCCGTTTTTTTGATGAACTTTGAATAAATGATTGATTACCGCCACTTCTGATCGTTTGAAGGCAGGCACCAAGTAATCTCTTTTTGCTTTCATTTAAAATGTTAAAAATTTGGATATTTGGATAAACAATATGTGTAAAAGAAAACCCATTTTGATCAAAACTGGATTATGTGTTTATTAAGAACGTGGGCGTTGTGTAAAAATTTATTTATAATAATCTGTTGCAAAGCATACAAAGCTCATGACAGATTTGATTTTTTATAAAAGATGTATATATTTATATATATTCGGTAAATATTATTTTGGTTAAACTTTAAAGAAAATGTAACAATGCACAGTTTTGTATAAATCATTCAAAAAGAGTTTAGGAAATTTATTACAATGAAATTAATACAAGAATTTGATTTCAGTATTATATCATTCGCTTTGTCATCACCAAGATAAGGTGGATTTGCGTCTTGATTCTCTGACGTCATCAGCAATTTAATTTCAATATTGTAAATTGTAAATCACAAAACGATTAATCCATTTCGGATGTTAGTATTTCTTGATTTTAATTAACATATATGTTGAGCACGATAAAATGATAAGATAGCGAATCTGACTCCATGAAGTGTTTGCCGCAGTGGGGATTTAATGGGGATTAGGGTTGTTAAGAATATTCACTGACATTTAATGGATGCAAAATGTAAGAAAAAAAAACTGATTTTGTTTTAAGGAAAAAACCGAAAATTGCCCGAGCAGATTTATTGCAACCTTGAATGTCCGTTCAAGTGCTGTCCCAGCGAATTATGAGAGATTCCATTTGGGATTGCCCCAACATGGACCCCATCTCGAGTCTCCACTCTGTCCACATCTTGTCGCCGGTTTTCAATTTGCATTTGCTGCAGTTCCAGTTCCAGCTCCTCATCCGTGTCCTTCTGTCGCTCTGATAAATGATTTCTTTTTAACGCTTCGATGGACTCAACTTAACGGATCCTCCGCCGAACTAAATCTCCTCAAGCCTCTATCTTCAGCATCCGGATGAGCTGGAGACGACATTGGGTGGTGGATATTCTGGGTCTGGACGTCGCGCTTATTTGTTTATGTTGCACAAAGTAAACAACTAATTTTAATTTGCCGCAGGAACCGCACAACCACGACAAGATGACGACGACGACGACAACGATGGCCGAGGGCACTGGCTGTGAACAGGAGCAGGAGGAGGAGCAGGAATCAGGACCAAAACAGTGGCAACCTTGGAATACCCTTGCCACCCTAAAAAACAAGGTAGTCACAGGGTCTTCATTGCCGTGTCAGAATAGAAAAAATCATTTTAATTGACTATTTCCCTTCTGATTTAAGTCTTAAATGTTATACAAATAATAATTGAAGATGGTTTTTCACAGAACTTCCGCTCTAAACCATGGGGTATAACTTGAGTTCCCTGAAAATCCAAGGTGAAGGATGTATTCTACTGGGATGAACTGGTCTAAAAGAATGAGGCTCACTCACTACATCCGTAGCCGTTTATTTATGGAGGGGCCTATGGATTGCTTATCGGAAATGAGTGGAAATTGCACAAGTTACACCAGCTATCCTTATTGGACACTGGATCTATGCGCGACAAATTCAAAAGCTTTTAATGATTTCCGACACCAGCATCATCGTGGACAGCTTGGATGCCTTGCACACCTATCTATACTTGGATTAAATCCAACTTGAACGCCATTTTTGAGACAGCCTGGTTTTTGCTTGTGCACGAGATCATCGAGTCATACAAAGTCGGATTGGTCGTCATGAAGAACTGGACCTTCCATTGGTTTCTTCCCAACCTTATGATTGTCACCAACAAGCAACCGTACAAGCCATAGCTGATGATCGACCAGGCCGTTAGCAGGAGATGTCGATCTATTCCGACGATGAGCTATTCAATGCTCTTTCAACGTGGATATCCTCCAGGGGAGGCTGTTTGTCAGCCGACAGCATTCGGACGACCCTCGAACGTGGCAAGTAACGAGTGCACCTTTTCTTCTAATCAAATTACTAATCATTTGTTAATAATATGTTAAGAACATCTCAATCTTCTGTTTCGGTTACGGCATCAGCTCTCATCCGAAAGAACGAAGTGAAATCGGTTGGGATCACTTTGGGCTTGACTGCGTCGCAAGCTGCTGGTCAAAAGGATAATACCCAGTAAAGGATACAAAAACAGGGACAGGGACAGGGACATTGATGTGGGAATGGGAAGTGGCTACCATAAAAGGGAAACACATTCGCATTCGCATACACAGACAGCAGCAAACCGCAAAATAACCAAAGACATTTCACATCCGACCACCACCGCCCCCCATCCAATTTTCCCATCACTTTTCCCGCCCGGCTGGATTTTCTTTTGTTACATTTGGCTCTCTGTTTTCATTCTTTCAGGTCGTGGACATATGTAAATATGAGTGCAGCAGAGCAATCATAACAAAAATGCTGCACACTCAAATTATCCCTAAATAATTTAGATCTGTGCGGGCGAACGAGGTGGGTAACTTTACCTTTTGAAGCCTGTGTGCGGAGCTGATTTCAGGGTTTGCTTATCTTTCATTTCATATTTTTGGCCAGCAAGGAGGCGGAGAAGGACCCAACATGAAAGCGGAAGCGGAAGTGCTTACCTCTACACACATGCCCATGGGAGTGCGGGTTTCCGGAGGCTGAAATCTGGCACGTGGAGAAAAACACCACAGTACCTAGTAATTAAGTACATTCACTGTATATTGCATATATATTTATTACTAAATCTTGTGTATTTGAATAAAGAATTCGAGTATTAAAAGTCATAAGCAGTAAATTTAATCATAATTAATGTGAATTGAATACAAGAAATTAATATGCTTAAATGTCATAATGTCAATTTAAAAATGTCAATAAAATTAGACATATATCTGAGGATCAACCTTTTCACTGTGATTTTATAACTCATGCTGTTGACTGTTTCATTTAATTACCAAAAAGTTTAGGATAAAAACTCTAGTCATACTATTCATTTAATAGAGATGGTATGTGCATGTGCTGGTTATATCGTACAAAAAGGGATTTTATATTTAATAAAGAAAGTTTTTAAACTATTTGTAAAATTAAATATAGTTTGTAATATTCTTCTCTGTGTGAGCTGGAAGTGCTTCAAGAATCGGATGAAGGCGTGGCTGATGTGGGGAATCCCCTTCTTCTGCCTACTCAGCTTTAAATTATCTCCACAGGTGCACACATACACACACTTTTAGCATTTGACTTTTATGCCAAACAAAACGAAAACATAAAATTGGCATTCGCGAGGGGAGCCAAGCAAGATTTTCAACAATACCTGAAAACAAGGCTCATCAAATCAAGTATGTTAATATACAATATTTTAGGCAAGAAAGTTTTATTCTGTATATACATAAATCTAATCTACTTTCGAAACTGAATAAATGAAAGTTGAATCTTAAACCTTTATTTACAATTAACAAAAAACAAAAGGTCTAGCTGTCGGTTCAGTTAAAATCTAAGAAGCTTCAACCATGTTGTTCAGCCACTTTTCTTTAACTTTAACTTTGGGAAACAAGCCCTAAACAAAACAAATCACTCTGAATTATTAATGCATAAACAAACATTGACACTAGTAACTAGTTTTAAATTTTGCTACAACTTTTCGGACTGCCCTCGCTTGGCTGCATTTAGAGCAAAAGGCTAATTGAAATTTGCCATTAATAATGCAAAAAGGTCTCGGTGAGAAACTTTTGGGACCACCCACCCACTTGAGCCAGTATTCATATATGTATACGGCTCATATGTGTGTGCGTGCCATTTTAAATATTTCAAATATTTGTAACATTTCCGTGGTGACTGCCGAGTAAGGAATTGCAAGGTGGGGGGGTGGTCGGTGGTGTGTGGCGGGGTGGATCGGCCTTGCCATTTACCGCACGCCAAAAACATCAACATCACCGGCGGTGAAGGGACGGACAGCCCAGGTGAACCTGGTGGCCCGGTGGAATGAGCCGCCAGGATGCTTATTTTCTGGTCCGTCAGCCGCCGGTGATGTCGACGTCACCGTCACCGTCACCATCACCATCGCCATCGCCACATGTAAAAATGTAACCCCAGCTCTTTCTGCAGAGGGTTTGGTTTCTCGTTTCGTTTATTTTCTTTTTTTTTTTTTTAACCATTTTTTGAGAAGTTGTTGTGTGTGCTGCTGTGATTTCGCGAACTGGCGACTGGCAACTGTGACTGTCCAAAAAATGGGAAATAAATGAACGAGGGTGAAGTGCAGAGGGGTTGTTGGATACGCACATGTTCAAGATGGAATGCCCGAAAAAAAGTTCGAGAGGGCGAAATTAAAATCTAGTGACAAACCGAAAGTTCTGAAGGTGTGAGAGAATTACTGATCCTGAAAGACTTCAAAAAATCCAGGAACTCTGAAACTTTCTGTTACTTAGCTATGTATATTATTATATTATTACTTATTTTGTATTGAAAGCGAATTTTATTGGAGTTACACGATTGCAAGATCAATGCTTTTTTGTTCTTAATAAATGTTGTTTTTGTTCCTTAATATAAACTGTGTGCTTGTTAAGCTAAATATTTAATATTACTTTCTGTTTTTTTGTTTTTATGTATTTGTGTAGTTTCCTCAAGAACCCCAGATTATCGACTATAGCTTATCTTCTCTATTTGTCCATTAATTTTTCTTTCAATCGATCTGTGGCGTATCCCGATCTCTTTGAATGTTTAGCAAATTGTAAAACAAAATCGCATCTCCTGGCTGCCTTGTCTTTGCTTTATTATTTATTTCCAACTTACTTTCAATTTTTTTTCTCGTTTTCGTTGATTATTTTACAAAACAAAACAACAACGGCAAACAGAGACCAAAACGAATGCCAGACCCAGGGACTCAGGACATGGGTATAACTGGAGGGAAAAAATCAGAAAAAAAAGAATGGAGAAATGGGAATGGTGGAACGGGGGAAAGGAGGGAGGGGGGTGAACAGGAAAATCTCTCGAGGCTACTGAAAACTTCGTTTCTTTCTGGTGTCCTGGCCGGGCTTTTCCTTTACCTTGGGCAGTAGTCGTACGTACACATTTCTTATGCTGCTTCTTGGCTTTGTGCCTTGGCGTCCCTAGTCCCCAGTTGCCCATCGTCCTTTGTCCCATCGTC